TTATAACAAAACAAAACACAACCAGTGCGTGTTGCAAGAGATGACATATGGATCTGCGACGCCGGTAGCCCATCACTGCTGCCCTTAGGAAGAGGTTTAAAGACTTTCAGCGACCTACGGAAATGACTATGCTCTGAGTTTTTTGCGTGATAGAAGCCATAATGATGATATTCGCAATAAAACCAGAGTAACCGTAATAGCCCAACGGATCAGTAACCGTAAGTGGCAATGGGCCAGACATATAGATCAAAAAACTGATAGCTAATATGGTAAAAAGAAACATGGAGTAGAGCGGCCCCCGCTAGATAGAGTGACGACTTGGTAAGATATGCAGGTGAATTGGGGCCTCGTTTTATGGCGCAGTTATTCTGCCACGATACTCCAATGCGTATTGGCGGCATTTACGCGTCGACAAAATAACTTTCTTCTCTGACATGTAGGTTTCTTCGCGGTGACTTTATCGTCGTTAACAATTTTAGAGGTGATTGCGGAAATCTGAGACTATAAAATACACAACGAGTGTTTTGCACCTGATATCATCCTAATAAGAATACCATATTTTATAGAATAAGGGTAACAAACGTGCACACAGTCCATCTTATGGTAAGTGGATGCTGTGGCCCATAGACATCTACATTTATTTTTTTATTTAGTGTTGTCACCACTGAGGACAACGATGGAATGCCTTGTTTCCAATATTAAAGGGTCTCCGGATCTCTACACTCACCATACGAAGCACAGCAGTAATAAGCTGCTGTTTTGCGTTGGTATTCTGTGACAGCGCGGTCCTTCCCCATTCGTGCTAAAACCATAATATAGCTGCAGCTTGGCTCTACCGCGTGTAAAATACTAGGATAAAAATATTAAATTATTGTACTGTCATCGGTCTTTGAGACGAGTGCAAATTTTCAAGTCAATCGGCCGTCTGCAAGTTGGTGGAAATTATATTAAAAGCTACCGTTATATAGATAGATAGATGATACATGCGAAGCTTATAAAAGCGTCTCTATTTTGTTTACAAATTATGATTAAAAAACATAAAACCAGTTTGAGTTTTAGGTATTTTTTAAAGTTTTAAGTTGCTTATGGAGGCAGTCAACCCTCGAAAGCATAGTTAATCAGAGTCACCGATCGACGGTCACTCATTGGCTCCCATCGAAGACTGACTGCTTTTGGTCACGGCACTGATCTAGGTGTGTTCTTTTCTAGAATACCTTTTTGTTCTTGCATATTTTTAATATTTCTGTTATACATTATCTGTTGAATGTGAACAAAAAATATAGGCCGTTAATAGTAGTACAATTCTGAATTCATACCATAATTAAACAAGAGTTATATTTTAGTCATCTTCATTCCAAATTATTCACTAATAGACAAAAAACCGAAAAAACTCACAGTACACGAGCAACATTGTGAGAGGATTTTCAAGGTGGGTATGCTACGACAGCCTCGGCGCAAGAACCCTAAAATTTACAATTACGCATCGATCGTTGACCTTTAGGACTAATATTTATTACTTATATATATATTTTCCATCTTTCGTTACAGACAATTATATAATTATACTACGTAAGTATTAATTTAAGTTTAGAATAAATTGTACTTTTAGTATTACAAAGGATTAGGTACGAAAAATTTACTGAAAGATAATTGAGTACTTTATTAACCAAATAAATAATGATCTATGATATTATCGCCTTGCTTATTTCATCCACGGTGATAACTTCTGAATTTTGAACTGTCTACAGGGCTCGAAACTGTGTTCCAAGTAGTTACTTATTGTACAATCGCAGATGATTATAATCTTCCCGTTTCGCTCTTATTCGACGAGAATAGAGGTAGGCTAAGACAGTAAAAATTTACTATAAAAATATTTCTACGGTCAAGCGGACTCTAAAGAAAATCAATTTTACAATAGTATTTAAAAACCGTTGGAATAGAAATGAACAAATAAAAAAATAAATGTTGAAAAACATTATTTCAATGATATCCGGGGTCTGTAAGGGTTATCTCTATTCTTTAACCGACAAATTTTTGTATTATATATATATATATATATATATATATATATATATATATATATATACCTAAAGATGTATTGTTTTTATTATTATTACTCTACTATAGAAATTCTGGGGAAGAGAATAAGTAGATGAATTATTTGGAGGCGTTTTAAAATTTATTTAACAGAAGTAAGGACAACATATGAGTACACAGCCTATCTGTATAAACGTAGTAGACTCACGCTGCAGCCATATTACGGCTGTAGTACGAATAGGTCTGTTCGACCGGGGAAGGACCACGCTCTCACAGAATGCCACCGTAAACTAGCAGCTTAACGCTGCTGTCTTCGGTCAACAATTGTTGATCGAAGGCTGCTGTCCATCCTGTGGTGAGTGAATACAACAGGAGAACCTTTTTACTGAAAACGAGGCATTCCATCGTAGTCTTCAGGGGTGACAACGCATTTGCAATGTGATTCTTAATCGATGATAAAAGTATATGTTTATTGGCCACAGCATCCACTTACCATGGTGTGGACTGTGTGCTCGTTTATCACCCGATTATCACCCCATTCTATAAAAAATCTGTTGGTAAGAGGATGTTGTGACTAACGGACCTACGGTATCCTCGATTAAAAATCAAAATACAGCTGCGTTATCATGTTTGAGACCAAAGATGCTTCGTTACAGTACTCGTTACAAATGCTGTATCCAATTTCTTAAATTTAGAAAAATATATACGTAAATCAGCGGTAGCAATGTCGAGCAAGTACGATGGATACCGAAATATTTCCAATTGAAGCTTCAGTGATTGGGGGACAGTTTGTGGTGTAGTTTATAGACAGACTATGTTGTGGACTCGAGTATGTATCGTGTGATAAGAACCGAAGATCCTTTTTACTGATGACGAAGCATACCATCATTGTCTTCAAAGGTAATAATGCATCTGTATTTTCGAAGATGAATGAAGATGTCTACGGGTCAGTGTATTCACTTACCGTCATGTAAATTGCGTACTCGTATGTCATCTTTTTTTTATAAAAATGCTTGTCAGTTATTTTTTGGAATTCCCTGCAATATAATTTATCAGTAATTATAGAACCAAATTTTGGTAAGCTGCAGAGATTAATTCACATCAGTCACATGATTTATTTACTCAATTACTCAATCCACTTTAATTTCTAGTCATCCATGAGCCTCGTTGTGGAGACATAGATATTTTTCACACGGAAATGATTAAACCTAATATTGATACCTTTTACAAAAGTATTGATTACATAACAGAAATCATATTTAAAAATAATTCGAAACTACATGGTGAAAAAACAAATGAACAACGTATGTTAAAACAATGAAGTAATTTAAATTTCGAATTCGAGGAAAATATAATTTGATAGGCTTTTTCATTAATCTTGCTTTTTCGTTACCTATGTTTTGTTAAAAATTCGGTAAACCAATATAGAACAACGCGTAAATAACCAAATTAACTATATACCAAATTAACAACAACCAGACTAAGTGAACGTGTAGTGGCGGGGTAATACTAATATCGTCCAATGGACCGTGTCGTCTCGTGGGTGTCGTATGAGGCGACAGGGGGAAAGAAACCAGGAGCAGCGACTTCCTAATAACAACTAAAACACAAAACCTAGCGTTGCGAACAACCTTCAAAGTGAGGCAACTATGGCAAAAATTCATATCCCTTTTTATGGGGAGGCCTAAGGTGAGCAATGAACATTGAATGCTAAAATTAATGAAAATGAAAAAAGCCAACTGCGGTCAGCCATTATGTCAACACCCTAACTCCTGGTTAATAGAATGTTAACGGACTCATAAAACATATTCACTTGAAGTAGAAATCAAGTATTAAGTACTTCAGATATGAAATAACAAAAAATGTGTTTTGTATTTTCCCATACAAAAGGCAATTTTTTTTTTACTAAACTACTTAACTACTAATGCCTTCCTTGCCATTTTATTAGCAGTTTTTTGATGCCACTTTGCTACAGAATTCTGCTGCACAAGAATCAACAAATTCCTCACTGCTTCTTCTAAATTAAAATTTTGCCTTTCTAAAAGTTATCTATTCTTGCGTCACTCAGTTCATGATGTACTACATACATATGTCAGATACATTTGTCACAAGCTTCTTTATATTTTTTTTGACAATTACATCAAAAACCAACTCTTACTAAGTCATAGTTTGAAATGGAGCTGCTTCCACTATTTGAGTGCCCAAGAGGTTCATTTGTGTGGTCACAATTTCCTGAATACAAAAAGCAAAAATTTTACAGCTAGAACCTAATAGTTTAAGAAAATTCATTTATTTCACTTTCGCATAAATATAGAAATCAAATTCTTTTTTCATATTTAGCCGTTTTCATTCTATTTTTTTACTTTGGAATGCGTTACCCTTGATCGTAGCAGATAGTGGTAGTCACAGATGAGTTGAATGCCGTTTACCGCTCGCCGTAGCAGCGTTCAACAGATAACATTACACCCCAACCCTATTTGATTATTAGAGACCTGTTCGTTAATCAGCAGGATGCACCACTTGAAATTGAGGTTGATATTTGAAAAAAGTTAATAAATTTTCAATTACAGTCTAAGGTGTGTGTGATGTAGATTTAAATTTAAATTCAATTACATAACCTGATACTTCGAGCCCCCTATGAAGATTTAAAAGCTAACTGGTTAACAGCGGTAACATCACAGAATATAAATAGGGACATGGCTATAAGAGAACGCGACCGATGAAACTGTAGAGGTTCACTGGCTAGTAGCACTGACAACTCCAACCACAAGACAACGCTATCATAAGAAGACACGTCCGATTAAGCTATAAAATCCAACTGGCTAACAACACTTACATCACAGTATTTAGATAGGGACTTTTGCTGAAAGACATCGAGATAATCAAAGTACACGACCGTTACACATGCAAAGATCAACACACAACACAACACACAAATACAGCCCTAATATCAGAGTACAAATATGGACTTTAAACGTAAGATAGTGCTGTCACCAAAATATACGGCCGATGAAGTTGTAGAAACCAGCTGGTTGTCTGGTCTAACATCACAGAATATAGATACAAACTATGACAACACGACACGGTCATCAGAAAACACGTTCATATTTACAATGGTGAAGTGACTGTGATGGTGAAGTGAATGAGGACTTTATACGATATTCTGATGACTAAACACGGTTGCTTAACTTTAACGCCTCCGTAGCGCAGTCGCTAAGTGTTTGTTCACGGCGTAGCACCGCCAGAATTTTGAATCCCGCACGAAACAAGTATTTGCATGGTCTTATGTATGTAAATGATACAGGAAATAATCCTACTGTGGCGGTATTGTGTTTAAGAGCAACTAACGTATAGCAAAACTTATTACCCCATACCCCAACTACATCCCATCTCAATTTCTCTGCAGAACATAATCTGTGTTATACATCCTCCATTGATTACTATAAAACCATTCCTGAGTAGTTTCATCACGTCGTCACTTCGTCTAGTGAGCCTCGCCCAACACTATACAGATTTCAAAAGCTGTTTTAACATTTTCTTTACAGTATACCCAGCAGAGTTAAAAGGGGCACACCACAATACTTGTAAAAAAGTAATATATGATAGATGCAAGTCGATCAGGATCGCGTTATATATCATTCCTTGAAGACCTATGTTTATCAATGGACTTATAATGATGATTATGACGATGAAGTAATTATAAGATATCTCATAATTATCATCACCATATCAATTCTTTTGAAAAAAAAATCGTTAATCTGGAGGTTTGGATTGAAAATATATTAACACGAACATGACATTAGTCAAACCGATTCTAACTATCCACTACACTAAATACCTGTATATTATCGTTAATTGTACAATTTATTGGTTAGTCGGGGGAGGCCTTACTTAAAAGTTCAGTCCGGGCTCGACAGACAATACGACAGTACGACTGCTGACGTTCTATTGTAAAGTGCAAAACTAGCCGCGCTGAAAATTCCCGGTCAGTTTTACTTACAAAAAAAATAGAAAGAGTGCTTATACATATAATTGTTGTAACTATTTTCCAATATCATTTCGCTTATATTTATTAATTTTGGGATGAGTTTATGAAAGTTATTATTAAATTTTTAATTTAAAATATATTAAAATTGAATAAAAAGACGTTTAATATTTATTGTTCATTCACTTTCTAAAACCTTTTCAAGGAATACCAACAACGGTTCAGTTACAATATTTTGTTTGATTACAAAGTAAAGTGTAATCAGAACTGCTGTATTAATTTACTAAAACGTGCTCGCAATTTACCAAAAGCTTACGCGAACAGTACGTAAAGGCCACTAGTTTAATTAAAATCGGACATAAAGCAACTAATTGGCAGTAATTGCTCTAGCAACCTTAGGTAATGAAAATTAAATATTAAAAGTTACCATTAATAAAATTCAGCTACATGACATGTGTGTCGTACAGCACATAAAGTTACAATAGATCTCGAGGTATACTCAAGTTTTTCTAATCTAGATATAAAGATTTAACTGAAAACATCGGTCAGAAAATTTGTTATTCGTTATAAAACTTAACATCTAATTTTTGAACCATAATTTGAGCTATAAAATGTTCCGCATTATTAGGGCTCCTGTGATCGGCCACCGACATCCCCGCAGCCTTCGGTAGACCGTCTATCAGTGACCTGGGCTGAACCGGGAAGCATGACTTCATCAGGGGTCAATTTATTCCATCTTCCTTCTGAAACACCGATCAGCAATGAGGTTAAGTTTGCACCAGCAGCTGGAGGTAAGTATATCTCATTAAAATTCTTGCGTATGTAGTGACTCTAAAACATCATACCTAACGCTAAGAGGTATTGTGTGGAACGGTGGCGAAAATTCTGATTATTCCGTAAAAAAAACGTACTTTTCTCGGGCTGGTAAACGTTTGCAAACAGTACCGTTTCAGTTTCCAGCAACCGTAAGAAGGCACAACGGCTGTCGTTACGTTGAGCCCTCAGGAAAGGCTTCAGATTAGTGTAGTTAAGGCAACCAACTCGGCGCGTTACGTTTTTTTTACAGATTTAGTATCCTACGCTTCCATTCAAACTCTCCGGTAACATACCTACTAGCTAGCGTAAGCTAGCAGATAATAATTTGATAAGAGGTTCGACCTCGTGATGATAAAGCAGCTCAAGCGGTGTACTAGGCACACTAACGACAGAGGGAGGTGATTAATCCAATGTTTTAACTCAGTTATAAATGTTTGTAAATTTCTTTTTGAAGCCTAAAATAAATATTAAATAAACATAAAACATCTTGTTTACGAAACCACTTAGTTTTTAAGTTCTGTTTTCAAGAACCAATCATATTATGTTTTCAAAAACCTTCGGAACTAACCAAGAAATTTATTATTTTCTATACCAATTAATTATGGCTAATTATGGCTGTCGTGAACCACTCCTAACACAAACATTTTAAGCTTAACGGGAGTTAAAGGGAATATTATATAGTAATGTTGATAGCATTGCTTGTATTTATATGTATCAAAAAATATTTCATAATTATTACTTAAAATAATTTCCTTACAATTTTTTTTACGATTTACTTAAAACTGTATGAATATGAAATGAAGAACGTTGGTGTAATATTTTCACGGTCCACAGTAGGTAATAAACTGAATGTTAAACCTCAATCGGAATCGCTAAAACGAAAAATTATTAAATATCCATTACAATTTTTATAGTACGTGGTGACTTAAAATCTTGAAACCACGTTTAAGTCACGCTAATGCGCCTACAGGACTCCTGGCCGATTATTGTACGGTACGTTTTACTTGTCACGCATAGAATTTATAATATTTTATAATTTTTAAAATGTTAAACATTTACTGAAACATTATATTTGATGATACATTATGACACATAATAACAAATACAGAACAACAGAACTTTAAAGAAACATCTAATATATTAATTTAAATCACAAACAAAACATTGAATCACTTGATCAACAAATATAAAAAGTAGGACTTGACATAATTTATGTCAAGTCCTACTTTTTTAAGATACAAGTTATGATAATGGTCAAATTATTGTACATTTTTAGCTTGAACTGCATTTTTTAAAGTACGATTATTAAAAATACAATTACTATTAGATACTACCATTTACCGTCACATTTTAATTGCTAAAAAAATAAGACAGTTGTGAATTCAGGTTTATTAAATTATTTTTATAGAAGCCAACATCTGGATCATACAAAACTTCTGTAAATCGAGTTCTGTTGCATCTTTGGTCCCGTTTAATTAAATCTTTAGGCTGATGTAATTCTTGTACTGAAACATTTTATTCCGTATTCACTAACAAAACTTCTTCATTCGGACATGATGTTGATATTTTAGGTCTACAATTCTCAGAAAGAACATTTTTGTTCGATTTTAACTTCAAATTATGTTATTCTTGAATTCGGATTAAAGTAAATCTTTCGGGGATTTAAATAAAAAATAAATAAAATAACATACATTATATTAAATTTAATCTCATCTCATTTCATTTCATTTGATTCAATTCAATTCAATCTAATCTACCTAACTTAATATAAGTCACTTGTAAAATAATGTATACACGGAACTTTAGTAGCCGATCATTGAACCGTATGAAGTTAGCGCACGAGCGTCCTAAGTCTAAGAACTAAGTCCCGCATGTCAATGCATGTAACCATCACACAGAATACGATCAAATCCAGCCACAGTGAAACGGTTTGGGCGACACGTCGAATAGTAGGCACATTGGCCATAAAAATACCCTCCGTGAGCATCGCCACCTGCCAGACCGCCGCTCCTACCGACGTGATGTAAGTGTAAGGCATCACCACCAATTAAATTGTCAGCACGGCTTCTAGCCGCAGAGAGTGCCATTATTCTACCGCTCACGCCAAAAGAATGTGGTTAGAAATTAATGAATGTTATCTATATGCTTATTAATGCATTTTAATTGTTTAAAATTTTACCTTTAAGATATTTCTAGATGGCTTTATATAGAAGTTAATTACTATTTATTGTGGCCCATAGACATCTACATCTATAATGCAGATGCGGAACATAGCAGCTTTTGTTTTATGCTGGTATTCTATGAGAGCGTAACTCTTCCTCGGTCGAACTGACCCAGTCGTGCTACAACATATACACATGCAGCATGGCTCTATCTCGTAGAAAAAAATAATAATTTTATATACCAGTCTTTGTCTCTACGACAAAAATAGTTTTCAAGTATGGTCAAAAGAATGCAAATACATCTATTTTTTAAATGTAATTCTTATGAATATGTTTTCTAGATTTATCGGAAGATGAGGATTACTCGGCCAGCTTAAGTGTTGTGCTGCGGCAAAGACGTGCTAGTGTCCGTCGCTCTCGGAAAGGTCGTAGCAGAAGACCCTCGTCGCCCTTTCTACCGGATGAGAATCGATCTAGAAGACGTTCGTCTATCTTCACTACGAGCTCTGGCGAGTTAGTGTTCATTTTGACTTACTTTTATATAAATTATCCTATAAATTAGGCACACACGTTTAATATCTATAGCATGTTTTAACTCAATTATTACATTATCTTAACATTTTATGCTATTTACGATGAATAGTGCTTTCCCCGAATTCTGCACCAAACTCAGCGAAACTGTGTTTCGTATGGTGAGAAGAAAACTGGACATCCTTTTTACTGGACACGAGTCCTATTAAAATTATAGATTACCTATAATAATTTAAAAGTTAACTGCGTAACTGCAACAATTGCAGTATAGCATAAAAAGTGCAAAGGGTAATCAGGAGAACGAAACAATTTCTACAAGTCTTTATAATATTATCTTTTTTATTTTTATTAGTACAGCAATTTCTATTGATGAAGCACCATTGGTGACGCAAGAGCAAATCTTTGAAAACATTCATCTCCACAAGGAAGTCCTTGGCTCAGTGAAACAACAACCACTTGGAATGCGTCGGAAACTAAAGATTGTCCATCAGGTAAATATTTATTATTGCGTCTATCGCTAATTTTGTGAAAAAATTTTAAATTGTAAAAAAATATGCTGCGTTTACTACATTAATATATAGTTATTAATTGGTTAACGGTTATTGTGTAATTGCAGAACTAATCAATAGCAATTTTGTTATACTCTATATAACAAATAGTACACAAAGTTTAACGGCTTTACTTAGTTTAGTACCTTAGTTTAGTTTATTTTCAGATTTTAACTATATTCGACGACTCGGTTTCACGAATGATCTTCCGTAGAAATATACTAACCAAAATGAAAGACTTTTTAGTTTTTAGTTACAAGTTAGTTACAAAGACTATTTTTAAACCATATTGAATAAAACTATTTGGACTAATTCCCATGGTTACGGGAGGACTGCCAAACGTCTGTAGTTCAAAATAATTCGTAAAAAAAAATTGTATTTAATGTGTAATGTTCGCGTAAATATAAGAAGTTATTACATAAACCATAGCTTAAGCCCGAGACTATCAATTAACCACGTCTTGTAATAAGACGGCAAAAGTGTTTCAAGACTTCTTCAGTCTTATTCAGAGACAATCTTGGGCTTGCTTTGTGTATTAATACTCAAATTTTTCCTAAAAAAATTTTTGCGTATGGAGGAGTTGTATGTCGTATATACTTATAGTACCCGGATGACCTTTTTTTTATTTTTTTTTGAAATTATATTTAGAATACAAATTACATACTGATGAAACATAAATAATATTTTTTGATCTTATGGACATAATAGAAAAAACTGAACTGGTTCTTTGAATAAAAAATCATGAGTGCAATTACTTAGTTTAATTAAAAATTTTCGTATTTTTTAAAAATACTAAAAAAAGGGCTCGAAATAATAGATTTTCTCACAAAAGAAGGGAACTTGAAAAAAAAAGAAAAAAATCGGACCGGAGACAGGACTTGAAACAAGGCATTACGATTTCGCGACCGCTCTATATCCACTTGAGCTATTACGATCATTAACACAGTGTCAAAATTTACCTTCCTCTTTTAAAGGTGTAGGATTTGTAATAACTACACACGTCTACTAATCAGACGTCGAAGGAAATAAAACCAGTTTTTATTTAATAATGTCAATACAATATCGAATTAATTTTACTGTTTACTACTTGTTGCGCTTTGTTTGGTTTGCAGGCCAAAGGTTACATAAAACGTCATGAAGGGCAGCTTCAAGAACGGCTAGCGCAATCAAAAAGTACACGGGACATCTACGCTCGTTTTAACATTCTAATAGCTACGGTAATTATAGCACAATACAAGCAATTTAAGCTTACCACGAGTGGTTAAGGGAATATTAGTAATGTTTATAGCATTGTTAATATTCTTTTTTATTTAAAAACAATATTATACAAATAAATAACCAACTTCGACCGAGAGGTCAATCGACGGATTCAACTCGGCTGGGCAGCGTTCGGGAAATTACGACACATCTTCTCGTCAGGTATACCTCAATCTCTGAAAACTAAAGTGTACAACTAGTGCGTGTTGCCAGTGATGACTTACGGATCAGAGACGTGGTCCTTCACTGCTGGCCGTATGAGGACGCTCAAGGTCGCTCAGCGAGCTATGGAGAGGGCTATGCTCGGAGTTTCTCTGCGTGATAGACTCAGAAATGAGGATATCCGCAGTAAAACCAGAGTGACCGACATAGCCCAACGGATTAGTAAGCTGAAGTGGCAATGGGCCGGCCATATAGCTCGAAGAACCGATAACCGATGGGGAAGAAAGGTTCTCGAGTGGCAGCCTCGTACCGGTAGGCGTAGTGTAGGGCGACCCCCCACTAGATGGAGTGACGACCTGGTAAGATATGCAGGAAGTCGATGGATGCAGGTGGCTCAGGACCGTGCTTTGTGGCATTACTTGGGGGAGGCCTATGTTCAGCAGTGGACTTGTGAAGGGCTGTGATGATGATGATGATGAAATAACTCAAGTGCCTCTTGCCGATAATAGCCGATATTGTTTTATTTAAATTATCTTTAATTTCGTACTTAAGGTTGCGAATTATTTAAAGAAACCTTTTTTTTAAAAAACGCTTTACTAGTTGTACATTCTTATAAATTATTCAAAATCGTAGATTAAGAATTATCAAAGTGGAAAAATTTTCTTAGATCCCTAATGATTACTTAAAAGTAAAGTATCAGCGCTACTCCAATACGGACAGTCGCATTTATTAGTCATCATTTTTTTATTTTTCCAGCGTAAAAGTTAGTCACGATTCCTTAGCCAATAGATATGTTACGGCTTAAATCTGCGAAATTACCCAGAGAGTTACCTGAATGAAGGTGCACCTATACCTAGTAGTAACCGGCTTCCTTTTGTTTAGGCCTGTAATAAATGAAATATATTTAAGTTTGAAGAAGCGCAATCTATTGCATCTAGTTCTAGCCGCCAAAACCTATATGTGTACGTAATTCGTCTTATAACCTCTGTTGAGGAGTTCCACTATTATCGGATAGGTTTTTTGAAGATTAGAAAAGAGGTTATCGATTGACGTAACTTTTATGATATATTTAAGTTTTCGTTATTAGAAATTTAAATAAATGGACTAAAGGGTCAGATATCACCATTAACTAATTTAAATGACAACACTTTGCCATGTAGTACGAGTACATAATAACGGACAAACTAAAGCCCTAGGACCAGTCACATTCAATCCATCACATAAAAGAAATATAAGAGGATGATATCTGTACATTGAATATTTTTAATTTAAATAACATATATTTTCTATAGAGATGCCATAACAACAATTTTTGGAAAATTTTGTTTGTCATTGTAGAGCTATATTGCGTGGAGTGTTGTGTGTGTACACAAAACACTAAAAACAGATTTTGACGGGGCTTTCAATATAGCGCTACGTAGAGATAGGTTCGTGCTCCTATTCAAGACGAATTAATGATGAATTTTCAACATAAATTACTAAAGACTGAAGTCGATATTATCCTATACTTTTACTCGTCCGTGTGTTTAGCCAACTGTTCAAGAGGGCTGTTCTGTTCAAAACAATTGCCCTGTTTTTAGTGTATAAATATGTATGTTGTGTACAGGGTTATTTTTCAAAAAGTAGTCAAATTTGAAACTTAAGTTCTAATAATATATAAGAAACGATATACCGTTATTGCAGTTTTTGAAAATACCAGTTTTTTTATTTTTATTTGAAATTATCCCAAATTGAATGTGAGTTAAAGGCAACATCTTTTTTGCCTACCGATTGTCTTTACGAATGTACAGCGTACGCAGTAAAATGATTTAACAACATTGTTTCGTTAAATTCGTCATATTTATGGAAGTGACAAAGGGTATATAAATATTTAAACTGTTCTTTCTTTCATTAAACATTTTTTGATTATTGTTTGAACCATTAGGCTTGTACTTTCCCTTATAAGTATTTTCACTATCGCTGCTGGTCTTAATTATAGACGAATTACTATCAATTGTGATGCGAGTTAAAGTCGATTATTTTGCACAAATAGCAATAATTACCCCTTTCGAGTATTTGCTTTGCAATCACAATAAGCAACGATCAGGGCGTGGACCTTACGAGTAGCTTCTCACTTAGTCAACATTTCTTTTTTTCTTAATTTAATAAAAATTTGATGTGGTTTTATTTCCTCTAACTCACACAAATATCGGTAATGCGGGGTCTTTGACAATCCTCTTACTCCTCGGCCAATGCAGAGATAATAAAATCACATACAATTTGCAAATTAATTTTTTTTAATTAAAATGAATTTTTTATGTGATTTTAAAAAAAAATATTTCTATACGCTTGAATACTGATTCTGGTAACGCAGTTAACATGAACTACAGGGATTTCAATTAAAAAGAACTAGTAGCTAGTACAAACAAAAAAAGACTGAACCTAGACATAGAGGACATTAATTTCTTTTTAACCCCTCAGCCCCCAAGCGGTCGAATCAGACCGCGGCGCTATTCCGTCAAAATTTTGAGCGGTCGAATTCGACCGCGCACACCCATAGCATTTTAAACTTATATATAGAGACTACTTTTCTATGAAGAAGTTTGACATTATAGAATCAGTATGAAATTTTCTACCCTCTAGTGCAATAACAAGTCAAGTTATCTTATGGATAATTATTTATAATCTATATCCATTTCGTACACTATTTTCGCATTAATGTTATAGATTTTTGGATTTTTTTAGTGTTTTATTAGTGTTTTAGTATAGTGTTTTATTATAAAATTTTAATGAAAGTTTTTGTGTGAATATAATTTATCTTTTTACGTAAATAATTTCGATTAATATATATTGAAATAATGGTGATATTCACGCTGCCGACATTCGCTTGGTATGTTTTGTTTATGTTATCAAAATACAATAGTGTTTTTGTAATTAATTAAAACCTGACGTTTATATAGAGAATTTTGTATAAATTTTATAATGCCAAACTTCTTCACAGAAAAGTAGTCACTAAATATGACATAATGGTTTTAAGTACTGCGGGTGGGTGCGGTCGCATGCGACCGCTCGGGATTTGCCGGGCGCATGCGAACTTATCGGATTTTTTATGGGAGTCGAAGGGTTAAATAACGTTTATTTGGAATAAATTATCTTACCATCATTACAAGCCATAGCAAAACAAATGCTAAAAACAGGCATCCCACAAGGAATGCCAATGAACACGCTTATAACATGTTAGTAAAGTACAATATATTATAAGTATTATCAAGTACTTATGGATGGATTTTTTTTGCATTTAGAGTTCATTCCTTTTTGAACTCTAAATGCAAAAAACTGACTTAAATGAAAATTATTGGCTGCTTCGTTAGTCTAGTCGTGACCGCGGTTGCCGATCATGATGTCCCGGGTTCGAGAAACAATTCAGCTGCCGAGACCGATTTACGGTCGGTTCGAAATAATATGTTCCAGACCGAAGCTAGTCTCACAGGCGACTATCTTATGTTAATGGGCTTGTAATTGGAGTATGCACCATCTACTATGACCTTGATGCTCCAATTTGCAAGAAAATTGGTGATTCGGTTGCAAAATTTCTCGGGAAGCCCATAGGAAGCACACGATAGGATTATGTGCTTTTGGAGGCACGGGGGTGAAACACAGCCAACTTGCTGAACTTAGGTTGCTCCTGAGAATTTATAGACAAATTATAATTTGCATGTTGTTTAATTGCAGCGAAACACAATATTTTTTATTTTTAAAAACGTTAATGCCACACAGGGATTTTCTCCTGTACAGTGGAGGCAGTTTACATACATAAATTGCACAAGACTCGAAACAATTATTTGTAGGCCATACAAATACTTGGGATTCGAACCCGCAGCCCCAGGCGGTGCAACACATTGCTAAGCAAATGCGCCACAGAGCAATCTAAGATAAACCTAAGAAATAAATTTATTGACAGAAAAACTCCAGATTCGAACCCGAGCCTATATGGTTAGCAGTTAGCGTAAATTCCACTGCTGCATATGTGGATTCAAATTAATATAAATAGCTGAGATTCTATTGAAAACAATAATCATAAACCCGTTTAGAGTTGGTATAAGATGTGCTTATGTACGTATAGGAATTAATGTAAATTCTCTATTTCACAAGTAATTTTAAGACCACGCTGCGAATAGTTTTAAAGGAAATATTTTAAATTCCTAACAATGAAGCTTTATTTAAACGGATGTAATTTTATCCGCGCAGAAATGGCAGCAACTAAAGCGTGAGGCGGCCAATACGTCCAACCTGCTTATACCCTGGGAACTACGCATCAAGGAAATTGAATCGCATTTCGGATCAGTTGTAGCCTCCTATTTCACTTTTCTGAGGTGGCTGTTTTGGGTTAACTTGGTTATCGCCTTTATTTTACTCGTGTTCGTCATCGTGCCCGAGGTATCATATTGTTGTATTATAACTATAAATATAAAATGTTTCAAATTTAACATAAAAATGTAGTGTAATATACATATATTATTGGAGTGGAGCGAGTGGAGCTCCCATGACGCAAGAAAACGATTCTTTGAAATCTATCTCCTCCGTAACCCGTAGGCCAATTTACATAATTTTTCGGCAATATTGGTAGCTCAACGCAGACAAGGTCTGTAAACAATAAAAATCGGAATTTGTATTTTTTTAGATTCGCTGCTAATTTACTTCTGCGCAATGTCACACTATTTGATTGAATCTTTTATTGAAATAAAAATAGTGATTATGACTTTAGACTATTACTCCGCTCCATTTATGCTGCTAGCAAAAAGTTTTACCATTGCATCTGCATTGGCCCTAGTAATTCAAATTACAAAATGCGTTTAACTTACAAAGTTTATATATTGCACTCGTGCATTACGCTATGAAATTTAAATAAAATATCTGAATGTTTAATAATAACCACTAATTTCAATTTCGATATGTGTCCCGTCAAGTCGATGAAGGAATATACGCTAAAGATATTAAAAACAATTGAAAGATAGTGGAATAACCATTTTTAAAATCCCTAAGACTAAAAGTTGGTTAACAACCTCTTTAAAAGTAGATGGCGGTAAAATCTATACCGCCCAGCACGGTATTTTTAACCTGCCTATCACCATTATTACAATTCCTCCTTTTAGGAATAATATTTATTGAGACATAGTTCTTATGAGGTATTTAAATAAATGAACGATTAAATATTAATATATTTGTAAAATTAGCTTTTCATATGTTTCAGTATCTCACCGCGAATCCGTTACAAGATGGGGAGAGAAAAATCATAATGGAAGAAGAACGACCAAATTCTACGAAACTGCTCACAGTTTGGGAGTTTGAAGGAGTGTTAAAATATTCTCCTATTTTCTACGGCTATTATAGTAATGTCGAAAGACCAGAATATCGAATGCCGCTTGCTTATTTCCTTACAGGATTGGTGGTGTACATTTATAGTTTCGTCGCCATATTGAGGAAGTGAGTTAAATATATCTTTTATGGATACGCGGGATACGATGGTTGTCTAGTTCTTGTTGCTTAAGTGTTTCTTTAAATTTCTATTTAATGAATTTGTAAGTAAAATTAACTTTGTTGAACCAAGTTCCAAAAGCGCGAAGTTTTTGTGTCTGTTCACCGATTTGTCGGAAACGGCTGAACGGATTTTCATTATTCTTCTTTTATCAATTAAATGCTGCCCCATATAAATTTAAAGAATAAAAATCTTATCTAAGAGGGGAAAAATAGGACTTAAAGTTTATAATGCTAATATTTAATGCAATAATGCTAAGATTAGTTTTTAGTTATTTGATACATAATGTCTTAGCACTAATTTATTAAATATATCCTTTTTTGTTTCTGAAATCGGTTTTACTGATTCTAAAGTATATTTATATAACATGCATACACGTGAAGTTCGCCAAAACGCATTGGGGCAACAAGAAACGAGAGAGAGCCTGTACCCAGAAGTGGGACGTATATAGGATTTTTCGTTTTGTTTTATTATATATAGGAGAGGGGGCAAACAAACATACAGCTCACCTGACGGTAAGTGATTACCGCTGCCCATGAATACTGCACCACCAGGGGAATTGCAGATGCGTTGCCGGCGTTTTGAAAAGGAGTAGGCTCTTTTCTTGAAGGTCCCTAAGTCGTATCGGTCCGGAAAGATCTCTGTGTATCTTGTATCTTTATGTTACTTTTTTAATTAATTACCATGTGATCAAAGTATAAAAACTTCTCTTTTTCCGTGAGTGTCGTAAGGACCAGCTTAGAGGAATGCTCAATATATTATCTTATGTAATAATTTCTCCAGAAATCCCCAGACCGGTGTCAGGAAATATGAAGGTACGAACGTGGCGTTACAACACGTTCATACACAAAATCACACTATTGTACATTTTGGTGTTATGAACGATTATGTCGCTGCTATTATTTAAAGAAAGACTGTTTATCCAAATATTTTATCCCTGCTCTCACCTATCTAGCATTTATCTATTTATGAGAAGATAAGAAAAAAGGAGGATATTGTTACGAGCTTGAGGTTCGTGACAATAAAAATTGCCGATAAAATTACCTAAATTAACACTTTAATTTTCTTTACACAAATTAAAACTTAAAACACTAATAATTAATCACACTAATTCACTTTATTTCGCTCCGAAGCTTCGCTTATCTCGCCGAATTCAATACTTCCCCAGATCGCATCTCGCAGCGCCTATTTATATAAATTAGCACGGAAATATCCAGAATATTCAAGTAAACACGCGCAAGGTACCGAGAGTTCGAGTTTCAACTTTAAGAAGTTTAGTTCTTCGGTTCGAGACTAGATGGCGATAGTGCCGTCGACTAAGGCGCGTAACACTGCCCCCTCCTAAGACATGCTCGTCCCGAGCATTATCGGCCCCATAATAACGCGCCAGGCTAGCCACATGGACGATCTTAGGAGTCCCTCTTGCGCCTTTCTGTATCCGGTAGGTTACATCGTTGATCCTGGTCACAATCCGGTACATGCCATCCCATTTAGCTTGAAGCTTAGGAGATTTCCCTTTGCTGCGGACGGGATTATGCAACCACACTAGTGAACCTTCGTCGAACCCTTTGTTGTTCATTTTGCGGTCGTACCGGGTTTTCATCTTTTCAGACATTTGCTGGCCCGATTGTCTGACGTGCTCATAAATGTCATTCATTTTGTTCCGCAAGTCATTTGCATAATTGGTTATACTACGTGGAGCATCAGGTGGTATCCCGGTGATCAGGTCTGCAGGCAGCCGTAATTCTCTTCCAAAGTTTGCGAAAGCTGGTGTCACTGCTGTACTTTCGTGAACAGCGCTTCGATATGACAACAAAAACGGTTGTATGTGCTTGTCCCAATATCGTTGCCGATTGTCTACAACTTTTACTAGGTACCTCTCCAATATCTGATTAAATCGTTCTACCATTCCATCAGATTGCGGGTGATAAGAAGTCGTTCTTGTTTTATGAGTACCCATAACTCGGCAAGTTTCCAGGAATATTTGAGATTCAAAATTCCTTCCTTGATCGTTGTGAATCTCTAAAGGTACTCCAAAACGACAGAAGACTTCATGAACTAGTTTATCTGCAACTATTGAAGCTTCTTGATTTGGAATGGCGAAGACTTCTGGCCACTTAGTGAAGTAATCCATCACAACCATGAAATACTTGTTACCGTTTTCACTCTCCGGAAACGGCCCCGCCACGTCAATGGCTATTCTCTCCCATGGTGCACCAACATTGTACAACTTCAATGCACCTCTACTACGAGTCTGAGGTCCCTTTACAGCCGCACAACTTGTACATTTGCGACACCAGTCCTCGACATCGTTTCGACAGTGGACCCAGTAAAACCGTTCTCGGATCTTCAGTAGAGTTCGTTTAACTCCCAGATGGCCTCCTGAATAATCATTATGGTACAGCTGTAGAACATCCGGTACTTTAGCTTTAGGGACAACCATTTGTAAATGACAGCTGTCTCCCCGAACATTTTCCCATTTAGGGCACAGAACTCCATTCTGAAGCAGCAAGCTGTCCGATTGGGCCCAATAGCTTTTAGTGGTCGAATTCATCGCGGAGACGTCGCTCCACTTGGGCTTGGGAGCACTGGCCTTCATCCATTCCAGAATCGGCTTGATGTCCGGATCTTCCTGCTGTGCATGTTGTAAGCTGTCCTTCCGCTCGTTGCTGAGGTGGTCTGTCCTGAGCATCCTCACGGATACCACTTCCTTACTCTCCTGCCTAGTACAATGTTTGCAATCTTCAGGACAAGGTCTACGTGATAATGCATCTGCGTTGCCATGAGATTTCCCGCTGAGATGTTCGATCTCAAAGTCATATTCCTGCAGTAGTTCAATCCTCCTCGCAACTTGTCCTTCTGGATTTTTAAACTGCAATAGCCATTTTAGTGCAGCATGGTCAGTTCGTAAGTGAAATTTCCGCCCCAGAAGATATTTGCTAAAATGCTGCAATAGTTCCTTTCCGATTTTGACAATGACTTGCTGAAGTACGCTATCACGACCTCTTAGTCACCATTCCGTTGAGCCAACACAACGCCAAGTCCTATATCACTTGCGTCTGTGTCAACTATAAATTCTTTGCTTGCATCAGGGTATCCCAAAATAGATGTTTTGCACAGACGGTCCTTGAGCTCCTGGAATGCGATATTGCAACTTTCATCCCAGCAGAAATGTCGCTTCTCCTCGGTTAGCTTATGCAGCGGTTTGGTTATATCTGCAAAGTTCTTCATAAATCGCCGGTAATAGGAGCACAAACCCAAAAATGCTCTAACCTGCGTCTTGTCTTTTGGAACCGGCCAATCCTTGACAGCTGCTATTTTCTCTGGATCCGTGCGGATACCTTCTTCCGATACTGCATACCCCAAAAAGTTGACTTGCCGTTTGAATAGTGAACATTTCTTCGGACTCAACTTGAGGTTGGCACTCTGAATCTTCATGAGCACGCGTTCCAGGTTTTGAAAGTGTTCCTCAAACGTACGGCCCACGATGATGATGTCATCCAAGTAGACCAGACAGGCATCGCCAATTAGCCCGGTGAGTACAAGTTCCATCAGGCTTTCAAACGTTGCTGAAGCATTGCACAACCCAAACGGCATTACTTTAAATTGCCACAGACCCTTTCCCGGCGAAAACGCGGTTTTCTCCTTGTCCTTAGGGTCAATTTCAACTTGCCAGTAGCCACTTTTTAGATCCAGCGTGCTAAACCACTTTATTCCTGTAAGCATGTCCAGCGGGTCATCAATTCTTGGCAAGAGATAGCTGTCCTTCTTCGTAACGTCGTTCAGACGGCGGTAGTCAACACAAAACCGCATGCTGCCATCCTTCTTCTTTACCAGCACTACGGGTGAACACCATGGACTAGAGGAAGGTTCAATAACACCATCCTTCACCATTCCTTCAATCATGGTTTCCACTACCTTTTCACGTGCTACCGGCAATCTTCTTGGTCGCTGACGGATAGGCAATTCTTCTCCTGTGTTTATTTTGTGTTGAACTAAGCCAGTCTTACCTATGTCAGCATCGTTTGACGAGAATACATTGGCGTACTTGAGTAACAACTTCTTTGCCTTGGCCATTCGTTCGTGACACGTTCGGGGAGTGAGCGCTACGACAGTCTTTCATAAGTGTGGTCACTCTCGTTTGTGCGTCCTTGCTAGGGATCTCACTCGATAGATATCGGCACCGACGTAACCAATCCACTTCCTCACAAGTACCAATCAGCGTGCCTTTTTCTATAATTTGTTCCCGGTCACAAAGGTTCAGCACACGTACTCCTGAGATGTCAGTGGTCCTGACCAAGGTTCGAGCTACTTTCCATGGAAAGTCATTGTTTACCCTTTCCACAAGTACACAACGGTGAGCTTGCCCAGCGTTTCGAGGAAGACTAACCGGCACAATCGTTTCTGATCTCGGCGGAAGAACAATCTTCTTAATGCTGTACACGTTCCCTGGTAACGCACCTTCCATAAAAAGTTCCTCCTGTCCACATTTCAAAACACCTTGCTTAACGTCGATCTCACAACGATTATTCCTCATAAAGTCTAGGCCAAGGATGCAGTCGTCCATTATATCAACCACGATGACATTATGCAGGTAGATCACGTTGCCTAGTTTCAACTCCATCTCCTTCTCTCCACGGACGGGTATACGCTGACCGGTGGCTGTTACCAAATTAATGCGTTCACGGTTGTATGCGGAGTCCCCAAGGAACTGACTTATAAGTTGGGAACTAACAATCGTACGAGAGGCTCCAGTATCTATGGTCAGTTTACACGGCATTCCGTTGACCTCGCCCTTGATGATTAGACTGTTCCCATCATGGGTTTGTGAGATCGAGATCCTTGGGGCTCTTTTAACATCAGCCAACACCCGCCCCGCAGTTCTGGCTTTTACTCGTTTCCCTGCTGCTGCTGGGCGGTGCTGTTGGCCGCACTACCCTCCTGAGGTCGTTCACCTTCCCTTTCTAGGGTTCGCTTAGGGCAGCTGGATCGAAGATGGCCCTTTTCCCCACAGCCATAGCACCTAGGGCTGTATCCTTTGTTGCGGTCGCGTACTGTAGCTGCTGCAACCTCCCTAATGTGATGGGAACGATGATCCTGCCGCACGGCTTCTGCCTCTAGTGCATGGGCCAAGGCGTCCTTAAGCGTGTCGTGGTGCCCGAGTCTCACAGTAGCTCTGACTTCAAGGTCGCGGATGCCGTCGATGAATGTCTGAATCAGGTTCCCTTCAATGAGCGCAGGTACAGACTGGTATGCTTTTCGAACCATCTTCTCCACCTCAAGGGCCCACTGCTGCAGGTTTTCGTTGCTGCGCTGCACGCGATCTTTAAGCTGCGCGCGAAAGACGTGTTCCAGGTGAGCGTCGCCATATCTCGCCTCCAAGGCCTCAAGGAGCTGCTCGTAGGTCACTTTCTTACCGAGAGCTTCCAACACAGTTAAGGCTTGGTCGCGCAGGCCTAGGGTGAGTGCAGTCATGGCTTGGCTTTTATTCCAGCCGTTCGCCTCCATGACGGCCTCGAACTGGATTTTGTAGGCCGACCAGGAAGAGGTCCCGTCGAACGGCGGCACTTTGAATCCACGTAGCGAATGTGTTGTAGCTACTACGGGAGCTGTTGTTCCATCCCCAAGTTTGAGGTCGTCCAGCGTTTTCTTCACGTCAGCCATTACGTTGTCAACCCGATTGTTTACTTGGTCGATTCGGGTTTCAGCTTCCGACAGGCGGTTGTCATGTTGAGCAACCTTATCCTTCACCTCCCGTATCTCTTTTCCGAAGATAGCGTGAAGGTCCTTCATGAGGAGCATCTGCTCTTCCTTATCGCGTTGGAGTTGCTCTTCTAAACGACGGGCCTGTTTCTCCCGCCGACGAGCATGTTCCTCCTGTCTGCCCCGTAGTTGCTCTTCCAATCGGCGGGCCTGTTCCTCCTGTCCGCCCCACAGCTGCTCTTCGAAACGGCGGATCTGTTCCTCCTGTCGGCGGGCCTGTTCCTCCTGTCGGCGAGCCTGCTCCTGCAGCATCACCTTCAGAGCACCTAAGTCAGGTGCTGCAGATGTAGGAGCTACTAACGGGCCTGCAGCCGGCGGCTGGCCCTCCGACTCTGCGGCGTTGCACCACCAAATCTTCTTTGGTCCGTCTCCTGCTAGCGTTGACTTCGGTACGGACACCCTCCGTTTCCTCCTTAGGTAAAATCGGCATGATTTTATCCCACTTCTGACACCAATTGTTACGAGCTTGAGGTTCGTGACAATAAAAATTGCCGATAAAATTACCTAAATTAACACTTTAATTTTCTTTACACAAATTAAAACTTAAAACACTAACTAATTCACTTTATTTCGCTCCGAAGCTTCGCTTGTCTCGCCGAATTCAATACTTCCCCGATCGCATCTTGCAGTGCCTATTTATATAAATTAGCACGGAAATATCCAGAATATTCAAGTAAACACGCGCAAGGTACCGAGAGTTCGAGTTTCAACTTCAAGAAGTTTAGTTCTTCGGTTCGAGACTAGATGGCGCTAGTACCGTCGACTAAGGCGCGTAACAATATTTTAATAATTCAGTTAACTTCATTATCTAAATCAATTTACATAATGTAACATTTTACGTATACTTATATATTTTCCTTTTATAGGACAAAATAAAATACTATACTATTTTACAAGAAACCATACAATCTATCAACCATAATCCATTAACTATGTTATCTGTAAAATTATTAATAAAATCTATAAAGTGAACCCTTAAAGTAATTACATACGTACGCATGACTGAACCAGCAAACTTATGATCTCAATTTTACAGAATGGCAGAAAATTCACGTATGTCAAAATTATCAGAAAAGGAAGACGAATGTATATTTTCTTGGAAGCTGTTTACAGGCTGGGATTTCATGATAGGCAATGCAGAAACCGCTCATAACCGTATTGCTTCAATCATTCTAGGTTTTAAGGAAGCTTTATTAGAAGAAGCTGAAAAGAAGAAAGATTTAAGGAAGTATGAGATTTATGTTAAAAGAAAATTTAGGCCCGGTGTATATATTTGAGCATTATTTTTATGTTAAGCTTATATTTTCAGTTGGCGTATTATTTCATTGCGAGCACTGGTCAATATTTGCGTCATTATTCTACTTGGAGTATCTGCATACGCAGTAGTAACAGTGGTATCTCGCTCTGATGATAACTCCAAATCTCACAGTTGGTGGCGAGAGAATGAAACTACTATCGTAGTAACTGTAATTTCGATCACGTTTCCAGTCTTTTTTGAGCTCCTTGGCTTTTTAGAACATTACCATCCCAGAAAACAACTGAGACTCCAACTTGCAAGGTAACGTTCTAATCAACGATAAGAAATTTAATCGTAATTTCTTTCACATAAATGTTTTTTTTTTCTTTTTCAGAATTATGCTGTTAAATTTACTAAACTTATATTCACTAATTTTCGCCCTATTTAGTAAAATTGAAGGAATGAGCAAAGAATTGGATTCACTGCAACCAACTTTAAATATGAACGCAACTGCTGTTCCCGAAAATGCATTAGATTTAAGTGAATCATTAATAAAAAGTATTCCAACATCTTGTTATGAAATTGCTATACCATGTTTACCTTGCTATTTGCTGACATCGCCTCAACAGTTTTCTAATGCAACTCCAGAAAACTCTTTTACTATAAAAAGGTCTTCAACTAAAATACCTTTTACAGTTAACAAAAATGATAAACTCAAAATACCTCAAAACTTGAAAAAATACGACAATAATGAAACATATACAGTAATTGAAGAAGTACCTACTCCAAATAGTATTTTGCTTACAATAAAAGAACTTGCCCGGCTTAGAAACATAAGCAATATAACAAGAAACTCTACAGAATCAGATGAAACTATTTTAGAAGTTTATGACTATGACAACGATATCGAATACTATGAGACAACTACGGTTGATATAACAACCTTATCAAGTACTTTAACAATGAGTAATACATCAGCTGACTACACAGAGGAATACCCAAACATCACGGAGCAACTTAATATAATTAATAATTCCTATTTTCAGAAAATAGATATTTCAAGTAGTCCCTCCTATGAATTATCTTTAAGTACTGGTACAAATAATGACACAGATATTAAGTCAACGACTGAAATTATATATGACGATAAAAGTTTTAATACAAGCGAAGATTACTTAGCAGCTACATTCGAAAATATTTTTTCTCAATCGGAAACTTATACTAATATTACAGTTCTTGATACAACAGAAGCTACAGTAGAAAATACAAGTTTAGAAATTGTAAGTAACACTTCAAATGAATACAATGATGTATCAACAACCACAAATCATCCATTTAGTGACGAAAACTTAGATACTTCAAATTTCAACAACAATATACATTTTTTCGAGAGTACTGCCGCCTATAATTCAGATTGGTTAGAAATAGATAATATGAGCACAATCGCAACAGATTTTTTGACTAGCACGTATATCAACGATTTAACAGTGTGCCCAAATATTACATTCAATTGGTCTATTAGCTGTGGGGAAAAGAATATAACCCAAGTTTTTTTTATGTTTAATTGCTCTGTAACTGAAATAAAGTGCTACGTAAAAGAATGTGATATATTAGTAATACACAAAGATACAAATAAGCGTCAATTAAACACAACTGCAGTTGATATCGTTTATTTTGATCAAAATAACAGAAAGGTGTATAATCTAACAAAAGCTACTCAAAAGAAATTATTAAAACTTTGTTGGGAAACCATGTTTGGACAAGAGTTAGTAAAATTAACCGTGATGGATTTGGTAATATCAATAATTTCTTGCAAAATTATTTTGTACATTATATAAATTTTCTCCTACTTAACGGTTGCCTGTCTATCCTTTTCAGGTATTTGTTTTATTAGGTACTTTGTTTATGGACTTTTTTCGAGCTTTATTCGTGAGATATATGAACCGGTGTTGGTGTTGGGATTTAGAAAAAAAATTTCCTGAATATGGTGATTTCAAAATTGCAGAAAGTATTTTACATCTTATAAATAATCAAGGAATGGTTTGGATGGGAATGTTTTTTTCACCGGGTCTTGTTGTACTTAATGTTTTCAAATTAATGATTATGATGTATTTGAGATCTTGGGCTGTTATGACATGTAATGTCCCACATGAGGTTGTTTTTAGAGTATCCAAAAGTAATAACTTTTACTTGGCATTGTTATTAACTATGTTATTTTTATGTGTGTTACCTGTGGGATATACTATAGTTTGGGTTAAGCCTTCATGGCATTGTGGACCATTCTCAGAATATGAAAAAATTTATCAAATATTGACGAATAACATATATAAACTCTTACCAAATAGTCTTAACTTTGCACTTGAATATATTGCATCACCTGCCATTGTTATTCCATTATTGGTCCTGTTGATACTGATTATATATTACCTAACATCGCTGACTAATTCCTTAAGAGAAGCTAATAACGATTTAAAGGTGAGTCAAAATCTCTCATAAATTTAAGCATAAAATAAACTCTTAGCAAAAAAGCATATAGCTCACCTGATGGCGAGTGACTACTGCCATCTGTGAATAAAGGTTTAGAGTTTTAAGGAGAGGTTTAGTTGCAGAGGCAGCACCAGATGAGTTGCTGATGCATTGCCTTATTTTTCAAAGATTCTATGTTCCAAGTCATGATGAAAAAACGCAGGAGACTTGTAAATTTTACAACATGTTTGTGTGGTAGCCAAACATTTTTAAAATAACGCACGATGGTGGATTGTAAAACATTGAAATGGTATAGATTGAATTTAGAATTGTGGCATACTGTGCGTTTGTGGGACCAAAAAGCTAGAATTAACCGAAAAATTCCTCATTGTTTTAGATTCAATTACGTCGCGAACGAACGGAAGAAAGGAGGAAAATGTTTCAACTAGCTGATACAAGAAGACGCGGAGGGCCTTCTGCTATTGATAGTACACCTTTCTCACGTTGGAAAAAAGCCTTACCGTCACTTCCTATGAGCAAATCTATCGATTCAGAAGATCGGAAAACTGTAGCAGCAGATGAAATGAAAGAAAACCCAAAGATCACAAAAAAGCAAGGTAAAATATCATCTTATACAAATAATGATACAAAGAGTGAAAAACCTTATCCAACCCGTGAAATTCTTATTCGACTTCACTATTTGACTCTAGATAATATTCCTCCTTTTAATTGAATAATCAAAAATAACGAAAATATAAAATATAGTTAAATAACCAAAATTACACGAATAGTTGATAACGTCGAGCAACTGCTACGCAATGTCACAAATCCGCTGGACACACCCATCAGCAAACAACGATTATATACTTTTATGTAAAGATTAATCAATTACTCGGCAAATATATCGATATTACAGCTGTTGCACTTATGCTGTTCAATGTTTTAATGCGACGATGTTTCAATGTTTAACTCTCATCCCGGCATATCAAGATGCTCAAATATTTTTGATTAAAGTAGGACCTTACTCGAGTCGCAAATAACAAGTTATAATTACTCTAAACTATGTACAAAATCAGGCAGGCAGGCAGCACGTGTGACGAAGCGGCGGCTTCCGGTGTTTTTGAGCCCTCGCGGACCTTTGATGTCAGAAATAGCAATAGGATAGAGCAATACAGCTTTGCGAAGAATAGACTAACATACCGCGGAGTATATTTAAGTGACACAAAAAATATTGACATTATAATCTTAAAACAGATTTTTTTTTTAAAAGCTTGCTCATATTAGAAAAAATTGTATTTAAATACTTAGATATTCAAATTGTAGGTAATATTAGCTTTTCATAATATTAGTGGTTTTTTTTTCTATTTATATAATATAGAATTTATGTCTTAATACATTTTGTATACTTAAATATTTTCATATAAGTACAATATCTATGATATGCATTACTATCCCCCAGGTGGAATATTCGCAAAAATTGTTGGCTTGGCCCTCGATAAAAAGCCAATAATAAAATCAGAAACATCGATACTGACATTGCCTCGAACTACCGACGATGAAACAGACACGGAATTTCATGAAAACTTACCGAAAGAAATATTAAAAATCAAGGATATTACTGTCGTCAAAATTGCAGATCATAAGAAAAAGTCTAATGTTGAATTCAAACACAATGAAAATGAAGTAGCAAAACAAAGGACTGAACCAGTTAAAATAAAAATAGAAAAGATTGGTGAACGTACAGAAAAGAAGGCTATATTAGAGAAATTTAAAGAAGATAAAATCATTGAAGAAGATACAATCTCTTTATCATATAAGACAGCAAACAAAGAATTAACTAGAAAAAAAGATGAAACTCTTGAAAAAAAAATTAACAAAAAGCAGACATCAGAATCAAGCACTCAGTCAAAACAATCAGATTCAATTAGTTCCGTAATACCAGTTATAACGATTAGTACAACAGAAAGTGATGATGAAATTTTGCAACCATCAAGAATATCCGAGGAGACCAATAATAAAAAAATTGAATATCAGCCTAAAGAGGAAGAACCTGCAAAAAAATCCAAAAGAAATACTTCCGAATTAAAATCACTTCGTCGACAAAGTAGCGTGGATAGCATTAATGAAAACAAAGTATATAAAGGGAAAATGTCAGAAGATGGACATAAATATCAATATTCTTTATGAATTTTAATAATCAGAGTAACCTAAAAAAAATTTCAATAGTGTAGAAACTATATACTTTTTAGTGAACATATTATATGCATATATAAGTATATCTCAGACTGAGATTTTGATTAAAATTATACTTTATTTAATATTGAAATGTCTGACACTAATTTATCATAGCTGGTTCTATTTTAGGTAGGTTAATTATACTCGCAAAATAATTTATTTAGGTAGTAAAATTGTAATTTAGACCCCTCTAGAGATATCTATCACTGAAAATTTTATATATAGTTTTTAAACTTAATCTTCTGATTACGTATCATTACTACATACTATATGTTCACTTCACGCTCCATCACCTTGGTTGGTGCCCTTACCACCACTTACTGTTGGTGCTTTTTACATATGATTTACCAGTTACCATTTATATTACTTACATAAACCAGTTTTGCATATTTTCTGGACACCCGAACATAAAAAATATGTATAGAAGCCACGGAAGGCTTAACTAATAATTTTTCAGTTTGATTTATTATCCGTACATCACTATATATTTCATTTCAGCATTGAAACAAAATTATATGAAGCATCCTAACTGAAATATGTCTTCAAAAAACAAAAAAAACAAACGCAAACTTAATTTTTTCACTGTCAGATTTTCAGACTATATCTATGAGATATATGTAGTGCACAGGATAGCGAATGGGAAAGGATCGATGGCCATTCAAAATTATTCTAAACCAGCGTATATTACCTCTCGCATAATTATTATTTTGTTTACGTAAAAATAAAGGTTGATTCTCTCTTTTAATTACAGTAGCAGATAGTTTACGATCTAAGTTAATTGATAAATGTTAAAATAACAATGTATACTAAATTAATTAAAAAAATCATCTAAAAATGTTAAAAAAGGTTAATTATGTTGTCATTGAACTGATACCAATGAATATGCAAAAATGTGATGAAAATGGACTTAAATAAATAATAATATAGTATACCTATGATATATACTCAGATCTTTGTATTGTATATCAGAACACAACAGACAAATGCATTCATAAAAATATTTCAGTATTGCTGCGTCGATCGCCCCCCCCCCCCCCCTTGCCTCTTCATATTATATACAAACTGGTCGATGCACAGGCAATCTCTTCTCTGAATTTGTTAAAAAAAATTAATCTCCGCTACCCTTCCCGAACCCTGTGGCTCACTATCGATGAGTGGGACATCATCACTCTGCGACTGGCCGGCGCCCGCGCAACATGGGGCGTGCCGTTGTGCTCCTACTTTTATATTTGAGCGCCGCTTGCGCAGAAATTTTGACACCCCCGTACTTTAACTTAGCGTTTGGAAAGAAAATTACCGCAACAGCGACATGCGGCGACGAAGGACCGGAACTCTACTGTAAACTGGCCGGCGCTAACGCCGACCACGACGAGCATGTAATCCAAGGACAGGTATTGTTTTTCTTTATTACACATTCACTCAGTAAGAATTCGTGACACCTAATAATAATATTATTGTTTACTTTTCACAATTAAGTTGCAAATTTTCATACGTAGGCCGAGAGTAAAAAACTTTATTTGATTTATTTTTAAATATATAACACATTTTTGTTTTAAATTATTACAGTATATTTTGTAGTAAATGTTATATAGTTAAACAAAAATATTATGTATTTACGTGCATAATATTTTAAATTCATAAAATTTATAACTGTTAAATATTTACTTAGGTAAAATAAAATTGATACATGTGTATAATATTTAAATTTAATGATGACGTAACTAACACTTTTTGTGTTTTATGTTTAAGCTGTATATATTTTTACTATCTTTATAAATAATGTCGAATATCTAGATTTAGTTAACAAAATAACTATTGTAAAAATGAGACAGCCTCCCAACTATTAGGAAGCCAAATGGGAACTTTTGATAACGCTTTCTTATCGTACTCGCGTCGCGTCCTGTTGGCCAAGCATCCCAAAGATAACAGTCGGTCCCGGGATATATTGATTACAAAAACTGAGTTTACTTACTATTTTTTGTTCTAAATTAGGTAATAGTAGTAATAGGTAATAATGGTCTGCTTGCGTTAGTTCATCCAATCCACAACATTTTGAGAAGCTCTCCAAGACATGAAACAAACTCTAAGTATTCTGAGAATTTACACGTATTCGCTTTGAAATGATAACTTAAATTTTGCAATATTAGCTATTATTAGATTATGCACATTTGAAGTGCTTTATCACATATTAAGTTTATTCTTATCGTGACGCAAAGCGGTGAAATTATAATTTCAAATTATATTTAGGCTCATATTATGAGGAAAATAAACAGTAAAAAAGCAAATTTCGGAAACTATTGGATTTTTTTTATATTATTTATTTTTATAATAACTATTTACGTGTGACAAAAAGTAATCACTAAAAATAAAATTTATTATTTTTTAATAACAATATTTCATCATAAAGATTTAATAAATAGCTCTCTATGGCTAGGGCTTTTTAATGTTTAAATTGCAACATTCTTTTTATTTAAACACTTATTTCAAAAAAATTTAAAACTTTTGTTGCCTCAAATGAGAACGTTCAGGGCCAGAATTTAGTAAAATATGATTCTAGATTTACTTATATGTATATCTTTATGCGTACACAGTCGTGGTTGTAAACGAGCAGTTATATAAATGAAATTGGTATGTAATGTTCCGCACCAGTTCATTCATTGTAATTTGTTGATAAGGGGTTCATAAGTCAACTAGTATTTCGAAGAGGCCGTTACACTTACACATGCTCTACATTATTTATAATATTCTTATTCTTTTTACTTTCTATCATAATGTAATTAAGAGATTATTAACAAATTAAGTATAATAAAGAAGATAGATAAATTAAGAGTACTCTTAACCGACCAGCATGTATGTAGAATTACGACTTTACGAGTACGGATGTAGAAGAAGCGAGCGAGGTGTGTCAGGATTGTGCCATGTGGATATCCGTAGTCTGCTCTCTGCTCGAATGGGCGACTGGTATAAGAGCTTATTATTATTGTGTGCATAGACAACCTCGTATGCAATACTTCATAATAATATTTTTATTCTTGTTACTTTCATAATATAATTAAGAGGTGATGTAGATTATTAAGAAGTTAAAAATAATAGAGAATATAGACAAATTAAGAGTACTCTACCTACGAACATGTACGTAAATATACTAGTATGGATGTAGAAGAAGTAGTCTGCTCCTCTGGAGTCTGGGCGGGTGGCGTAAGAGCTTTTCGTTACGTTTCTATAAACGAGTGCTCTCTACTTTTGTGGAGGATTTAGAGTGTGATAAACAGAAGAAGTAGAAAATTGTTAGTTAAAACTAATTTAAAAGATTCTTGTGTCTAATTTCAATCTATTTATTATACGTTACATTATTTTGTTTAACATCGCCTGTTAGTAGGTATGGGTCAAATGTTGCAACTGAATTTTAAACCAGATCCACTGAAATTCATTATTTAAACTGAAATTATGCATTAACTTTTAGTGTTAGTGACATTATAATCTAGTGTACTTAGTTATGCATTTTTTCAAAAAGACATATTTTCTTTACAACACCCTCGATATGGACATTATATATATTATATATATTTGTCAAAAAGTCTGAATGAATGAATGAATGAATATACTTTATTGCACACCACAAACAAATTTACAAAGAACATAACAGAGAGCAGATTACATGTACAATTTGGCGGCCTTATCGCTAAAGTCTCAGCAGAAATATATGCAATAATAGTTTTTTTTTGTGAGACATGCCAGTTTTATTTTATTTTGAAACTACCATTAATAAAAAGTAATGAAAGAAACAAACGTTCCAATTTCAAATTTCCGTTCACATTTTAATTAGTCAAATTGAAGTTTAGCACTTTCGTGTGATAATTTTTTTATTAATTAAAAAGTCGCCTAAACCCAGATGAATCGTTTGATAAACATCAATTGGCTTTTATCTAAAAAAAGGTTTTCTATGGCAATCGTGTACCGCTTGTTGAAAAAATTCAGCACGATCTACAAATTTTGAAAAATGGAGTGGTAGTGCTTTGACGGCTGTTACCATTAAATTTATAAAGGCTGTTACGGAAGGAAAAGCATTAACAATGAAATATTTTATCGAAGTGAATAGGTGAATTACGTATTAAGAAGTTCATCACATACTACAGATTGAATCATGAAGCATTCACTAGATTTTGTACCAACACCTTCACTTAAAGTAGGTACTTTGTAAGATTTTGAAAGTATAAACCTCAACCACATAAGTATATTTTTTAGTTCCGCAAAACTTTCTAAGTGGCCTACGTACGTTACATCATTCTCATTTCAATATAGCTGATGCTGCGTGATAGCGGTTATCAACTTATTTAATTTTTTAGGTTAACTATAAAACTAGAACGTTCAGCATCCTAATTCTTCTGTGACTATATGGTCAATAATCATAGACTACTAAAACAAAAAATATTTAATAATGATAATACAACATTTCATTGATTTTTATACATATATAAATAATCCAAATAGTCACAATATCGATAAGTACAAATAGGTACACTATTTTCTTTGCGTAATAAACTATACTATTACTTGGCTTTACCACGGTAATATTATCTATACAGTATTCCAACTTCATACAAACGGACGAAGCGAGAGCTATGCCTACGCGCCTTGATCTCGGCATGCGCTCGGCATGCAGACAGTCGAGACTGTGCCGCAGTCACTATTTTGTGAAATATATAAAAAAAATGGAGGAAATAAATAATAGAATAGAAATAAAGAAATAATAAATCTGAACTTCATTTAAAAAAAAAACATATAAATTGTAAAGTAGCTATAACCAATTAAAAGATATTCCTTTTCTCCACGTTGTCCATGTTTCCCAAAACAATTTTTAATTTATATTATTTTTAGCTTTATATTAGAAAGCGGATTTTTTATATTTAAAAATCTAATAATAAAGCATTTCATAAGTCTCAGCCGAGGTGCAAATATTTTTCGGTCGCAAATTTATTTAACCGATTTGTTATTCAAACATAAACATGGTTTTTTAATTAAATCTACCAATCAAAAAACGACACGCATTTTTATTGAACACTTCCTATTCAATTCACAAAGTACCTATTTTATTTGTTTATATAAAAAGTATATTTACAATCATAAAACACAAAGTAGGCAAATGTAAAAATGCTGGAGGCAGGTAACCCTATCACATGTTTTCGTGCCGCACGGCTGTAGGCATTTATTTGTAAGATACGGCCGAGTTACAATACTGTATAGATAATATTACCGTGGCTTTACTTCTGCTTATTATAGGTATAATCTCAGACGAAATAAAAACTTTTGAGAGTTTTTATTTCGTCTGAGGGTATAATTATAATTTTAAAGAATGACATACAAATTCATTATTACATTCGTTTTGGGAAAGTAATTCAATATTCAATATTGCGTAATAATTAATTTTATAATTTGCAATACGAGTATAGTATGTATTAGCTTTTATTAAACAAATAATTAACTTCGTAATGTGGGTACAGATACTATCCGAAATGTGTTCCAATATTTGATACTACCAAGGCTCTAATTTGGAATACTCGTTACCGTTCGGAGAACTTCGTCAGTCTTCGGCACGTCTCTTGATATTTTTGCGGACATGTGGTGGCCAAATGCGTTTGCGCATCCCAACTTGTGCCGCTCTGTTGTTCCGCTCAAATCTCACACAATGGCGTCCAAATTTGAATGTTCTTTTTTTCGGCACATGCTATTCGCGTGTTTAAAAAAAAAGACAAAGTTTGTGAATAAAAGGATTTATTGGATGTTTTCAAAGCGTCTTTTTCTCTTTACGAAAGTAGAATGATAATGATGTTCTTAATACTACAATATTACTACACGATAATGAACTCTTTCCACATCTTTTTTCTTCAATGTTATTATGACAGAAAAGCAACTGTATATTATGGCATATAATTTCTTTTGCTCTCCAGTTTCAAATCTAAGATATTTATCTTTTTTAAAGAATAAAGGTAACAAACGGACACACAGTTCACTTGATGGTAAGTGAGTGTTATGAACCATAGACATTCACAAACTATTCTCGATAAGAATCGTAATGGAAATGCGTTATGACACCCCTAAAGACTAAGATAGAATGCCTTGTTTTAAGCAGCTATTTCACGCTGGTATTCTGTGAGAGCGTGGTCTTTCTCCGGTGCTACAAATACTGTAATAATATTGCTCGTGCAAATATTATTGCTGCAGCATAGTTCTACCACATAAAATATCTATTATAAAATAAAATATCATCATTGATTATAGCGTTAGCAATAAACTAAAAACTTCATTGTTAAAAATAAAACTTTGCACGAATGCATTTCTTAGAAGGTTTGTCCATACTCACGCAGAGCAAGCAGGTTAATAAATACCATTATTCTCGCTCTGATAATGCTGCTCTATTGAAATTAGAGCTTAGTCCTTTTTGGTTAATTATTTCGATCAGTTGATCGCCTGCAACTCGTCCGTCTATGAGCAGAATGCAATACATTCAAATGAGATGTTCGATTGAAGAAACAGATGACATTACACTTCTTAATTAGCACACTTCATGATTCATATTGTATCATTTTATACCATAGAAATTTGACAGCCCGAAAACGCCGTCTAAGCCGCAGTCATCACATAAATGTCTACGGTTTAAGTATAAGTGCATAGGCCCCTGGGCCTTGATTCCCGTATGGAGTTTATCGTAGTGGAATTTATATAGGTACTTATTATATTAAATTTTTCAGCGATACAGGAGAAATATGTATGGGATGACGTTAATAAAAAATAATACTTAGATATAACTAACTTACGTCCTACGCATAAACGGACAATAAACACATAAAAAATCGAAAATGACTTATCATGTAATAAATACATACAAAGGAGATACACTTATAAAAATGATTAACAATAGCAACATTCCCCGACAATATTATCGCATACCTAGACGTGTGACATCATCCAACCTACGATGGTAGCCTAAATGTCATCACATCAACTTATGCTGACACATAAGTAACACAAACAAATGACTTGCGTTTTATACATCTCACACATATTGTATATTTTGTGCAGGTTTGCGACATTTGTGATGCTAATAATGAGGCGAAGAAGCACCCACCAGAGTATGCAGTCGACAGTATGGAGACTTGGTGGCAGAGTCCACCGCTTTCGAGGGGGATGAAGTATAATGAAGTCAATCTCACAATTGACCTTGGTCAGGTAAATCTTGTTTCCAAATCAGATCACTCTAACGTAAATATATAGGTACAAGAAATACGTTATGTGAAAACTTTAAAAATTACATGTAACACATGATAGTAAAATGTTTTAATTAAGAAAAAAAGTAGGTTTCATTCATTGCATAATTTTGCCAAATCTACAAAATATAAAAATTATCCTTCAACCGTCGCGTCGTTGAAAATATGACATTTTTTGTTTGTGATTGCGTTTTTTTATAATTTTGTTATAATACCATCTTAATTTTAGTATAAAATTAATACAGTAGTTATGTTAATTTGTTTTAAAATTAGTTTGGGCCACTAAAATTAGGCTTAACTATTTCAATGATACTAATAAAACCTAGAATAATCTAAAAGTTAGCCATAATAATTTACACACGATCATGGACAATAATAATTTAACAGATATTTTTTATGAGATATATATATTATGAAATTTAGCTATTTTTACATTTTTATGAACATTATAATTAATAGTTTCATTTAATATTTTTTATCTTAAATATACAGTAAAATACCATGACCATTGTTTTTGTCTATTTGGGACATGCGGCATCAAACATCCCAAAATAGTGCTTTTATACGATAGTGGAAGTGCATTGAACTCAACTTTACTTCGCGCTAAGCTGTTACAGGCATTAGTTTAATAATAGACTAATGCTGTGATGCAATTTAAACGTTTTGGGTAGAATTTTTTTAGGCAAAAATATCTCAAATAAAAGTCGTATTAAAACGCGATTTAGAATAGTTTTAGTCTCATTAAAGTTGATTATTAGAAGCAAATTTGTTCATAAATATATAAAAAGTGTAACTTATTAAATACTGTAATATTTTGTTTTATTCCTTAAAATGTTCAGATTTTAAGCGATGGCTTTTTGAATTTTTTTTACCGTTATGACTGTCTGGTTAAACTACGTTCTGTTTTTGTACTAAACTTTATAATGTATCCATGAATTGCAAGCGATTTTATATCATTTGGATAACCTGCATACGTATATTAAATAATATCTGGTTTAAATGCCTGTCTATAACTCAATAAACACTTGCTTAGCGAAATCTAAGTAGGTGATAATATCATTGCATGCGCTTTCAATTATTAAATTGTCGCAATTAAGCCAAGCGAATTTGCAACGTTGATGAAAAATATAATTTGCCTTGTATACATCTCTGCAACCACTTTTTTCACATTTGTCCTAATTTGTTTAATTAAATCGCGTTCATTTATTTTGTTAATCACTTAACAAACATAAAATCATATGTAAAATTGACTAAAATAAAACAAAAAAAAAATAGTTTAAAGTTAGAACGAGAGTTTGTGGAATCTGAAAAGTTAGGTTCAAAAAAGAACGGATTACTTTCATTGGTGTACCTCAGCCAATACTATTGTTTTTATTCTATAGGTACCTCAGCTCCCGATTTTAAAAACAATACATTACCCCAGACACTATAACAAAAGTAAACAAATTTCTCAAAATTGATATCCAAAATTTGATTGATTATATCCAAAATTTTAATTGATACACAAAATTAATTAAGTCTTGTATTCTTTTACCCTTAGCATACCTACTGATAACTCAATCTATTCCAATATTAATCAACGCCCTATGGACATGTAAAAGCGCAAGTCCGGTTACTTGCTCTTTTGCATTCGTGTGCACAGCTAAAATTTTATGTGGCCCAGAGCAAAGCAGAAAAAGATCCTACAGCTGCTGCTACAGTCACTAGTGTCAACGTTAGAATGTTAATCATTATGCGTACCACTGGAAAAATGTCTTTATCGATAGCGTTCAATATGTCCCAAGCATTGATTAGAATTTCTCCTTTTTTTTTTTTTTTTTATAGGATAGGGTGACAATCGAGCACACAGTCCACCTGATGTTAAGTGGTTGCTGTGGCCCATAGACATCTACATCTATCCTCGATTACGAATCAAAATGTAGATGTGTTGTCACCCGTGAGGACTAAGATGGAATGCCTTGTTTCCAGTAAAATGGGTCGCCGGTTCTCTACACTCACCATACGAAATACAGCAGCATTAAGCTACTATTTCACGCTGGTATTCTGTGAGAGCGTGGTCCTTCCCCGGTCGAGCCGACCCATTCGTGCTACAACTATACATCTAATATAACTGCAGCATGGCTCTACCACGTATAAAAATCCTTTTTCTCTAATTAAACGCAAATCGCAGGGCTCAACATCATCATAATTACAACCCATCACAAAACCACGGCTGAACATTGGGCTCCTCCAAGGAATGCCACGGCCGTGAGTCACCTACATCCATCGACTTCCTGCACATCTAAGCAGATCGTCACTCCATCTAGTAGCGTGGCTTTACATGTTGCTTAACGTTACAAAGTTATTCTTAATTATCATAATCACAGTACATCGAAATCCACTGCTGAATTTAGGCTCCCCATTGTTGGCCTCGTATGGAATATATTTGCCATAGCTGCCAAACTTGGTAGGGTTGGCAACTGCAGTCATATTATTTTGAGTTGCTATCAGGAAAATGGTGTCGCTCATCTCCTATTTCATTTCCATCTGTCGCCATCGACATCCTTGGTATGTATGATGTTGGATAGTAGATATTCTTACGCCGTTACTAGACGATTTGCCACTCGAGAGTCTTTCTTCCTCATCGTTTTACCCTGCTCCCCCTCTGTAATACTCTTCATGTGACAATATATTAATGAGTGTGTTTAAAATAATCTGACAAAATATTTGATTATATTTTATCACGTTGCATTTGCGAATTATATCTATCTAATCCTGATTGTAACTACGCTCTTATTACTGTGTTATATTATATTGATCCACGCCGGCACCAATGAAATTTTTAATTGCAATTTTAAGTGCTGATTTACCACGTGCTCGGCGGTGAAGGAAAACATCGTGAGGAAACCTGAATGTCTGAGGAATAAAAAAAAATATTTCGAAGACATGTGAAGTTCGCCAACACGCATTGGGGCAGTGCGGCGGATACTTCCTCGCCCTAAAACCCTCTGAGAAATGAGGGGAGGCCTGTGCCCAGCAGTGGGACGTATATAGGCTGTAACTTTACTTTACTTTACTTTATTATATTTGTCGTTGCAAATAATGTATTTTGTGTCAAGCTTTAAAATCTGAACATTACTTACTATAATAACACTTTATGAACTGAAATGAAATGGATAAATAAAATAAAATAAAAACAAAATTTTCCTTACATAAAAAAGTACAATTCGCTTTTTAGAGCTAAATAGACTTTTTGGGGTGAATGTGTGAACTTGCAAAGGTTTTAATACTCACAACCAGCCTGATTATTTACGCAATGCTCTAAGTATGTACTTATAATATCACACATTTTAGGCGTGTCGCTAGGCGGTATTCATACAGGACAGAGTGGGCGTTGATAGCAGCATTTACAAATAATAAAACTTTTATACCGCGAACTAATATTAAAGGGCGATGTTACGACATCCGTTAATAAAAACATCGGTTACGATTAGATCTAAATAAGAATAATATTATTTTTAATAAAAATAGGAATATAAAGCAAGTGATAACCTCATCCTGATAAAACGCTTAACCTAATTTTTTGTGTAAAAACTTTGTAAATTTACCTACGTCTAAACTTCTACAAATGATAACATAGCTAAGACTGTTTTGTCAATTAAGTAGCGACATTATACAGCAAATTTTAAAATAGTCTACGTTTAAGAGCCAGTGAGCGGCAGACTTACGGTATTTCAATAAGCTTCACGTTTTTCTCAGTTAATCCCCTATACCTGAGGTACCTACGTGAAATGAAGACTCTTTAGTTTGACCGGCGGTTGATATAAACGATCAGGTGTTACAGGTGTAGAAAAAACGTGATAGCTATAAGTCTGCAGCTTTGACATCTTGATATATTCAATAAAAGTTACCTATGACACCTATGATGGTTTCAAGGTCATAGCACACAGCTTGAAAAGTAAAATTTGATATTTTTATAATTTATGTTATTTCAATAAAGCTGCAATTTATATAAATTGTTGATAATATTATTTGACATAATTGAACATAATTTTCATGGCAGGCAGTCAGTCATTCGTTTAATATGGTCACTTTCTTACAATTCAAAAATTACAACCTTGTTTGCATAGAGACTCTGAGATATAGCTCTTCATCAGTGAATTAAATATTAAGGGTCAAAAAGACGTTGCTTTGTATCATGTATCAAATATTGCAAGTAAAGCTAAAACTGAGACCGTCCGCAATTATTCAAACCTTGTTTTTACAAACGATCTACATGATATGTTTCTATGTCATTATTTGTTTATTACAATGACTGTACAAATTCGAAGAAACAATTTTTAGTACCACATATAAAATATCGTCTATTATGGAATTAACTGTAGCAAAACTAATTATATGTCATCTATGCCACCATATAATACTACTAGAAGAATATATAAATGGCAGAAATTCGATCCAATAAAACACAACGACGTAATAACATACATTCATTCATCATCGCCTTATAAACTATTTCACTAATCGAAATTTAAGGTGTCTACGCCACAGAGGACGGAATAGCTAGGCTAGTTAGTTTTGGCTTCTATGATCTACCTACTCTGATACCCGTCAGATTAAAACTAAGAAGTTTTGCTATATGAAGTTACTTTTAAGGTAGAAAGGCAGGATTTGGTAGATACAATGGAACTAACTAATATTTATACCATGAATATTCAGTGAAAAATAGGTAAACAAAATAAAACACATATTAAATATAGTCTAGTAAGAAACAGATATAAATATGATAACAATAATTATGGTACTTAATTTATAAGTTTATTACAAAAAACAATCAAATTGATAATTTTACTAAAAATATTGGTGACACCTAAATTTTTAAATATTTGTTTATTAAAAATTTCTTCATCATTCAAATAATATGTTTAAAAATAAATTTCGTTATATCTTAAGTAGGAAATGCCCTGAAAACTATAGTATATTCGTTCAGAACTACCCAAATTAAATTACACGAACTCGAACTCCTCCATTATGCAAAATAATCAGCTCAGGTTAACGTCCTATTTAAAAATATTTTTAAGTCCAACAGTAGATGTCTTAAAGGATGGTATTAACGTATTAACGGTGTTATACATACATGTAAACCAATCAAGCCTGTTTTGAATATAAATATTTTTAATATACATAAAAACCGATCAACCAATATTTTTAACATCTAGAACGAAATATACATAAGTAATATACATTTTTATCGCAGGAATTCCACGTGGCTTACGTATTCGTGCAGATGGGTAATTCACCACGCCCAGGTCTTTGGACCTTGGAGAAGTCTACTGATTACGGAAAAACTTTCAAGGCTTGGCAATATTTTTCGGAATCACCCCAGTAAGTAACGAGCATATGGTGAAACAATTGTAATGTGTTACAATTTATTACGAATGTATAAATAAATTTACTAGGTATAACTTTACCGTCAGCCTGCGGCAGTCTACTGATGGACATAGACTGCTACCTTTGGCTAATATTTGGCTGCACGCATCCAGCCGCCGCCAGCCACCTAGCGCAGATCGTCGCCCCATCTAGCTATCGTCCCACACTGCATTTACCTAAACAAGTTCTCCACTCTATGACATTACTCCAACGGTTACCAAACAAATGTGACCAGCCCATTGTAACTTCAAAGCTATGTCAGTGGTCTTGGTTCTTCGGCGGATTTCTTCGTAACGAATGTTATCCACCAGACAATCTTTGAGCATAGCTCTTTCCATCACTGGCTAGACGACTTTGAGTTTGTAAAGTAGTCGTACCATTGATTTTCACGTTTTTGCACCATATGTGAATAACGCATTGAGCGAACGAAATTTCGTCTTCTAACATTGCGGTATAGCGGACGAAAAGAGTTGACGAAGCTTCCCATTTAAAAGTTTACTGAACCTTATATTTAAACATTATGTTACTATGTCCGGCCGATTTAAAAATCCTCAAATAAAAGTTTTCCATCAAATACTAGGTTGTTCAAAAAGTTTTCAGAATAATGCACTTAACAATTTGTTATATAAATGCGTTTTTTTTTCGAATCTTAAATTTGCTAGTAACCTATTAAAACTATAGCTAGTTTTTGAGAAGTTTTTGAAGAAATGGAGAAACTGGAATTTTGTGCGGTTATTAAATATTTCTGCGTGATAAACTTTTCTACAAAAAGTGTTTTCGAAGAATCATCCAGTATCCAGTCTATTTTGGCAGCTATGTTCCGCACCCACCATATCCAGATTTTCATCTTTTTACTAACCTGAAAAAGTACTTGCTTGGTATAAAATTCGACGGCTAAGATGAGGTGATGTGCGATGTAGAGGCATTATTCGAATTCCAGAACGAACTTGCAAAACAAAATTTAAGGTGTATTAGCTTAGAAGGCGATTACGTTGAAAAATAAATGCAATTAACATATACCTATCCTAGAGTTTCATTGCGTTTCCAAAAACTTATTGATCAATCTAGTAAATTATAACCTGGTTAAATATAAAACTAAATAAATTGGACTACTTTATTCATAGAACTGTTATTTTAAATTTGCATTGTATTTTACCATATTTTAAAAGGTATTCATATCGGACTATTGAAAAACCAGATATTTTAATTTATTTTTAAGTCCATAAAATGTTTACTTTTTATGTATTAAGTAGAAATATAAAACAAATGTATTCTTGTAGAGACTGCGAAAGATATTTTGGAAAGGAAAGTTTACAGCCCATTACTAGGGATGACTCAGTCATATGCAGCACAGAATATTCAAAAATTGTGCCCTTAGAAGGAGGAGAGGTAAATAAATCTAATATATTATTAATTTGATTCCTTAGCATATATGTTTCAATAGCGTGGTGAAATTAACTGGACTTACTCAACGACTAACAGTACTTGTGTCGCCGAAATAGATCAACTAAAAACATAGTCAACAATACTTCAGCAACACAAACACTTCAAAAACAGCGTGGAAGCACTTGTTGTTCTCTTTGGAGTTTGCCAATTCTTTCTAAGTTTTTTTAATTTATAGAATAAGAGAGACAAACGAACATAGATGCCACCTGATGGTAAGTGAATGATTTGACCCATATGAATCTGCATCTATCATCTGCTTCTGCATCTTTTTTTTTATAAGTAGGATAGGATGACAAAGAAGCACACAGTCCACCTGATGGTAAGTGGTTTCTGTGGCCCATAGACATCTACATCTATCCTCGTTTTCGAACCAAATGTGGATGAGTTGTCAGCCATGAGGACTAAGATGGAATGCCTCGTTTCCAGTAAAATAGGGTCTCCGGTTCTCTACACTCACCATACGAAACAGCCGCGTTAAGCTACTACTTCACGCTGGTATCCTGTGAGAGCGTGGTCCTTCCCTGGTTGAGCCGACCCATTCGTGCTACAACTATACTACTAATATAACTGCAGCATGGCTCTACCATGTAAAAATGCCGTTGTCACCGCTGTGGAATAAATTAAGATACCTCGTTTTCAGTACGAAGGGTCCCCGGTGCTCTACATACGAAACACAACAGCCTTAAGCTGCTATTACACGCCGGTATTCTGTAAAAGCGTGGTCCTTTCCCGGTCGAGCCGACCCATTCGAGTAACTGTCTCCTTGTTTCACAGAAATAATGTAACTCAGAATTTTAAATTTTATTTAACTTTTTTATCATCAACAACATCGTTTAGAATTTTTACAATATTGTAAGTTGATAGCTATATCGACTGGTAAAAACAGAAAAAAGATATCTAAATATTTTTTAAAGACATCAACTACCATGGAAGGAAAATATAAAGATAAACAACTTTTTTAAATGGAGATGATGATTTTTAATATTATATTATATTATATAAAATCTATAATATAATTATTAAATATCGTTGACTTCTTAACCATGAGTGATCATGTGGTAGTTGATATCTTTTTATATACTTTGCCATGTTTGAAATTGTCAATGATTTTAATAAGAGAACGTACCTATAATTTAAAATAAACTCGCAGTATTTTCGGCGTCTCTTGTACTTTACCTTTAAATCATTTGTCACTGGGCGATAGGCACAGATATTACAATCCTTGAGTTGTGGATAACCTATTAGAATTTTTTTATTTGATTTGATGAAATATTCTATTTTAAGTTTTTTATCATAATAAATTATTTTTATTTAACAAGTCTATAGTGCACTGGCTAAGTGTTCGGTGTGGGTGTTGCTGGACGCGGGTATGATTACCGCGGACTACAATATTTGTATGGCTAAAGCAATTTATATTTTTGTAAACGTTAAAACGTATAATAACTTTCATTCATGTGAGCTAATTGTTTTTACAGATACCGATCTCCCTTTTAAACTACCGTCCGTCGTCAAACAAATACTTCGATTCACCAGTTCTACAAGAATGGACGAGAGCAACTAATGTGAGACTGCGTCTATTAAGAACAAAGAATTTACTCGGGCACCTTATGTCTGTCGCCAGGCAGGATCCGACTGTAACTAGACGGGTAAGAAATATTAGAATGGATACGTTTTTGTAAGCGAAAACGATTAAAATTATTTTTATATTTTATATGTTACTTTCGACTAAGAAAATTGAAATAATAAAAGTTTTATCGTAACTGCAATAAATCTGTTAAAAGTAGTTTTCACCAAGACTTGTACTAAAAATTAGAGATGGGCCGAATATGGATTTCACTGAATACGAATATTCGGCTGAAAGTTCGGTAAAACTTTTACTGAACCGAATATTCGGCCGAACATTATTCGGCAGGATCACCTCGGTACCTAACCAATTTATGTCGATATTTGTTACCGTAGGGCACGCGGGATTAGCACTGGACCCTGTACTCGCTTCCCCGCCACATCTGACTTGGTCTTTAATGTCTTTACATCATCTAGTATTGAGCAATTTGCCGGCACATGCTTTTGTTTTGACTATTTTTGTGAGAAAAAAATATTTCGTTGTGTTATTGTTAATTAAAATTGATAATTATATGATAAAAATGAGTGACAGAAGATCTACTATTTGGAGTTATTTTGAGAAACTGAATACCAAAATAAAGGGAAATGTACTAATGTAATGTAATTTTTCTTGGTTTGATTCTAAAAACATTTTATCAAGCTCTCTATTTGTTAGAATTATTATAATAATAATAATAATAATAAGTTTATTCTTTCCTCTCACAAATTTAGTAATAAATATAAACATACAACTTAACAATGTTACAATTAATTTGTGAGAGACTGGTGTCCGTAATCTGTCATACAGGGAATCCTAGTTCCCTGTATGACAGATCACCAGCCCCCACCTTCAGACCTTATAATCTAGGTAATATTAGGTGTATGATAAACAAGAGAAGAAAAAAATATACAAAAATACGAAAAATGTTGTATGTGTGTGTGTGCGTGCGTGTGTGCGTTTGTGTGTGTGTGTGTGTGTGTGTGTGTGTGTGTGTGTGTGTGTGTGTGTGTGTGTGTGTGTGTGTGTGTGTTAGTGTGTTAGTGTAGTGTAAAGCTTCTTTTGTATGGTAAAATGGGACAAATTTTACTTTTATTTATTTTATTTATAAAAAGAGAAGGATTGTAATATAACAGAGAATGTTGTTTTAAATTATTTTAAAATATTTAAATAATTGGAAATAAATCTACAGTGCCTCAAAAATATAACTACTATACAAGTAGATTTAACCTATAAATAAAATATATTTTCCACAGTAAAATTATGAAAGACATGGCATTACTCAATTCGTACATTTCAATACAGTGAACACTGAGTACCTCTTTAACGAATGTTCGGTGATTTAGCCGAATATTCGGCCAAATACGAATATTCGGTAAAGCTGCCGAATATGCCGAATACCGAATATGAAACGAATATTTGGCCCATCTCTACTAAAAATCACTTTAGCCATGATTTTTTAGTTAAAAAGTTTGTAGTTATTTATAGGCATAGGCACAACTAGGTTTTCATAAGCCTGACAGAACTATACAGGCTGGGTAAAAAATCGTGGATCAAACGAAACAGCGAAAAACTTAAAATTTATATTTTAGTAATTTAAGTGGAAACCAAAAAAAAAGTAATATTAATATAATAAAATTGTTTTATTTATTCTTTGTTACAAAGTTACAATCTGTATTTCTATGCAATAAAGTACATTGAATTGAATGTACGTACAGAATATTAATCAGACTCCGATTCGCTTGAGGAGGTGGTGTCTTCATCATCATCATCGCCTACATGTATAATTATATTATTATCAATAACAGAATCAATCCTGATATCTCGGTCAAAATGTTCCACAATCAGGTTTTTAGTCTTCTTAACACCTGACTTTGCCCAGTCATCTCTTGTGACTTCCCCGCAGGTTTCTTTTAATAGGGTCATCATCTTTTTCGTGCTGAATGGCGGGGAAGTATTGTGGCGGGCGGTGTAACCTTTTATTTGAGCCCAGATTAGCTCAATCGCGTTATATTGGCAATGATACGGTGGAATTCTTAGAACGCGATGACCGTACTCCAGAGCCAGTTCATCGATTTCGTATCGCACATTTGCTGCTTTATTTTCTTTAACTAATTTAATTAGCTCTGGTTTTAGCATCTGCATATTTAAATAAATATAAAAATGCTACTTTCTTTCGCGCGTTCGGTTTGGTCGTTGTTTTATTTTTATACTTAATAAAAGTTATCTTATAGTCCATTATTTTCAAATTCTTAAAAAGAAAAACAAAACGTATTATTTTATTAAGTATAAATGAACAGATTACGATACTGTTATTGCCTGTTATTGTTAGCACAGCACTACAAATATAAAGCGCTGACATAACCTTGTAATAGCGCAGTATAGATTTAGAAAAATATTGTTTACCAAGTTATTTGACACTCAGTTTGGCACAAAATTATAACATTAATTGATTATTGATATAATAATGTTGTTTTAATGCTCATCAATTGTTAAAACGGTAAACAACCAGCAAAAATATTTTTATCGTAACTGCAACGCCATTACAAAGTTACGTCGTCAGTTCAATCGCGACGTGTCAGGAACGCATTCTTTGAACGGCCGAACTATAGTGAGTCATCATTGTCCGCCAGCCTGGCTACGCCCCCCAGCCAATTAAAATGCAAGTAATTAGAAATGAGTTCACAGTGACCAGTTGAAGTCAGGCCTTCGAACAAAACGGTTGTGTATTTTGCGTGTTACTCGTTCAACATTAAATTTTGAAAATGAATACCTCACCTATTCGAAAGAATAAAAGTGGATCAATAATCCATAGCGGAGAGAGACGCGTAATTTACAATGTTTATAAGTACTTAAAACTGTGTGATTTAAATGCGACTGTGGAGAGCACAATAATAAAAATAGCAAGTGCGTGTGGTGTGTCCGAAAATACTGTTTATAAAATTATTAAAGAACAAAAGGATACTAACACATTAAAATCACCCGTGAAAAAAGAGCTTGACTATCGACTGTCGATAAATTAGATGAACTAGACAAATGTGCAATAAGGAGAAAAGTTCACTCAATATATTTAAATAACGACTACCCGACATTGGACAAAATTATGACACTTTGCGAAGCTGACGAATATATTCCTGTTTTCAAACGTACCACACTTCATAAAATAATGCACGAGCTTGGTTTCGATTTCAATAAACAGGATAGCAGAACATTTTTAGTCGAAAGAGAAGATATTTTTTTATGGAAGCGTAAGTATCTGAGGCAAATAAAAGAATACAGAGCTGCTAATAAAACCATTTACTATCTTGACGAAACGTGGGTAAACGCCGGACACGTAAAGACAAAAGCATGGTTAGATACAATGGTAAAAAATAAAAGACAAGCCTTTCTAGATGGCTTATCAGCCGGTCCAAAAGCTCCGACAGGAAAAGGTAAAAGGTTAATTGTATTGCACATTGGCAGCGACAAAGGATTCGTGAAAGATGGTCTACTAGTATTTGAATCTAAGTCTACAAAAGACTATCATAAAGAGATGGATGGTGAAAGATTCCATAATTGGTTCATTAATATAATGCCTAAGCTAGAACCTGGAAGTGTGGTTGTCATGGATAACGCTCGCGCTCCCTATCATTCGGTAAGAGTCGAAAAAATACCTACAACCAGCTGGAACAAGCAGCAAGTAATAGATTGGCTGCAAAGCAAAGGCAAATCCATGGACATGACTTATTTAAAAAAAGAATTATTAATGAAAGTCGCAAAGTTGTTGTAAAAAATATTTAATAGATGAGACTGCCAAAAGTAAGGGCATTACAATTCTTCGCCTACCGCCTTACCATTGCAAACTTAATCCAATTGAATTGGTTTGGGCCCAAATAAAAAATTATGTTGGTGCCAATAACTCCACGTTCAAAATAAGTGACATAAAAAATTATTAGATGACGCAATAGCATTAATAGACGCTAATCGTTGGAAAAAGTACTGCGACCACGTAATACGCGAAGAAAATACCATGTGGAATTTGGATGACATCACGGAACTTGCAGAACAAAATTCTTTCATAATTAATGTAACTGGAGATTCTAGCGATACTGATTAGTGATTTAAGTAATTTTAAGAAATTTGTTTTCATTAAACTTAATTAAATGTTAGAAAAAAAATTTTTTTACTCCACTGTGAATACACCTTTACCCTGTAGTTGCACTGACAACTCACTATTTTCTTAAAGCGAACGGACTATATGTTTGGATTTACAACGGCGTAGTAGTGTAAACTATGAATGTTGAATATTCCTGTTCTTCTAAAACTTGATTCATCAGACATTGAAAAATTGGGGTAAGCTTTGTAATTTCGTACCATTTCTCTGCAAAACTGCACTCTGTTTTATTGTCTGCCGTAAAGCTTGGGCTCGTTGTATTTGGTACAGATGCTTCTCTTTATGTATCGCCGTACTACCGACCTTGGAATACCCAAATTGCGGGATATGCGACACTGACTCGAAGTGGGGTCAATTTCTAATTCACGTAATATTGATTCTTCTACATGATTATTATCATAAATCGACCACGACCATCTCCTGAATTATGTTGACCAAGTAAGTGACCTTCCACGTACGAGTTGTTTCCGCGGATAAAAAGTCGGGAAAGCGGTCACGGTTTGGGCAACGTTTACGATATATACTCTGGCAGCAGCCCGAGCATTTCCGTCGCAAAAGCCATAGAGATAATACATCTCTGCATACTCTCGCTGGGTGTACTCCACTTTTCTTACATTAGCGCAAGTTGTGTGAAAAGCTGTGTCCTTTTAGTATAGTCTCTTTCTTTTCGAAGTTTGAACAACGTTTTACAAAAAGCGGATGTGAAATGATAAATAATTGGCATGGGATACTGTAGTCTTTAAACTTACCGATTCATGCGACTCCGTTGCATTTATTGCAAAGTGTTCATTAATCAAGTATTATTTATGATTTTTTAGAAATCTGACAATGCCGCTAGGATCTTTCTGTAAACACTGCCAAAAGTAGGCGTAGCCGAGGGTCCAAACTAATTGTTTAGTGAAATAAAAGACTCGTGAAATAAAACACTTTTCAAACATTTACTTTATTTAGACCTTGCTATGAAAAAATGAATATAAAAAATATATTTAGCTACAAGCAGCTATATATTACACCCCGTTTTAATCGTCATTAAACAGGCAAGTTTTTTGAAATACAGGGTCATTCTTTGGTAGTTTATTTTTATTTACAGAAAGGCTCTAAAAGTTCGAATAATACTTCGTGAGACTTAAAAGTTATTGAAACAAGTTCCAATACTCTAACTAAACACCATTTATTGTTTTAAATTAGATATCCATTTTACTCAAATTGCCTATTTATTACAAATAGTATTTTCTTCATAAACACTCAAATAGTCATAACTTTTAAGGAGTCAAGTGAGAGCTCTGCCACAGAGATAATTTTTACAGCAAATAATTCCAACTATCGTCCTGTTTTGTTTGATCCACGATTTTTACCCATCCTGTTTATCCGCGGCTTTGGGCACCTTAACCCACTGTCGTTCATATAAATCTCTCATATATAAGTGTCAGTAGGTTGTTCAACGTAGTATATAGTTAATGAAAAGGAAGGAACGCAGGAAAGAACAGTAAGTAAGGGCTTTAATTCATTTTACCTTGTGTCTTAGCACTGGCTTTAGCAACTATTATGTAGAAAATATTTTATTCTATTTTTGTTCGGTGAAGTCGGCTTTTAATTTTTATTAAAACTTTAATTTTTATGTGCTATGATCATTTAATAAAATATATTAGTAGGATACCTAACTTTCTGTAAAGAATTATTTTGATATCCAAAATAAGCAATGTATTATAATAGTAGTTTCTAAACAAGTAACATTGATTGAAGTAACAATAATCGACACAGGAAATATTTGCAGCGATTATGTAAATTTTCCTGCTTCTTTCAATTTAATCCACTCCTTCAGCAGAAAAATATATTTTATACCGCCTTTCTTTTCAGTATTTCTACAGTATTAAAGACATCAGTATTGGTGGACGTTGCATGTGCAATGGTCATGCAGACACTTGTGATCCGGCGGATCCACAAAGCAATACCAACATTTTGGTCTGTCGCTGCCAACACAATACTTGCGGTCCACAATGTGCAGCTTGCTGTCCAGGCTTTGAGCAAAAGAAATGGCGAATATCACAGAACTGGAACCGCTTCGCTTGCGAACGTAAGTATAAAGAGACCAAAATATTAAACTGTTTTGATGATTTAAAGTTAAAAACATCTATAACAAATACTTGTACATACAGCGTGTAATTGTCACAATCATACAACGGAGTGTGTGTACGACACTGAGATTGATGAGAAGCGTCTATCCTTGGACATTCACGGAAACTATGAAGGCGGTGGCGTTTGTCAAAACTGCCAGCATAACACAGAGGGTATCAACTGCAACAAATGCAAGCCTACTTACTTTCGTCCATACGGAAAGAGATGGGACGAAATCGATGTATGTCAACGTAAGTGTTAATCATAATTCTTGTTAATTGAATATTTTGTAGTTACTTTTAGCGTGAGTTTAAAAATAATAGAAATAAAATATTCCCCCCACCCCACCACCACCTCCTCTCCGCTAGTAACTACTACTGTCGACTAACCGAGGTTATAATAAATTATAATACTAATATAATGTAATTTTACTCGATTTCAAAACTGAGATATATCAGTTTATGTGTTATAAAAATTCAAGAATAGACAACCATAATTTTCTTTTCTTTTCAAAAGTACTTAAAACAGTAGAGTTATCGCTTTTAGAATCGATAGTAGATTTTGATAACCGAGGTTATAATAAATTATAATACTAATATAATGTAATTTTACTCGATTTCAAAACTGAGATATAACAGTTTATGTGTTATAAAAATTCAAGAATAGACAACCATAATTTTCTTTTCTTTTCAAAAGTACTTAAAACAGTGGAGTTATCGCTTTTAGAATCGATAGTAGACTTTGACATGCATTGCAACTTCATACATAAAACATAAACACTCACGCCCGTCATCCAGAGGTGTAGGCTGTAGAGACTACAGACTTCCATTTTGCACGATCCTGACACACCTCTCTCGCCTCCTCCACATCCATATACCTACGCATACATGCTCGTCGACTAAGGGTACTCCTAATTTGGCTCGTTTTCAATATATCGTCACTCTTTCCTCATTCATTGTTTCCACATAACCAAACCACCGAAGCATTCTTTTCTTAATCCTGGTCACAACATCATCTTGCGAACCAAACTCTTCTCTTATTACATAATTACTCACCCTGCCATACAGATTCAGCCCTAAAATACTTCTCTACGACCGCATTTCTACTGCGTTTATTCTACTCTCGTGCTTCTTCTACCACACCCAACTTTCACTACCATACGTTAAAGTAGGGACCAACACAGCATTGTGAATACGTGCCTTTTTTGACACATTGACTCCTCACAATAGAGTGCAAGGCCCCTTTTACTCTATTTCCTGCGTTCACTCGTCGTTCTATATCCTTATCATATCTCCCATCCCTGCTAAATACGCATCCCAAATATACAAACTCATCTATTTGCTCGATCAACTCCCCTTCTATTCTTATTTCACATATCGTTTTACTATCTTCTCTTTCAAAAACCATGACTTTCATCTTACTTGCGTTCACTTTCTTTTAATGATATGTTCATTAATGTAACCATCACTTGCAACTCGGCCGCCAACGATGCAAAAATAACTTGATCATTGGCGTACAAAGGCATTTGACGGTTAACTCACCCATTTTTAATCCGTATTCTACAACTTTAAAATTTTCCAAACAACTGTCTAATATTATAAAGGTTGAACAGCTACGGGGAAGCCACACAACCCTGTTAGACACCTTTATGGATGCCCAACCAGTCCGAGTAGACCCCGTTGATCCTAACACAAGCACTAGAGTCCCTATAAAGAGACTTTAATTCCTGTATCAACCCAGAGCTCAACCCAAAAGAGTTCAGTGTTTGCCATAGCACATCCCTGTCCACTCTGTCATAGGCCTTTTCCAAGTCTATGAATGCACAAAAAACCTTTTGGTTTTTGGCCAAAAACTTCACCGCGATCATGCGCATGGAAAAGACTTGATCTGTACACCCCTTTGCCTTTCTAAATTCCGCTTGCAGATCCCAAATTTTTCCATCAGTTTCTTTCATAAACCTTTCAATTAGTACCTTAGCATACAGTTTACCCACAATGCTAAGAAGGCTGATACCACGGTAATTTTTACAGTCTCCCTGCGACCCTTTTCCCTTATATATTGGGACGATCACGGCTTTAGCACTAGTCTACTGGTACTCGCTTCAGTTTCCAGCATAAATTAAACAAGGTGTGCAGCAGGCCTGCCACCACTTCCTCTCCAGCCCTTAGCATTTTGAGTGAAACTCTTTTATATCCGGCTGCCTTACCTGCTTTCATGTTTTTCATTGCTTTGATTATTTTATCTATACTTATCTCGCTACCTCATTCCTCTTCTTTCGGAGTTTCTATTTCATTTAGTTCATACGTCGTCTCCTCACTCACAAACAGGCTTTCAAAATATTTCTTCCATCTCTTTAAACTCAAAACTACATCATTCAGAATATAGCCATTCTCGTCTCTTATAGCATTCATTATAGGCTGTTTTGAATGTCCCCTGGCAGTTCTTACGAGTTTCCAGAACATTTTAATATTTGCCTGGAAGTTATCCAATAGTCTTCTATCATTGTTATCCGTTCTTTCTTGCTATTTCCTTTCAACTACTTCTTTTACTCTCTTATTTAGATGTCTAAAGACTGCCTTTTTTCTTTCAATATCATAATTCGTACCGCCAGAATTGCCACCCTTTGTTGCTAGTAAATCTAGCCATGCTCTCTTTTTTGCTTCAACTTCATACGTGTCTCATCATCCCACCATAATGAATTATTTTTTATTTTATTCTTTCTCTTACTAACACCACATACTTCAGTAGCTACATCCACTAAAACTTTCTTAACATTTTGCTATACATTCTCCAAGTCTAATCCATTCATACATAATTTTTTTCAGTCTACATATGTACGAGTACTTGTTTTTCTCACCATCATCTTGTAACCTTTCTGTTCTAATACGCTGTAACGCAGTGGTAGACACAGATGTCCGATGGCACCAACCCCTGAATAGACCATTAATTCGGCATTAAACCAAATAATGATCCGTTCCTTCGTTAGACCACCCCCGGTATACCCTTGTATCTACCATTGCGTTCCTCATTCTTTTATGCACAATTATGAAATCTATCATGCTTCTATCATCGCCTCTTTTCCAAGATTACATGTGAATCCTCTTGTGGCGAAAGAAAGTGTTCGTCACAAAAATATTCTTTTCCATACATACGGTGAGGGGGCTTTCACCATTCTAATTTATACTTTCATCACCAAACGTTCCCAATATCCCTTCATAACCAAGCCACTTCACTCCAACTCTTCCATTAAAATCTCTTAGCGTAATAATATTTTCATTTCCCTTACATTTCATTAACACCATCCTTACCATTTTCCAAATTTGTTCTGGGATATAGGCACAAACAACTTCTTTAAGCCCACTTTCATTCGTGTCCCTAGCAGTCTTGGGCTTACACATTCATACTCTTTTACACATTGGCCCATTCTTTCTGAAAGGATGACACCTACTCCCTGGCATGCTTGCTCGGTCTCGTCTACACCAGACTAGTATGCGGTATACACTATACATGCCATGTGTAGTGACTTCCTTCCCTTTCCGTTTTTCCTCATTAAAGGGGCGCCGGGAACACGGGGCCATTTCTTTTAATTTGAGCTTCATGTGCGAAATGTAGGGTGGTTTTTTTACGCCACTACCACGGCGAGGAGATGAGTCTGTGCTATCGGCTTGTCGCTCATTTAGCGCCACCCGGGGGACACGTGTAGGGTGGGCCTAGGATTAGGTGATCGAAGCCTACGGACGCGAGCGACTTATCCCCCCGCGAGCAACTTATCTCCATTGCAATTTGTTTTTTCAAATCAATAAAGCTCACACATGGCTGCTTAACTTAATTTATTTTATATTTTTAGCCTGTAATTGCGATCTTCACTACTCAACTGGTAACTGCGAAGAGGAAACGGGTCGTTGCGAGTGTCGGCCAGAGTTTAATCCACCGAATTGTGATTCTTGTGCTTACGGCTACTTTGATTACCCTAACTGTAAGCCATGCACTTGTAATTTAAATGGCACTGAAGGAGACAATTGCACGCCTACAGATGGTTTAGTGAGTTTCCCCCATAATTAACATTAATATTTACAACTTGCGGCACGAAAATCAAGCGGTGACCGTTATTGCGCATAATTATCGGCCGTATTTCGCATTAATGCCTGAGCGTATTGTTCGCACGCGAGGATTGGCATACTGATACGACGTTCGCAGCCCCCTTCACGTTTCGTTCAGCGCTAGAGTTACATGCCGCGACTTATACGATTTATACATTTATATTTTTTAGAATATAGTGACAAACGAACACAGAGTCCACCTCATGGTAAGTGGATGATATGGCCCATAGACATCTACATCTATCATCAATTAAAAATCAAAATGCAGATGCGTTGTCACCGTTGGGGAACAAAATGCAATACCTCATTTCTCTCCAAGGGAATCCTCAGCCCCGAGGGGGACTCCGGTTCTCTACACTCACAGCTTCAAGCTGCTATTTTACGCTGGTATTCTGCGAAAGCGTGGTGCTTTCTCTGTCGAGTTGACTAACCATACCAACCAGCTGCAGGGTAGCTCTACCTCGTAGAAACTTATTTTCAAAACTTTTCTGTGTAATTATTATTTTTGCATTCGTAAATAATACTTGTCTTTTGCTATAACATAGCTACTCGAATGAAAAGAAATTATATTTATAGGTGCCCATCTTCATCGATTCCCTTGCTACTTATTATATTTTATAAGACATTGGAACACTTGTAATCTCTAGTTTATTTCAATTTTACTGACGTGTTTTTACCGCCCAACTAGCTAATGAACATGCATTTTATATTTTCTTACTGACTGAAAGTATAACAGAAACGGGTTATTTTCTATTTTTGCCATTGATTCGGAAAAATCTATATTTTGTGAATAACTAACAAAACCGCGGATATTTATTTCCAAAATAACAGCTCATAATAAATTACGTTCGAAATGGTAGAGCCACGCTGCAACGTATTATATTTGCAGCACAAATGCTTGCACAGAGTATCTACGTGAAATAGCATATGTAGTACTGCTGTTTCATAGGGAGTGATGACAGCCGGAATCTTTTTTACTCGTCTCGACGATTCTTAATTGTGCACAAATGTAGGTGTCTATGGGCTCCTTCTTGTTCTTCATCTTCATCAGCCCGTAAAATCCGAAAGACATGGCCTATCCCATTAAAGGGAGGAGGGGTTTCATCATCACGATTGACGATCGCAGTAAGAGACTCTTTGCACCTGTTTGACTCTGCTTCCCGTCGCCGGTCCGGGTATTTACGCCTGATTTCAAGAGATGGTTATACCTCCAGGTATCAGAAGCCATAAGATACTTGAGACATTGTCCATAGTCGCTTCTTACCACAGGACAAAGAGTGGGGCGCAGAATTTACTTATCATCAAATGGACTTTGTGCTCGTTTGCCATCCTTGCTTTTTTCTAAAAGAGCTGTATAATTACAACATACAATGAAATATAATGAGATAGTATGAATAATAATATACCTATAACAATTAACCACTAGGTAGTAAGTATATCCAGTCCCTATATCGTTTCGTGGGTGTCAAAAGATGCGATAGAGGGAAACTGAAACTGAAAATGGCCATCATCATCTTAGTGATAACAACTCAAAAATTTAAAAAATTGGAGTTGTCAATTCCTGCCGAGCATGGCAACTATGGCAAAATCACTCATGTGAGGCATATGTGGCGAAACCTATGTTCAGCAGTAGACAGAGAGGGTTAACACGAAGAAGAGGAAATTACGTCGTTATTACTTTACGAAGAGAATAAATTCTATTTTATCTCAAGAAAGCAGAAGCAACCCAGATGCGCTTTTCGATTTTTTCAAGACGTCAGTAAGTAAAATCTGATAATTTACAATACTGCATTCAGAGAACGTAATAATTTCAATGTATTTTAAGAAATAATAAACGTTAATAAAACAAAATCGAATAATCATACTACGTAATAAGTTTTCAAATTCTATGATCGAAAGAGAAATAGTAAAATTAATCTTTCATCTTGCTTTTTTCTCTAATGGTAAGACATTCGCTAGACACTATAACTGGTGCATTCCAATGTCAGTTCGTGTAGGGCGGCACGCATTACATTACGGGAGACCTGCGTTTAAGCTGGTTTGGGATGATGTCATTTGGTTTTTTTACGTAGTTCACTTTTTGACGTGCTTCATTCCGAACGTTAGGAATCCGTACGGAAATTTTACCAACGTGTGCACCGTGTAGAATGTTTTATACGAAATGCAAACAAAATCTTATCAGGAGACCTGATGTTAGTTTTCGGGATAAAGGACTAATATTATCTCTAATACGTCAACACTTCACGAATATACTACGTAGCCTCTCAGATTGAGAGTGACAAAATTATATAAATAGCTTGAAAGATGATTGTATATATACAGCTAGTAAAAAAGCGTAACCTTAAATAAGAACTTATGTTTAATTTTTCCACAGTGTCCATGCAAATACAACTACGCAGGGAAGTCTTGTGAAATATGTGAAGATGGTTATTACTCTCCCGAATGCAAAAGTAAGTTTCAACATTACAAAAATATTATATAGGTGCTAAATACAGTTGTACGACGTGTTCTAATAACGTCAGCTCGTAAATTATGTTTTGTCACAATAAAATAATTTTAAACATCATCGCTGAAATTGTTCTATATTGCAGAGATTATAAAAAGTATAAAATGACGATAGACGTAGAATGGAGTAATATAATGTTTTATTTAGTAAGAAACTGGTTTATCGATATAACGAATAAAATTGTTTCTTAATTACGCGTATATATTTAATAATTAATATTTATAATTAGGCGTATAATATGTAGATAAAATATATATAATATACTGGTGACCTTTTTTACCGTCCTAAAAAAATGGTGTAACATGTCAACGGAGTAGAAGCCTATGGCACTGATATTTTACAAAATTATAAACACAAAGTTGGAATTACTTAAATAAATTAAATAAAATCTACCGAAATTCAATTCATATTCACCATGGCCTGTGACCCTGCGAAGTGAATAACAAAATGATACTTAAAAATCGATACGTTTCACTTATATTTGACGTGCCTGTTTATAATTTTTTAATTTTTACTTAAAGTATGAAATGTTACAGACTGCGAGTGTAATTCAGTTGGATCAGTATCCCACGTTTGCGACAAAGAAACAGGAAACTGTACATGCAAAAGTAAATACAGCGGCCGCACATGCAACCAATGCGAGGCTGGCTATTACAACTACCCTACTTGCAAGCGTAAGTATTTCATGGGTAATGGTAATGTACGAGTAATATTTTGCATTACTCAAATTGTACATACATTGTAGTTGTGTGGTGACAGCGTAAGAAAATCCATCACTCCATTTCATCCCGTTGGTGTCGTGGCGACAACCATAGCCTCCAATAGATTGCGGTATACCTTCTAGTATAAGTTAAACGTAAGACACCCATACTGGTGACGTACAGCTTCAGCGGCAGAGTCAAAGGTGCGAGACCTCTGGGACTGCAATCGTCTTTTGCCTATTTTGTGAAGGTTACAAGAGCTGATCTACCTTCACGAAAATATGGCAAAGAGAGACCCCAAAGATATTTAACGCCTACTTTTTTGTTCATAAGACTAACAAGATAAAAATAGCAATATCATAAAATAAAGTTATAGCCTATATACGTCCTACTGCTGGTCACTGGCCTTCTCTCATTTCTAGACTGGTTTATAGAGCAATTAATTCGTCGCGCTAAGGTCTAATATTATCTACAACACATTTACCCAACAAGAATATCACACTATGGATTAATGTTGGTTGCCACGTTAATCTAGTGGTCGAAGCGCAATTGCTGATTATGAGGTTCCGGGTTCATATTCCCGGTCGACCAAAAGTTATTGGATTTTCCTGACAAGTCATCAGTAGAAGCCCGAAATCAGGAAGCAGGATCATTCTTCGCTGATGTTTCAGCGCCTGATCTGTTTTCGATCTTGTCGTTAAGTTTTCCCAAATGAATGAAATTTGATCTGGAAGAAATTAATAGTTATGACCGCTGTACTGCTCCATCACTACGTATTTTCGTAATATTTTTATTCCTCGATCGTGCATGCGTCTTTGCCTCATTGTCTTTCACTGCCGAACATAAAAGACCAAACCCACAAGAAGCTATTTTTGAAATTCTTATTGCAGTTTAATTGGGATCATTATAGCTGATTGCTTGTTTCAGTATGTTTATAATTCTATTTCTTCTGTAATTCTAAATAACTGTGCTGTATGCAAGTATTGGGGGACTAATGATGGCTCGGCCTGTCTCGCGAGGCAAACCTCTGAGTTCCAAACAAACCTACTAAGGCTGCCTCGCAAGCGAAGGCTCGCGAGCCGCACACCGAGGCTGCCGCGCGAGTCCGTGCGTTAGGTGTGTACGCGGCTATTAAAGAATAGACTCGAGGCACTATTGTAGCACGTATTACAATTCATATTTAATAAAGTGTGAGTTGTGTCTTATTTAACTACGATGAAAATTGCAATTAACAATCGATATCTTTTTCGTGCTGGTGGGAATTAAACCTGGTTTGCCCGCATACTGTAAAATTTAAGGCTTGTGCATAGCTCACAACGGCTCTAACATTTATCGACTCTAATCTAGGGTGTTTATGTTTAAAATTTTTATTAAACCGTTGATATTTCTTTTAGACTGCAACTGTGATACCAGCGGTACAGAACCTAGCATTTGTGATGACGTCAACGGACAATGTATCTGCAAAACTGGTTTTGGTGGTACTCGCTGTGACCAGTGCATATCAGGGTAAGAGCTAATCGAGTACATAACCAAAAAATGCATTACTCTGTTTTCGTATTATATTTTACTTATGTAAATGTGCTCCAACAAATAATTCCTACGAAACTTCGGTTGGAATTCAGAATCTACCTGTGACAAATATATCTTACATCACTTAACGCAAACACGTTGAATCTGGAAGAAGAAATAGAAAAATTTTGAGTCATTAAGGTATGCATTGCTCTGGAAAAATCCTCATAAGTACAACACGGTGTTGATTAAAGACTTCAATGCCAAGGCACAAGGAATTTAGATTAGCCGACAGTATTTTATACGTGGTAGAGCCATGCTGCAGTTATATTAGAAGTATAGTTGTAGCACGAATGTGTCGGCTCGACCAGGGAAGGACCACGCTCTCACAGAATACCAGCGTGAAATAGTAGCTTAACGCTGCTGTGTTTCGTATGGTGAGTGTAGAGACCGGAGACCCTTTTTACTGGAAACGAAGCATTCCATCTTAGTCCTCACGGGTGACAACGCATCTGCATTTTGATAGGTAATTGAGGATGAATTTAGATGTCTATGGGCCGCAGCAACTACTTACCATTAGGTGGACTGTGTGCTCATTTGTCATCCTATCCTATAAAAAAATATGTAGACTAGCTGAAAGTATGGAAACTTGAACCTATTCTAAGTTTTCATACTATCGACAACTGAACTTACGGACAACAGGGAAAGTGTCTTACCACAAGCAACTCCGATCTAGATACGAAATTCAAATTCAAATTAATTTATTTGCCAGAATGTATGTGTACAATAAAGTATGATCTTAAATTACGTATAATGGCCCGTTTACATTCTACCACTTTATATGGTGTGCAAATATTTTATAAGTATACATGCAAAAAAAATATAACAAGTGGGAATTCAATTAAAATGTCACATTGTGTAATGATTGTTCTTAATTGTTAATGTCCATACTTTCAGTTTGTATGTAACTAATTAATTATTACATATATATCAATATTACTGACTTCGGATTTATTTTCTACAAAAAGACATAAATTCATTTAGGTCGTAAAAACATTTTTCTTTTAACCATTGTATCAACTTTTTTTTAAATATGGTCAACAAGGTTCAACAAGAGTGAGAACGACTTTATCATGTCAACCTAGCGAATGCGAGGTTGCAAACTAGGAATCAATTACCGAATGGTCAACTGAGCTTGCATTATGCAACCGGCGTAATCTAAAACACTAAACAGTTGGATCTCTAAAGCAATTCTCATCCGATACTAATCCGGAGATAACCCGGATGTCATGCTGAACAATTAAGTCAACGTAATTGAACTTCTGTAGACGGTTGAAGAACTGCTACGAAAAGTCCTCTTAAAGCTATGTATATAATTTCCTCTCTTTCTCTCTCTCTCTCTCTCTCTCTCTCTCTCTATTTCTCTCTCTCTCTCTCTATAGCACTACGCTAAAGGATAAGAAATATTGAAATAATAAAAAATATTTCACTAAGCAGAAGCAATATTTGCCTTGTTCATGAGAAAAGTCAATAACGACTTTTTGAAGAACTAAAAACCGATTATCTTTATAAGCCGCATCCACGTTTTTTATAGAATAAGTTTGACAAATGAGCACACAGGCCACGTGATTGTATATGGATGCATTGGCCCATAGATATCTACATCTATCCTCGATTAAGAATTAAAATACAATGGCTGCGTTTGGCAGTAAAAAGCCCTAGCAAGCGCTTGTAAGCAAAATGGCGAAACTAAACAGTTTTCGGCCAGGACACGTTTGCTAACTTCAGTAGCGCTGACACAATCCGCCATTTTGCTTATTTAATTTGTTTGTTTTGAAGTAGAGTTTATAAGTTGTTTTATGCAATATTGGTTAAAAGTAATATAATGACATGAATAAACATATGATACATGTTATTAAAAATTCATGATTTGTAAGTTTTTAATATGAATACCTACTTTACAAACATATATTTGAATTAGGTTAGGTTGTATGTATGTTCTTTTTTATTTTTCATGTCATTTTGATTGTTAAATGTTTAGTTGGGCCGTTTTATTAATTTTAAAAGGTTCGTAATTTGTTTACGAAATTTTTATGGGAAAAACAAAACAGAAAAATAACAGTGGTAGAAATAGATTGTATAGTAAAAATTCGCACAAATATCATTTTCAGTTTGAGGAAACAGAAGAATACATTACAAAAGACTAAACGATACCCGGATTTTTCAACTAGAACTCTAGGAAACATTTATTTAAAATAGACGGAAAAAAGCGAATGTATTTCTTCTTTCCTTAATAATTTATCTTTATACTTAAAAAATAATTTATTAACAGAACTATATATAAAATTTTATTACGATAATAAAAACTAAAACTAAAATTTTTAATTATCATGCAGTCCTACTCCTCGCAGAATAGTGCTAAGAACACTGGCTGCGTTTCCTCGCTGAATAACTATACTTAGCATTTGAGCGAGAAAAGAACCAGTCCATATCACCAGCAGGGGCTACTATTTGCAGATACAGTTCCTGTAGAAACTTCATCGCACTTGAATTTCTTAATAAATATTAATTACATTCAATAAATAAATATGAAATTATTCTTGCAGTTACTACATGGAAGTACAAGGTAGAGAGCGGCTTTGCGTGCCTTGCAACTGCTCCCCTACCGGCTCTACATCGACCAGCTGCTCTGCTGATGGCAAATGCAACTGTCTTTCTAATTTTGGAGGGAAGCAATGCGACCAATGCTCACCTGGGTATTACAAATACCCAGAATGTCTACGTAAGTTAATATTTAATGATTACATATAAAATAAATACACTTTACAGAATCCTATAACTACTAAAAACAGTAATAAATTTAAAGTATATATAGTACATACATATTGGCCGTTTGGTCACTAAAACGTTACATTCTTATGCACTATACACTGGTTGTACTGTCTTGCTCAGCAATACGTAACGAGGTGATGTGTAGTAATTTTCTGGTAGTTTAATAAAAATGGTTATTACTTCATTTTTATTCCTTCCTTCGTCATAATGAGATATAATTAAGCATGTCTGTTGCAGCGTGCAACTGCGACCTGGCCGGCTCCATCGGATCCACTTGCGACGACAGCGGTCTTTGTCACTGCAAACCAAACTTTGACGACGCCAAATGCGACAAGTGCAAGGCACAATTCTACAACTATCCAGCCTGCGAGGAGTGCAACTGCGATCCGAGAGGCGTTATAGCAACTTTTGCGGGTATATTTTATTGATTTTTACACGTATAAAATAATAGATAATATTAATAACTTTAACACAACTTAAATGTCTGCTTAACATTTTTGCCCATTTATGTCTTGAATAAATATAGTAAGTCATGGAATGTTATATACATATATATTACCGCAATTTCTATTAGGTTGCGGTTCAGTGCCAGCTGGAGAACTTTGTCAGTGCAAAGATCGCGTGCAAGGACGCATCTGTAATGATTGCAAAGCTCTATTTTGGAATTTGCAAGATTACAACCCCCTTGGATGTGAAGGTATGTTATTTAAGAAAATTTTATATAATATTTTCAAATGATATTTTGTAGTAATGGATTAGGCAAAGCATTTTTAAACTATTATATCATGTTCAGTGGCATAGCCTCCATACAAGCCCAGAAGCTCGGCTTGCCTTATCAAGCTGAATCAATCAATAATATCAAGTAATAAAATAACTCGTAAACTGTTTCAAACTATTTCAAATTTCCCGCACGCTCTGTGCGACCTCGTAGCCTTAGGAATACTGCTGTCATACATATAAGGAGAGTTGAATTGAGCCATTGGTTGCCTCCCTCGCACACTTGGGCATTTTACCGGGCTTTTGAGAAGGCGATCGCTCCCTTTCTAACCTGTAATGAAACATAACTACGATTGTATAAATAGCAATTAGTATGGAGATAAAAAGCCCGGCTTTTTAGTGACCATCAATTTTTTTCTCAGAGCGGAACGCCTTTAAAATTATTATAGTTTTAACACTTTTGACTGCCTTCTTGGTCTAATGGTCGTAAACGCAATTGCTGATCGTGTGGTCCCAAGTTCGAAACCTGAGTCGGGTCAAGAATCATTTATTGCGTTTTTTTTTCACAAAATTGTCGGTAGCAGTAATGTTACACTTGGGCAATATAATCCAGATGCGCAGATGGCTATTTTCCATTGAGAATGGCCTTGTTACCAAAATTCAATCTGGCCCTTTAATATAGGTTTATAAATAAAACACATAGTTGTTTGAATCTTTTAATGATCTAAAGTGAATCCTGAACATCAAATAAATACTAATTGGAAATAACTTACGTTATTTGTTAATTTATTGTAGATTAATTAAAAATTGTCACTTCGTAACTTTAAATTCAAAAGTGTAGCTTTTCAGAATAATCACGTAACTATACAAGCCATGCTGGCAAACCTGGTACGCGCGATGTCACAATGATGGCACGGGTGACAGAGTTTGGATGATTTTTACGTATTTTGGGGACAGCGCGACACAAATCTGTAAATCGGGAACGTCCTGCCTAAAGGGCGACGTATGGTCACGTTAGGTATGAAGTTAGTCGAGACACGGAGGCGCGCGGGCGACGCCGACGATATGTTTGCAAGTTCACGTCACATCAATAATTACATTGTGTGTTAGTTTGAGCGAATATATTACATTGTTTGTTGTATTACATTGTGTGTTAGTTTGAGCGAATATATTATAATGTAAAATATTGTGAGTTGAAAATTTATACTTTTTTAAAGATTTTTAGTGAAAATGGAGGAAAAGAAAGTTTCTTTGTGATGAATATGTGTGTTAAAGTGCTAATCAGCGAGGAAAAGGGTAAAATCTTTAAAAATTAAAATTTTAAAATCATTTCTTCATACTTTAATAGGTACAGGGTTCTTTAGTATTAAAGTTTAATTATTCTAGGCGTATTTAAATGTTTAATAACTCAATACTTATATTACCATATGAGTTAAAAATATCATATTGAACTGCAGTATAAAATATGAGATACCTAGGTATAAGTCTAATTTTATAGCAAATAATTGTTACAATCTTTTTTTAATGTGAAGCCCTAATTTTAATTTAATAAATTAAATAAATAAATCATGTATTGAGGTTTTTAAAAAATATTTCCTTTAGTCTTCAGTATATAAAATTTTAATAGCCCCATCTACTTAATTCTATAGGTGAAGTCATTTTATCGAATGAAAATTGATTTATTCTACGGTCATACAACCTATCTAGCGGTAGTATGCCTTCTGTGTGATTTGTTAAACACGTCCTTGACAGAACTGAATACGAAACTGAAGAGTGGAGGCAGATCAAAATAGGTGTATTTTTATAAAACTGCTAAAACAACAAAAGCATATCTTGGGCTTGTCCTAGTTTGGAGCCCTAGTTTCGCCACTGCTCATGTTGTACTATTAGTTCATGAAAATTGAACCAAATCATATTTTACGGGAATAGAAAGGATTCACACACAAATAAGAGTTGTAAGAAGTGTGACCTATAAATCTTAACCACTGTGCTGTCGGGAAATCCCTCATTTTGAGCGCTGAGTGCGCGAACACGTTGTCATGGTAAAACAGGCTACGGATTTTAGTGTTCGGTCGTTTGTTACACACAACAGTATATCATTTAGTATTGATGCTACTTTGATTGCGTTAAGACATACATTCGTATTCTTTAAAGTGAAAAAAAAACTAGCTAATCAGCTAGCTATCAAAGGTCTTTCCTGAGCTTCTTCTTTAAGTTACACAACACATTAATATAAATGTGTTAAAAATATATTATACAAAATTATTTTCTACCACTTAGCAGCATTATATACACACACAATTTATTTTCACCATATAGAATGCAACTGCTTCTTGGCGGGAACGCTGGGTGGACTTGGCACATGTGATACGCGTTCCGGTCAATGTACGTGCAAGATGAACGTTGGTGGACAGCAGTGTGACCAGTGTCAGGGTGGTTTTTACAAACTTGAAACCAACAATCTATTTGGTTGTACCGGTAAGTCTTTACTCCCTAACATTTCAGACACCAAACACTCTACCCGTTTCTCTTACAAAGCATACAAGACATCTACCCTCGGTTAATAACCAAAATACATATAGCTGCAGCATGGCTCTAACTTGAGTAAGCCATATGATATGATATACATGATACATTTCTATTATAAGTATAGAAAAAAAAATCAACTCACTAGAATAATTTTGTGTATCTCAGAATGCGACTGCGATATCGGAGGATCTATCGACAACAACTGCGACAAGCAGACCGGACAGTGTCGTTGTCACTCTCGGATAGAGGGTCGCCGCTGTGACAGACCTATTCGTGCACATTACTTCCCCACTCTCCATCAGTTCCAATATGAAGTTGAAGAGGGCCTTACGCAATCAGGGCCAGTCCGCTATAGGGACTCTGAAGAAGTATTCCCCGGGTATTCCTGGAAAGGATACGTCGTATTTTCGGTTCTACAGGTAAATATATTATACAATTACATAACTTAAATTGCGCTTTGAATTCTTCGATGTCATCTAAAGTATATACAGGAAAGTTTATACATCGAAACTTAGAAGGAGACTTTAGGCCACGATCGGCCATTTTCGTATTTGTAGAGTTGTCGTTGTCATTCGTAGTACAGACTACTGTGACGTTTTGTCGTTCACAAGTCAGTTAAGAGCTCAGGTCTTCATTAAAGATTTTACATTATTGTAACACTTCACTCTTGCACAAGGCGCTCAGCATGGTTACACAGTCATGATTGAAAAATTTCGTTTTAAATAAGTGTTTGATTAGTTGTGTATATACACAAACAATGTCTCAGTTGTCAGTGATGTGTTAATTAATTTTGTACACTTTTAAACTTTTTTAGTTCGTATACTTGGTATATCCGTAATTTGGCTTATCCATTTCTAATTTAGCTAATTTAGTCAAAACAAAATATAACTGATATTTCAGAAAGAAACATTAATCTTTACACTTTTCGAATCATTTAATTTGTCTGCCATAAAGTGTGTCAATTATTTCACCTCATTCCAAAGTAACGCCGCTCTGACAGAAAAATTGTGGCAAATATTGATGGGAAGGAATCGCTGCTGCAACAGCTTTGTGCGCGGTTGATCATTATAATAAATTAGCGTTTGTACGCATCCAATTAATATATATATATATATATATATATATATATATATATATATATATATATATATATATATATATAATAGAGTTAGTAAATCCGTAATCTTTAAATATATTTTATTCAATGGCGTAACTAGCTTCTAACGCACTTTGTGCGAGCTTCTGTAACTACGTCCTTAAAATGTTCTAATCTGACTAGAGCTTCCAAAGTTAGGCATTTTGTAATTAAGTAAACACACATTTTATGCTCTAGTTACTTAATTACGTAACTGGTCTGGATTATTAAAAAATCATATTTTTTCGGCTTTTAAGTCATTTCAAAAATATTGAACTATGATTTATTTAACGAAAGAATTAAAAAATAACCTAAAACCAAAACTTACAAATCGCCTCCACAAACTAAGTAATCAAATTTGAGACCAGGTATCTATAAAATCAATCAACAGTAACACAAGTAAGCTAGTTTTCTAATATTAAATTTTGACTTACAAAATAGCACGTAAAAATTAGCCCCCCCCCCCCCGCCAAATAAGGGCATGTATAGATAGAGATTTGTTTTAACAACTCGCTCCCCTTCGGGACCATTACGTAATTAATGATAAAAGAATAAATAAAGAATATTGTAATATTCTATCTATATAAATAAAGAATATTGTATATAAATAATAGTTTAAGTTAATTAATACTCCTGATAATGTGTTCTTATAAATAACAAGGAGTGCAATGTTTCATCACAAAGGGAACTTCTTAGCTTGTGACATAAGAGGCTGCTTTCACGACCACCTCCAGCGCTATAGTAGAGGCATATTTTCACTCTTATTTTTGATTCAAAATCTGTATGGACATATTAGATTTGTTAACTACTACCACGATTTTATTTACTTCCTTATCCAGTTGCTTTGCAACAGTTGGGTCAACACCAAAATCATCACTACCGTCATCTGCTTCTTCCGAATTTGAGCTTATTTGCGTACATGTAAGTGTTCAGCCTTTCTAATAAGTTTGTAAATATGTTCGTATATAACTCAACGTTGGTTTTAAATTTTCTTATTTCTATGGTCCTGAAAATATCTTCATTACAAACTGCAATTACACATTCGATCGCCTCTTTTTTTAATATTTTTCAAAGTGTTACGAATAGTTTTAACTAAGCTCGTTATACTGAATATCAAGTTTGTTTAACACTAGCGATCCGCCCCAGCTTCACGCGGGTGATTTCTGGATCTCGTCAACAGCGCCACCTATCAGGTTTGTGTGAATATAAACCATTTAGACACCCATTCTAGCACAGACGAAATTTTTTATCTATGATTGTCTCTCCAGTCGCACTCCTTATACATCATTCGTAGCTATCCATCCTCCCCACGTTTCGTTCAGCGCTAGAATTACGTGCCGCGAGTTGTGATACTATTATGTATTCTGTGCTTGTACCATATTCTTGTGTATACAGCTGACAGTAGGGTGCTTCTACATAAAGAATAGATAACGTAGATATATGTATATGCTACTAGCTACCAAGGATGACCCAATACACTTAATTCTGGTATCGTTATTCTTTGCCCCTCCACCCCTCCATGGTGTGCGCCCTTTGCCTGGGCACCGCTGGCACCACCCTGGTTACAGCACTGATCTTATTCACTTACAAACCAAATGATTCTTCGTACGACTGAGACGGTGCTCTAGAAAAACGATTATAGCCGATAATTTATTGTAAAGCTAAATAGTTATAATCGGGTAATTAAAAATTCCAATAACTTGCTTTACGTCTAAAAGTCTTTAATACTGAATGTGGCATAATATGTAACATAGTCAACATTTAGTTAAGTGTAAATAACTGATCCCAATTTGGTTTCTTTCAGAATGAAGTAATCAATGTGGTACATATCAGCAAGTCGTCGCTATACCGTATGGTACTTAAATACGCCAACCCTCTCAGAGACCCCGTAGTTGCTACGATTATAATAACACCAGAAAGCGTGGTCGATACTCAGCAAATGTAAGTATCTATCGATAAGCTAGTCTGTAGTTAAAATTGCTCTACGAAAGAGCCGCGTGCCGTAGATGTACAGCATAATACAGAAGCGCTTAAGGGAAAGGAAATACCAGAAATATATTTTGGCTTCCGGTAGATGGCGGGATACCATTTGCTTACGCCAGTAATACTTTTAAGTGGTAGAGCCACACTGCAGCTACGCCATAGTATGGGCACTATTGTATAGCACCAACGGGTCGGCTCGACCGGGGCAGGACCATGCTCTCACAGAATACCAGCGAAAAATAGCAGCGTAATGCTGCTGTATTTCTTGAGTGTGGAGTACTGGAGACCCTTTTTACTGCAATCGAAGCATTCCATCTTAGTCGTAAGGGGTGACAACGCATTTTCATTTTGATTCTTAATTGAGGATAAATGTGGATATCTATGGGCCACAGCATCCACTTACTATCAGGTGGACTGTGTGCTCGTTTGTCACCCAATGCTATAAAAAAACTTAGACGTCTAACAATTAAGTGGCCAAGAAAACTATTAAGTGGCCAGTATAACAGGGACCAGCCATCTCCGCAGCATACTGTCAAATAGCTTTTTTTCGTATATTGACACTCAGTCCGTATAATAAATGGTTCGGTAGATGTTATTCTGCAGTTTCTGATAGATGACGCCAAGAGTTTATTAACTCCGAATGCCCTCCAGACTATGTACAGTGTAAATATTAAACTTATTAATAGGTGGATCACAGCGTCACTACTAGCAATGAACTCTCGAAGAAGCAAATATATTATTAAAGACGACCTCAATCTGTCATATCGATCACAAGTTACTCTATCACTAACAAAAGCATCAACGACATAGAAAGATTATACATATATAAATACTCAATTTGTCTAAGATTAAAAAGGATATTATTTAATACTGGCAACAGGTTGCTTTCGCTTGTGTAGGATCTATTAATGCTATTTTAATTCCATAAGTAAAAAAATCTAAATATGAAACAATAAAATCTTACACAGGTTCAACGCATATTTGAGGCCAACCGAACAACCCCAACTTGTAACTGTAACATTGGAGAAAGGTAATGCACCGGCGCCATTTGTTATGAATGCTGGGGTTTGGACTGTCACCATTAAAACTACCCGCGAAGTTATGATTGTAAGTCTTTGATAAGTTTTGAATTATCGAAACAACTTAAGTGGCATCTTCAGGTTCTCTTTGTGTCGTGAGATAACAGGCAGGCTTTATCTTTGCATCATATAATATTTAAATATAATTGAGCCGTAGTAACTCAGGTGAGCCTTGGAATATCAGGGGCTAAGCGCTTGAAATAAATTTCACAGTACGCGAGTAGGTAATCCCTGCCAACACAAAGAAAATTATGAAAATTGCAAATTTAAGTCCAGATTTACGACGTGCTTAACGATAAAGGCAAACGCTTTGAGCAAACCTGCATTTCTGAGGAATAAAAATATTTCAAAGACCGAGATTTAGGTCGCCAACACGCACTGACGCAGTGCGATGCATATTTCTTTGCTCAAAAACCCTCTCATAGCCGAATAAAAGCCTACTGCAGGACACACCTGCAGTAAAGTGAGAATTTTTGTGCTGTAATTTTTTTTTAATTTTAATAACCTAAATACATTGATCAGAATCGAAAGTGAAAGGAGTATTAGCCGTGCTGTGCTTTGGCATGCGTAAGTGCGTGTGTGCGTGCCAGCGTACATGTGTGCGTGCGTGCGTGCTCATATAAAACAATCAATTACTTTACAGGATTACTTTGTACTAATACCGGAAGCTTACTACGAGGCGACAGTATTAACTAAGCTGGTGGATAAGCCATGTGTTATTGGAGAGCGTAATCTGTGTCGACACTTTGCGTACCCAAGTCTCAGCGGGCTACCCACAGCCGATGTGAGCACGTTAGCGGTTAATGTCTCCGAATACATCACTGCTGCTGAGGTAATTGTGTCTTAAATATTTTTATATGCAGTTATTTTACAATAAACAATAAATATATTTCTAATACAAAATATCATCCTAGTTCAAATTTAAACGATGTAAACTCTAATTACAATTTTCAGCAATTAAGAGAATACAATGTTGGACCTAATGACATTCCACTACTCAAAAATGACCAAAGCGAATTGCAATTCAACATGAAAATACACCCAAATGGTCCCTACGTGCTTGTCCTTGAATACGTGACACCAGTTAACACCACAGGATTTGTTGGTGGGGCCGAGTTGGAACCGTACAATGGAACACAAGAGAACATTCCAAGAGGAATAATTACCATCAGATTCCAATCTGGGGACGCATCTGAATCAAGCGCAGTTGTGAACATAAACGCTTGCCCGTATACTGCGGCATGTAGACAAGTCATAACAGATGATTTGTCGAAGGTCTTCATTGTGAATGTGATGGACGCCAACAACGTAATCAGTTTGGAGGTGGGTTTCGACGTTTATTTTTAAATATTACATTTAAGACCTAACAGGTAGTCTCTAAATCTATTTATATAGAATAAAGACGATAGGGTTTAATGAACTCCGAGGACCCTCGTCCTAAGTTGAAAAAACGAAATACTATTTGCAGCCCCATAAGGATTATAACCTCATACATATACTGATCACGATACAGATCAAACGAGGGAAAAACGTGAAAAGAGCGAATGCAATGGAAAATATTAGGTGTCTACTTTAGGGTTAGGAGTGGCTATCGTATATTCACACAACCACAGAAATCGTAATATGTTTTTCTGTGCACACAACAGTTCGTACAATTTGCAGTGCAATAAAATTGTTAGTGACCTAGGTAAATAATTTACGCATCAGTTATTTATTTCATATGCTTTACTGTTTTCTTTATGTATATGGGGTTATAAATCTGTATTAATGTAGATAAAATTATTTTTTAATTTAAATATATATTTGGTTGAAATTCAAGCATATTTAATATGACAATAATATTCATATAAAAGTATAATACATGGAAAACTGACTGTAAAATACATACCCGTGTAGTAAGCAAGTATAGCAAGTGTACGCGTATCGTACTATTGTATAAAATATATACCTACTCGTATAGTGCTTGCTATACGAGTGCGGTTTCGTCCATAAATGTGATATATTCTATTTTTTTACTATTATTATATAGAACATAATGTTTACTTCAACGTGAGCATGTAACATATTTTGATAAATTTTATGAAATAAAAATGCTTGTAATGTTGAAAAATATAAAATTCACATTATATTTTTAATTTAGTAATACAAATCTGACCTTACGTTTATCTAGAGCGACACTGATACAATAGCTGGAATAAAGTCAATAGTGGCGGTCCCTGAATCAGACTGGCATCTCGACTACATCACACCACGTCCGTATTGCCTCAGACGTGATGGAAAATGCAGCCCTGGGGTTTTCTCTGCAGCAGTAGACTCTAAAAAGGTATGTACAAGTTTTCTCAAACAAAATAAAAAGAAAAATGTGTGTGCTATGGTTATTTTTACAAAAATATACTGCATTGTGTAATTACTTACGATATTTTTTCTTTAGTATTATTGTAAGTATAAAGAAGTACTAAAGAAAAACTGCTTCTTTAAATATATTATCAAGTTAATGTCGTAAACTTAAAGGAAGTCATGTATAGGTGTATACTGTAACAAACATTATGATCACTTGACAGGTCGAAATAGAGACTGGGTCTGGTGGCATCCGTGATACAAGACCTGCTGGTATGGATAATTCAACAGTGGTTGTTTACTTGGGACCAGGGTCGGAACCAATTAAGGTCGATTCTAAAATACCTTCACCCGGGGACTACCTATTCGTTATACATTATTACCAACCTGATAACCCACGTAAGAAAATAAATTTGTTAACACATTTTTTATAAAATAAAACTAATTGCAACTTGCTTAAAACAAATTAGTAAATAACATACAAAAAAATTTTTCCTCCTCAGAAAGCAACGTAGAAATAACAGTCACCACTGATGACCAGAAATACGATGCTTCCTTACCAATAGAACATTGTCCCTCGCATTCTGGATGCAGAGCACTTATCACACTAGCAAATGGCAACACACAGTTTTCTCTAAATGAGAATTTTACGCTATTAATCCAGGTAATAAATATTAAGTACGCAAAAACTATATTGTATATTCGCCAATGAATAGACTTAGATTTGGTAAAACAAATCAGAATATTTAGTATACCTATTCATAACTTGTATCTATTACATTTTAATCTAAAATATTTGTTTAGCAGGGTAAGTGAAAAACATTTTCTCAACCATTTTAAAACAAAATCTTTGTTTTTATTTAGGGAAATGCAAGCAAAGGTGTTTGGCTTGATTACGTTCTTGTGATAGCTAAGCCTGACTACATGGATACAGCCGTGAAAGAAGCAAATACATTAGACTACACTAGAGAATTTATTGAGAAATGCGCAATGAATCACTATCACATCAACCCTAATGAAACTGGTAAGTTTTCTTTAACATAATGGCTATACCCCACCACGCAACGCACTCTTAAAACATTGAAGATGAAAATATTTACTAGTGATATAGTAAAATTTAATGTGTAACGAAACGTACTACAGTTAAAGACCATTATTGCGTTAACGACGTGACGAGTACATATCTCTATTGCACGCGCAATCTCCAGCACGCGGATTCTGATCACGAACTTAAACGTTTTAGCCATATATTTCATTTTCACGTGGAAAAATTGGTTTTCAATAATTTTCATAAATATATATCATAGACTGTTGTAAGTTTAACATTATATATTTCTATCGCTTTACCATTCCATATATGTATCTACTAAAACTGTTATTTGCGCAGATTACCACGAAGACAAATGAAACATTTGGAACTTTTACTTACTTTGTAACTTTAATAAAAACATTTCAGTATTGCTCTTGCCTTCAGGTTTTTGCCGCGACGCGATGTTTTCAATCACAGCAGAGTACAACAGCGGTGCACTTAGATGCTTGTGCGATTTTATGGGGTCCACGGAATTAGAGTGCAACACGTTTGGCGGACAATGTCCATGCAAGCCCAACGTAATCGGGCGTACGTGCAGCGCCTGCAAAACTGGTTTCTACGGATTTCCAAATTGCAAGCCATGCAATTGTCCGCTAACCGCTATTTGCGACGATAATGGTAAGCAACATCTTTGTAAACCTGAGGTATTTAATATTTACTTTAAGTAAATATCACCATTTTCAAGCTAAACAATTCTAGAAGAATAATACGAGGACGGATGAAGGACGGGATATTCATTTCCCGTCAAACAGTCGTCAGATTAAGTGCGATTGGAGAGTTTTTGCGTTCTTCTGCGACGAGTCTTGCAGAAATTAGCTCCGACCGAATGGACAATTTCGGAGGTCTTGTCATTCATATCGTCCACTATACGAGTATTGCAATCTTCTGGGCACAGAAAAAGATTTTGTAAGCTCGAGGTTGACGGAGCGTTTACTTCATTAGACATGACCTCTCCAACTTAACTTTAAGGTATAGGGGTGCCTCTCGTCATTCGGTGATCTCTGCCAGATTTCACTTTCGCGATCACTGACACGTCACCGTACAGTTGCCGTCTCGAGACATCCTCATACGTCCTTCATCTTCTCATTGGAATGTGCCGAGGATGGTGAGTAAATGTGTGTGATCTTCTAAGAATACCATTTGGTGAATCTAAGTATAAGGCACGCAACCCTCCCACACCTTATCTTTACAATATTGTTGACGAGAGACTCGTGGGCGATAAATACGACACCTCCTTGAGACAGATGGTTGCCCTATCGGTGATAGAACAAGTATTCGAGGATTACTTTGCCTTTTCTCTTTTTTCGGACTTCAGATTATCCTATAATGTCCCAGCGCAACTTGTTTATCTCTTCTTCCAGCTCCAGGATCTTCTCGTCAGTCTTCAAAGTGCGTGTGTTGAATGTTGCCCAATCGAGTCGTCTTAGGGGGCAACTAAAACTTCTTAGTACACCCGGCCCGCCATTACCATGGTCGCCACCGTAGCTACCCAGGACTGGAGATCGCTTCTGTTGCCATAGTTGCCACGCTTGGCGAGCGATTTGACAACCGCAATTATTCATTTTTATTGTGGCGTTATGAGAAACATGGAGCGGCCCATCTCCTGCCTCAGTTTCCCTATGCTGCCTCTTAAGACATCCACGGGAAGACATAGGGTAGTGGATATTCCTACACCGCCACTAGTCGGTAATTGGGGATCTTTCTTTATCTCATAAATCATATGTGAATATTTCAATTGTTTAACTTGATTGTGATAGGGAAACTGTTACGATAGACATCAGAGACCCACTTATTTTATCAATTTTTCCATCTCTCGGAAAAACACGAAATTTTCGATTAAAATATAACCTACATCTCAGTTTAGTTTAGATTGTGATAAAACTTCACATTGTTCACATTGAATTGTCATTCAGAAAGTTAGTCGGGATAAACTGATAAAACAGATTTTTATGATTGGCCAGCCGGGAATCTTAGGAATCATTTAATAACTACGGATTAATTTCAAACAAATGTGTATAATGACCGCATATAGAGATATAAAAAAAACAATTTGATATTGTGTTGGGCAATATTTGTGTGCATTAAGTTCAGTATTTGAGTGCATCACGTGATTTTAACCGTTGTTTAGTAGTTATATTATTGCATATATATATATATATATATATATATCTGTTTTAGGGCAATGCATCTGCCCCAAAAATGTGGAAGGTGACAATTGCGACCGTTGTAAGCCATACACCTTTAATTTCGACGTGCAGCGAGGCTGCGATGATTGTAACTGCAACCCGCTAGGTGTTGTTGGCCACCAGCTACAGTGCGAAGCCGACAGCGGAAACTGCGAGTAAGTTGACTGTTACAATCACTAGTAATATTTACGCGTATATTTAAAATTGCGTACTTCTAACAAGTCGACGTTTTAATTATAAAACTAATTTTACTTTCTGTTTACAACGACGTGTATCCAGCTCTTTGTAAAGGAATTTACGTTATAAATAACCTTATTTTATAGCTGTAAAGAAAACGTTATTGGCCGCACTTGTGATCACTGTGTACCCGGACATTACGCCTTCCCGGAATGTCTGCAATGTACTTGCAACCTTGACGGCACTACCGAGGACGTGTGTGATCAAAACACGGCTCAGTGCTACTGCAAAAAACACGTGAGAGGGCAGGTAAGTGCTAAAAATAATGTTGTAGCTAAATTAAATTCAGATTGATAAAAAATTTCACAGCCGGAAAGCTTCCTAGAAAACCAACTTTAGCACCCCAGCTCTGCTCACGGCGCGGAGTTTTTGGACTTTCATTTTACTGTCTGACACTTTAGTAGAGAGAAAGGAGTGGAAGTGGTGGTGGAAAATTACCCCCTTCATCTCACTCCATCTTTCACATTTTTGAATTTAAATAAGTGGGCTTAAATGGGTAAGTGAGCGACCTATCTCTTCCCAGTACTCGTTTTCCATTCACCACAAAGGTTTCCGATAGTAAAACCCAACCCTTTATATTTTCAAAAATAGCAATCAACCCAGCTGTAATTGCTGATAGTTCATCATTTCAATAGTTTTCGAAACACTGTTTAAGCATAAAATACAGGTTGTTCAGTAGGAAAGTTCATTTTTCGATTTAGGAAAAGTAATACTAAGTTAATGAATGCAAAATATTTTATTAAATATGACAATATTAAGAAACTCTGTAGGTTTTATTTTTTGGATATTACCCTGCAAATGTTTACCATCTCTTCGTACACATTCTTCTAATCGGACACGCAAATTTTCAAACACTTTCTTGCAGAGTTACGGGAAGATATTGTTTATTTCTTGCCGGATATTTTCTTTCAGCGTCGCTAGTGTTTGTGGTTTGTTTGAATAAACTTTTGACTTTAGATAGCCCCACAGAAAATAATCACATGGTGTGAGATCGGGCGACCTGGGTGGCCAGCAGAGGTCTCCAAACCTCGATATCAATTTTTGTGAAGTGCCTTTACCGTGTCCATCGACTCTCTGGAGGTGTGGGAAGTGGCTCCATCCTGTTGGAACCATGTGTTTCTGTTAAAACGGCATTCCGTTCTTACAATAGGAGCAAAAAAATTGTCGATCATGTTCTTATATCGCTCCGAATTGACCGTCAAAGCATGACCGTTCTCATTCTCAAAAAAAAAAGGCCCAATAACCCCACTTGAGGTTATGGCGCACCAAACAGTCACCTTTGGACTATGTAACTGTCGTTGATGTCTGTCTTTTGGGTTCGTTGGTGCCCAAAATCTGCAATTTTGTTTATTTACATAGCCTTCCAAACGAAAATGGGCCTCATCGCTAAAAACAACGTTATTGAGTCTACGCTGTGTAGAAAAAACTTCCAACATCTTTTCAATATCAGATTTCCGTAATAAGTAATCACTTTCTTTTAAAGCTTGCACTAACTGTATTTTATAAGGATGAAAACGCATCTTTTTCCTAACTATGACGTGAACTGTTGATTTAGGGATTCCTAAAACAGCCGAATGCTTCCGTAAAGAACACCGCGTATATGCAAGGACCGAATCACTTACTCGGCGCACATTTTCCTGGGTTGATACAGTAGGTGTGCGGCCTGAAATGGGTATGATTAATGGTAGAACCCGTTTCACGAAACTTCTTAGTCCACTTTTTTAAGAGGTTTACACTTGGGGCATCTCTTGGCCGGCGAATATAGTATTGAGAACGAAATTTCCGAAGCGCAGCAGCGCACGAATCACCACTCTTAAAGTAAGCTTCGACAGCAAAAGCACGTTGCGCTCCGGTCCAACGTAGGAGCGGTCGTTACAAAACGTAACTAGTTACTGAAACTATCTATTCACACAATAGCGGGTAGCGGGTTATTGTAGTGCAACGAAACTATCTATTACAGTAGACGTTCTACTCAGTAACACGATTCACGTTTCACGAATCACGAACGAGCGATCAGTAACAAAACGTTTATTCGGATATTTTCGCTAGGCATCGGCGACGGCTTCGGCTGTTGAAGTAGAAGCACATGAGTAGACTTTAATGCCTGTAGAATGGAGTAGATGGCGGCGGAAAATATTCTATAAAAACATCAATACATGTATTCATTTGATTTATTACATAAAAATATAGGCTTGAGATGGCTAAAAATAAGCATTGCATTGTAATAATTATTTGCTATAAAATCAAACTTACATATATTCAATATTTTATGCTGAACTTGTGGGTGAATTTATCATAATCATAATTATTAAATAAATCGCTTACCGTTAAATCTTTTCAAGTGATATTTTTACCAAACCCTGCGAAATGATTTAACAAATAACTAAATTTCACCATTAACACCATGTCTAATTCTATACGAAACGGTAACAAACAAGTTTTCTCGTGAAACGGACATCGTTTCATTCGCAACGTTTTTCAATTAAACACGTCGTGAAACACTATTGAAGCCGCTATTAAAATAGAGTGTTTCAAAAGCCGCTATTGATATTCGATAGATAGTTTCGTTTCGTTACTCAAAAATGCCGCTACTACCCACCGCTAGTCCAACGCTTCATCGCGACAGTTAAACCCGCACGCCTGACAAGACGATTGAGACCTCTCCCCACTTCACCGCGCCAACCGTTGCTGCGTAATTCAAATTTGAAAATTGAACTTTCCTACTGGACATCCTGTATTTCCAGTTTCAGAATTTTTCGAAAGCTTTATTTCGTTTTACTTAAAACGAGAGATATTTTTGAGGTTCATAAGATATTTTAATTTTAAACTAGACTTAAATTATAAAATATTGAAGTTTGTTTAGTTGTTCATTGTAGAAAGAAACAATGACATATTTTTATATCAACCATAACAACAAAAATATTCAAATTTTTCCTGATAGGCCTGTGACACATGTAAAGATGAATACTTCAATCTGCAACCCGACAATTCTGACGGATGCACCAAATGCTACTGCTTCGGGAAAACTACGAGATGCGCCAGCTCTTATCTTACTTGGGCTGAGGTAATTATATATTATATTCTTGTCTAATTAGAGATTATTGATATGAATATGACTCTATGTTTTATGCTATTTAGATTTTTTTATAAGTTGTAAAATACTATTGATTTATTACTATACCTGTATATAAAATATGTAGAATATTTTTGATGAGCCATTGTAGCGCAGGGGCTAAGCACTTGCTATAATTTCACAGTACGTGAGGAACCCGAGTTCGATCCCCGCAGGCACCAATGAAATTATTAATGTTGATTTACCACGACCTCGATAATGAAGGAAAAATAATAAAGAAACCTGCAGGTCCTAGAAATAAAATATTTTAAAGACATGTAAAGTCTACCAACACGAATAAGGGCTGAGCCGTGGACACTTATTTGCCCTAAAACCCTCTTTGAATTGACAGGAGTACTCTGTCCAGGAGTGGGGCGTATCTGTGACTTTGCTTTAGAATATTATTATTAATACACAAATTACTACGCGATTTTTAACCGTACCTAATGCCTATATAGCATTATTATTAAAACAAAACTTCTTTTTTACAGATCAGCGGAATGAGTGATTGGTACTTAGTGAACATCGAAGTGAATCGTACCCTTAATATTTATCCCCACACAATTGCTCCCAGCATTCTGAATGATACTGTTATTGGTGCTGAACTTGTAAGCAGTGATGAACATGATCAGAAAGTAGTTTATTTTGGCGCACCAGAGTATTATCTCGGTAAATAATTTGTGTATGAAATAAGTTATTTATTCATAATGAAATTTTATAGCCTATTTGAATGGACATCTACTTGTTGTTGTTTTCTTCATTTTATTTTTACATACATGCGTACATTTCAATTGGCGCCAATACCAAACCTAAATACATGCAGCTGGAGTGTAGTGCACGTCAAGAATTTGATCGTTGGCTCACTTTAAATATACGTAATATTGTCTACTTTTCTTAGTAGGTCTGAGTTGGTTATTGTGTGAGTGTTCAATATGAAAATCGTTTATAAAGTGAGCTCTACATAAAATACGAAATTTTAGTTCACATATTTTATGAAAGGCCCAAACAGCTACTGGCATAGACTTAAAATTTGGAACGCTCGTTGAAATTATATATATGAAAACTTAACCATAATAATTTTTGATGCTGTTATCACAATCGTCACTTCTCTATTTAATTTTAAAATGTTTACCGTTATTGAATATTTTATCCGTACATTCATTATGGTTAGCATAGAATAACCTAGGTAGATAAAAATATATTAAAGCTCGGAACTATAACTCATGACTTGCATAATAAATACATGCATTTTTTCCCTCATGGCTTTAATTTTAGGTCAACGCCTTACGTCATATGGAGGATACCTTTCTTACACAATCTTCTATACGACACGAGACGAAGGATACGCCGTTATAGAAGCTGATGTTATCATTGGCGGTGTTAATGGATACATAGTTTACAATAGTGTGGAACAACCGCCTTCTTTAGTTAACTGGAGGCACAGCGTCAGAATAACCGAGGACGAATTCACTAACTTAGATGGCTCGGCGGTCACAAGAGATCAATTTATGAACGTCCTTGTCAATGTGACCAGTATATACATCAGAGCTACATATTGGCATGAAGCTGTAACAACTAGGTTTGTATTGTGTCACATTTTCGAACAAATTCGACAAAACATAATAAATACATCATAATTCTTTATTCTTCTATTACTATTCTTCATTGAAATAATTTATTGATTGTAATGTTGTTACTTCAAGGTTGGTGGGAGTGAGCCTGGATGTTGCTGTGGAAGAATATACAAACGACGGTAGACAAGCATCATCGGTGGAAGAATGCCAATGCCCGAAAGCGTATAGAGGTTTATCTTGTGAGCAATGCGCTGAAGGTTATTACAGGCTTAGTTCGGGGCCGCACGCCGGATTCTGCGTCCCGTGCCAATGCAACGGGCATTCCACCTCATGCGACGTTAACACTGGTATCTGCTTGGTGAGTCGAATCTATGGAATATATACGATTGAACAAATTATAAATAAATTCAGAGTATGTTTCATTGAAGAAGTCATTAAAACTGCAAATAAACATTACTCATACTCATTATTTCGTGAATAACAATAAACGTGTAACAAAAACAGAGTTTATGTAAAGGGTCTTATTTTACTACTATCTTTGAAACACTCCTAAATTTCATTTATTCAAACCATTTCGTAAATATTACGTAGGCTTAACCAACACCAAGATACAGGACATGTATAATGTATTTAATAAGGTTAAGATAGCATCATAATTTTTTCTCTAGGAATGTACTGACTACACTATGGGCGATCACTGCGAGCTCTGCATACCTGGTTATCATGGAGACGCGACAGTTGGCACACCACATGATTGTCTCATCTGCGCTTGCCCTATGCCTTACCCATCAAATAAGTATGAAATTCTAATTAATACAACTTTAAATCTAACTACACTGTCATCAAACATATATTTAACTTTATTTTGTTATTTTCTTATTAAAGCTTTGCCATTGGCTGTGACTTGAGCCAAAACGGTTCCCTTATATCGTGCGTTTGTAAACCTGGTTATGGTGGTGCGAGATGCGAATATTGCGCAGCTGGATACTACGGTGTACCTGAAGACATTGGTAAGCTAATCATACAGGCTCTAAATAAACCTTATTCCAATAATTTAAACACAACTAATTATTATATTAACGTATAGGTGATTACTGTAAACCCTGCAACTGTTCGGGCAATATCAACGTGGAGGACCCCAGCTCTTGTGACAGTATTACTGGAGATTGCCTGAAGTGTGTCAACAATACGGCGGGTGCCGCTTGCAATCTGTGCGCCCCTGGTTTCTTTGGCGACGCTATCTTTTCTAAGAACTGCACAGGTAAGTTCAGTCGACACAAGTTTGTAAAGTTTAAGTTTCTTTTTAAAACGTATATGTTAAAAAAATACACATATGCAATTATAATTATTTATTTATTTTATTTATGCAGTTTTTTTCTTTGTTTTTTTCTTTGATATTAATTCAAGTTACACTTTTTGAGCGTGGTGACCGATAAGAAAACAATTATTTTTCTTTTATTGAATAAATGAGAAGTTAATATTGTTTAAAATATTTTTATTATCTTACAATAGATGCAACTAGTCTACACGCATACGTCTAGTAGCACGCACACAAAGACCGCGCCGAAGTCTGCCGAATTTAAACGACGTTAGACGATGTTAGGCTTTCGGGCCTTAGGTTTTTTTCATTACGGAATTTCTTGATTCGGTCGCCGCGCTCAAAGCCCGCGATAAAAGCTATGCAATAGCTTAAAATCTTATGGTTTTGGTGGGTTCTGTCATCTTTATTTCTTTTCGACGCTCTGATGACTGTTAACTGACTGATAATTATTTTATAATATTAAAAGGAGAATCCTTTGTAAATATAAATGGAGGTAGTATTAAAGTCCTGCTGCCAGATCCTATAATAAAATACTCAATGACATAATCCTATAAAATGATAGAGAGCAAAGCAGTGTTTTTTTATTTCTTCTCCTCCTCCTCCTCCTCCTCCTCCTCATGATGCTGGTCTGCATGTCTAGTTTGACAAGTAAGCTAAACACGTTTTATTTGCATTTTTCATTTAATTTTCATTTACATCTGGAGAGACCACCGAATGTAAAAGACAGTGGTTCTGGTACTAATTATGCATTTTGCTACTTCCTCTTGTTTTTTATATTCCCTGGTCTTGTTTTTTATATTACGTGGGCTAGACCTATATGTTGCAAAAATAAAATATACGAAATGTAAACATTCAATATGAACAGCTGATGTGCTAAAATATTATTTCTTTTTTTTTAGCGTGCGTTTGTGATGAGTTTGGCATGGAACGTTGTGACCCTACCACGGGGACATGTGTATGCCGGCCTGGTGTGATCGGTGAGAAGTGTGACCGCTGCGCACCAGATCATTGGGGTCTCATGACTGGACAGGGCTGCACGCCGTGCGACTGCGCACTTGCCTCGGAATCCTCACAGTGTGACGATAACACAGGCCAATGCAGGTCGGTATTTTTTAATTTCAAGAGTTTTAACAACCATAATATACAATGGATAAATTACATTTTCCATTCCTACATATTTTAGATGTGCTAAAGGAGTCACGGGCAAGCACTGCGATCAGTGTGCCGCTGGTTACTGGAACTACACTAAATATGGATGCGACCGTGAGTATTAAGGGCCCTCGAAATGGTCAATTGCGATTGTCAATATTTACATGAATAACACTCCCTGAGTCGAACAATTACTATCGTCTATGATTGCAATTGTTTGAATGTTTGATTAATTGTCAATATTATTACGGCATTGACGGCAAACAACAGCAAAAAATATTGATTGAAGTAATTGACGCGACATGCACTCAATAACACTATTTTTTGCCAGAAAAACCATATTCGCGTTTGAAATCATGGGCATATGATACACTCATCAGTTAATGCTTCATTCGCAAGTCATTTGTGATCTCCAATCACACAGGTAAACATTGACAATCACGATTGATCGTTAAGGCAACCTTTTAGTTAGCCCCTTCAATATTTTTAATTTGCGCTTTCAAATGAATTTACTAAAATAAATTAGGTAATAATTTAGTTCAAGATATTGCTTTGCCTTATCAGATTGTAACTGCAACACTGGTTACTCTCTTGGATTTATGTGCAACGCCACGGGTCAATGTGAATGCCTTCCCGGCGTCATAGGCGAAAAGTGTGATCGTTGCCCAGAAAGGTAAGTAATACCAGTTTTAGTTGATATTTGTAAAAATTGCAACCGGTAAGTTTTTATAAATAAAACTGGAACAAATTTTACAGATGGGTATTGATACCTCATGAAGGCTGTCTGGAGTGTGATTCCTGCACCGATGCCTTGATCTTCTCAATACAAGATTTAAGTTATCTGCTTTCAAATGAAAGCTTGGAATTCAGGGTACGTACTATTTAATATATTTATATATTATTTTATGTAATTGAAAATTTTATAATCTCTTTAATTTGTACACATTTTTATTGTTTTATTTAAAAAGATTTTCATATGGCTATATTAAAAATGTTTGTCATAATTTTAAGTTGAACCTTTATCCTTTTTGCGATTTTTGGACATGTAAATAACATATTGGAGTTTTAACAGACTAGTCATATATACAATTTTGCCGTTTGTATGTAGATATCATAAATATGTTAATAATAACAGAGCCAAGCTTTCAACCGACGAAAAAACGGAGGAGGTACTCAAGTCTAAGCGTATATTTTTTTGTTTTTTATACCACGCATAACTTTTACAAAGTAGTCCGATTTTGATATCTATTGTTATTGTTATAGTGGATAGGGTATACCTCGAAATTTGTCCCATATAAATTTGGAAAAGAAATTTTTACCCTAAGGGTGGGAAAATAGGGGTGATTTATTACAGAGTAGTCCGATTTTAATAATTATTTTTATTGGATAGGGTCCTATATAAATTTAGAAAATAAATTTTTACCCAAAGGGTGGGAAAATAGGGGTTTTATTAAAATTTTAAATGAACATCCAGTACAACATAAAATAACTTATTACAGGACAAGGCAGACTCTTTTTTCACAACGCAACGTCTCAACTACATATCGAACCAAACTGAACGTCTGAAACCTAGAGTGACCGAACTTCGCAACGTAGATTTGGATGAAGTTACTTCCGCAGTAAAGTCACTTGAAACCAGCTCCAAAAACCTTCTGAGATCAGTAAGTGTTTCTAGTGATGTATTAATGAAGTTTTGCATAAACATACACATATTTAGTATATTTTATAATATCCAAAAATATTTGTATACGTCGAGTCTTTCAAAATATTTTCGAATAGAGACCATCTAATCAAATCAATATTATACAGGCGGAGTTCGCAGCGACAGATAGCGACCATCAGATCACTAGAGCAGCTTATTTAGCAGCTGATGCAGACAAAGTCTTCGAGTCAGTACGGGATCATACTCAGAAAGCTAAAGACGTTGTCACTTATGTCAGTGATTTGGCCACTGGCTTGGAACTTAGTCAACAACCTAAGGTCGACAGTGCCTTGGAAGAAGCTCGACAAATTAGGAGAGATATTTCCGGTAGAATTTCATAATCTCTATTATCTTCGTAAAGAATATTCTAAATATTTACTTGTTGATTTTTTTCTGACTTAATCTAACAGAACATAACTGTTTTAGCTAAGGATCTTACTCCTAAAAAGCAACAGGCTATCGGCGCCATGAACAACGCAACTAAGCAAATCGAACGAATGAATGTTTTTGTTCAACCAGTCAATGAGCAAACAAAGGTTATTGTAATATAAATAGCTTAAGTTATTATAATTTTACTATATATTTCATTTAACTTACTTTTATTAACTTTACAGAAGTTCCAAAAATTGGTAAATACAACAAGAGAAATAAGGGAAAAACTGGAAGAAATGTTAGCATACACCGATCTCGCTCAACATACCGCCGACGCTGCTAAAACGCTCAATGATAAGAACAGGTATAGTAATAACGAATAACGAAATACATTTTCTTCGTTAAATTTATTATATAAGTTTTACTTAACATCTTAAGTGTATGGGATACATACAGTATGGCAGTCTCTAATTAGAAACTCGTTTTGAGTCAAAGCTGAGTAAATACCGAAAATATATGTGTCTGAGAAATTAAAACGGATCTGCGGCTTGTCGTGAATTTGAACTATAGACTTTTGATCCCTAAAGCTTTTGGCCTGTGTGTGTAGTTCATAATTAATGCCAATCCTTGTTTGTTATTGTTTATTTTGGGGTTTTGTCTCTGTCCTCCTCCTAGTTTTGGTTTTATAGGGCGGCAAAGCTTAAGGTGACCATATTGCACTCACGTATCTTATACATATAATAACTAATTAATTAATTATCAGTTAATATAGTATGTAACTTTTTGCGCTTTATAAAATTCGTAGATGGCAGTTTTAAAAGCGTACCACAAAGCAAATCCAGCTTACCAGCTTAGTTTCACACTACGTCACTAATCGGTTAAAATTTAAATCTTTAATTTATCAACAAAGTGTAAAAATATTTTTCTTCATTTATAAATATAAATTACCCATTTTAAGAGTTCTACTTTATCGAAATCTATTTAAAGTAAAACTCTTCACCCTTTTATGGATATGACATATGACAGAATAGCCATTATAAAATTATACTTACTTCTTGAGGTAAAGAAAAACTAAACTCTCCTTTTTCAGTCCCGTAGTTTGATAAAACTTGGTCACACTACCTACATACCAAATTTTGGGGTATCTCCTACAGTCCATATAGTCTCACAAGTAAGATTACTGGGATTTCTTGTGAAGACCACTGGGGAAGAAAATTCTCAGTACCTAGTACTACTCTATAAAATAGGTTTTATACGTGGTAGTATGCAGTTATATTAGTAGCATAGTTGTAGCACGAATGGGTCGGCTCGACCGAGGAAGGACCAGGCGAGAGCCTGTGAGAACAGGACACCAACGTAAAATAGTAGGTTAATACTGCTGTGTTTCGTATGGTGAGTGCAGAGAACTGGAGACCCTTTTTACTGCAAACGTGGCATTCTATCTTAGTCCTCACGGGTAACGACGCATCTGCACTTTAAAAAAACAAGGATATTAACAATGCTATAAACATTACTAATATTCCTTTTCCCTTTCCCTTTGATTCGTAATCGAGGACAGATGTAGATGTCTATGGGCCACAGCAACCACTTACCATCAGGTGGACTGTGTGCTTGTTTGTCATCCTATCCTATAAAAAAGGTGGAATTTTTCATCACTACTGAGCTGCTTTAGTTTATTCATATATTTCATTTATTCGACCTAATGACTAATGTTTGCTTTTTTATGGTTAATAGGAGTAGTACTAGGCGAGATTAAACGTAATAAAGGCAGTATTGGTATGTTATTTTGTGCACTAATACTACTCGTACCGGTAGTCTTACTAGTAAGACTACTGGGAATAACCCCAAAATTTAATGGAAATATATTCAGTATTTTCGCGTGAATCATGAATAATCTTATATCTACATATGAAGTAAACGTCTTTGCATTCTCAGTCGCGCACTCTTGGCGCGGAATCAGATAAACGATTAACTTTCAGATCTAACTACTAAAATCAATAATTTGCCTTCCTATTTAACGTGACAATCTTCTAATACTCTTAAGACCATACGCAAAATACGCGCTTAATCGTGCAATTGAGGAAACTAGGCTATGTAACACTAACACCGTGTATTAAGACTTCTCGAGGAGCTCTGCTTGGGCTTTTCGCGAAAGTTGTGGGATTCGCCAATTATACCATTACCAAACACGATTACCAAAAAACAAAATTTATCAAATTGATCAAATAATAATAATATTGATTTCGGTTTGAAATTCTGGAATATGCTGTACATACACATGTATGTGTGTGTTATACATAAGATGCACTGATCACATGGCTGCGAAACATACTAAATAATCTAAGTATTTCAGGAAGTCAAAGTTCGGAAACAAAGTACTCTCGGTAACAAAATTAAACAGCGCAGCTATGAAGGATCTAATCGACGCAGCCTTGGACATTAACAACGCAACTTTCTTTAATACATTAGCAGCTGGTACTGTAAATAGTTCATCAAATTCATTAGAAGATATAACCACTAAGAACCAGGAAATGGAGGACAGGTTAGCTTTATTGGCAGAGAGTTTACCAGAGCTTAACAATTTAACTGATGTCGCCCTCCATCACGCAAGAGGATTGAGGAACAGGGTAAGCGCATACCTATAATTTTTCGCGTTTACGATAGTAAAAGTCAGTCTGCGTGGTTTGACGAAGTCGAAACAGTTTAATTCCGTATAGTAACAAAAAATCATATAATATTGACCATTTTTATGCACAAAACATATGTCTACCAGTAAGAACTAACTCTCTAAGCTATCCGAATGCGGCAGCATCGTTTCAGGGACACCTGAGATTTTGGGTGAGATTGAGAGATTCTAAGGGCAGCTGTGCACGTCATCGTTAGAACTACACGCACGTGTGAGTAACAATAATGACAACAGCTTATCCGACACCATTCCGACGAAATCCCGCACGTCAGTCTGAGCGGGACTGGAATGGCTCTCCAGCACTTTAAAAACGGCAAAGCAAGAATGGAATACATCGGAGCTTCTGAAAGCGTATGAAAAACTAGTACTTGAAGTCCGTCCTCCATGGCGACACTACTCCGAAGTTGTGGAGCAGTACGGTGTTCTTGTTCTTCAAGAAAGGCGACAATTCTCTGTTGAGGAACTACAGACCGATTTCCCTTTTTAGCCGCGTCTACGTGCTGTTTTTGAGAGTCATTACGAATCGTATCGTACACAAACTCGACGATTACCAGCCTGCATGAGAAAACCTTTGATTCTATAGAAATTTGGGTGGAAATTCGAAGTCCGCTCATAGGTACCAAATTGACTGTCACTATATCGAAGTGCTGAAGTGTTTGTACAGTGGAGCTACGATGGTTACCCTAGAACAGAACCAGAGTTCGAAACCTATCCAACTGCAAAGAGGTGTAAGACGGGGTGGCGTTATATCCCCAAAACTCTTCACTGCTGCATTGGATGACGTTTTCAAGCTACTGGACAGGAAAAGACACGGTGTTAACATCAATGGCAAGTACATCACTCACCTTCAATCTGCCGATGGTGTAATCCTTACGGCAGAATCATTGAAGGACCTAAGCACAATGCCCAATAACTTCAATTGTCTCTCCCAACGGATATCTCATAAGATGAACATGGACAAAACAAAAGTCGTGTATAACGTTCATGTCATACCCAGTAGGTAGTTGTTGGGAGCACTAAGTTCGAAGTTGTTGACGAGTATGTTTACCTGGGACAAATAGTCCAACTAGGTTAGTCCAACATCTACCGAGACCTAGGTAGCGTTCGGAAGATAACGACACATCTTCTCGTCGAGTACTATACCTCAAAACTTGAAAACGAGATTGTATAACCAGTGCGTGTTGCCAGTGATGACATATGAATCAGAGACACGCTTTTTCACTAATGGCCGTGTCAGTGGGCTAACGGTCGCTCTACGAGCTATTGAGGGGGCTAAGATAGACTTAAAAACGAGTATATCTGTAATAAAGCCTGGGAAACCGATAAAGCCCAACGGATTAATAAGCTGACGGTGTAATGGGCCAGTAATGTAGCTCGAAAAACCGACAATAATTGGGGTAGAAAGGTTCTCGAGTGGCAATTTCGTGCCGGCAAGTGAAGTTTAGTGAAGCCCCCACTAGATGGAGTGACGGCCTGATAAGACATGCAGCAAGTCGATGGGTGCAAGTGGCTCAGGATCATGTTTTGTAGCATTCCTTGGTGTAGGCCTATGTTCAGCAGTGGACTTGTGAAGGGCTGTAATGATGATAATAGTAAGGCACAAACCAGTGCTTAACTACAATTTCATAAAACAATAAGTGTAACTATAGATGCACTGCACTAGCCTGTGAAGCGTGACGAATAAAAAATAATGTGCCAACTTAGGTCTGTTTTAACTAACGCTCATTCAATTCTGAAACAAAAGAAGAACTTGAATTAATTTACTCTTTAAGGGAAATTTATTTTACGTTAACTTAATTGTTGAATAAAACTAAATTTACGGATTCTATCGCGTTTATTTAACTGATTTTACTTATTTTTAATTCCCGACGTTTCGGGTGCTTTACAGCAACCATGGTCACGGGGGGGACTGAGATGTTTGACGTCCCAATGTCATTGTTAGCCCGGCTACCTTCAGTTTTTGAATATTAATTTTTGGTCCGATTTACGCAAAACGAACTTACAGTATCTTGAAGTCTTGTAGTGGTATGCTTGGGTTTGGGTTTAATTTTGTTAATTATAGGATCCCAAGCAGATGGCGGCACCCAACCATCTTCTCTATTGAAATTAGGTTTACCCGGGTTTACCCGCGTGAAAGATCATATAGCTGACGTGAAGCACCGACGCTCCGGGAAGTCTGCAGTCTGTGAACATGTTCAAGATCGTCCCAAATCCTCGCAAAAGAACACCGATTCCTACCAAGGATGATACGCGAGGCTATTGAAATTAAAAAACATCCTAATTTCAATAGAGAAGATGGTTGGGTGCTGCCATCTGCTTGGGATCCTATAATTAATAAAATTAAACCCAAACCCAAGCATACCAGTGCAAGACTTCAAGATACTGTAAGTTCGTTTTGCGTAAATCGGACCAAAAATTAATATTCAAAAACTGAAGGTAGCCGGGCTAACAATGATATTGGGACGTCAAACATCTCAGTCCACCCCGTGACCATGGTTGCTGTAAAGCACCCGAAACGTCGGGAATTAAAAATAAGTAAAATCAGTTAAATAAACGCGATAGAATGCGTAAATTTAGTTTTATTCAATGTGTAGTGTTCGCGTAAATTTAAGAAATCATTAACATAATTATTCTTTAATTTTGTATCAGGCGGACAGTCTACGCGCTCTAGCTGAAAGGGAAAATAACAACACCAGAACACAACACGCTTATAGCGCAGCTTCGGCGTACTCATCTATTGTCCAGGAAATCAGTGATGCAAAGAAAGCCGCCGAAGAAGCAGATACTTCGGTTCAAAACGCTACAAACATTGTAAGCTTGCCAAGCAAGATAATAAAATATAAAAAATAAGATAAATAAAAGAATCATAATTATTTGCTTTTATTACCAAATATATTTAAATAATACTAACAAACACACGATTTATCGTGATCGACTTCTTTTTTCAGAATAATATTCTCTACGAAAATGTGACACCTGCCAAGGACACATCACAAAATTTATCCGAGCGCGCTTTAAAGGCGCAACAAACTGTTGAACAAAAGTTAAGACCTAATCTTACTCAGGCTGAGCAAGCACTCAAAAATGCATGGGCCACACTAGGCGCTGCTGATGATGAAGACAATGCTATACAGCTGTAAGTAGTTTACTGTGTTGAAAGAACTTTTTATAACGATGTGTAAAACAAAGTAGTTAAAAATTTTCTACCGGGTTGACCAAAAGTCCGGTAACATTTCAAATGGTCATAAAAATACAAAAGTAGACGTGAGAGACAAGTTATAAAGATAAAGCAGCCCATACAGTAACTTTGGGCGAGTGTAAAGGCTTTTGGTACTTCAATTGCGGGTTAGCATCACTCCAGTATCTGCAATTTTGTCTGTTGACATGCCCAGTTAAGTGGAAATGTGCCTCGTCTGAGAAAAATACGAGTATGTTATTGAAGCTCGTAAACCTCTCAAGCATTTCGTTAGCAAACTGCAGCCTCTGAGCGTAGTCATTAGGCCTTAATTCTTCTACAATTTGAATTTTGTATGGATGTAAATGTAAATCCTTGTGTAGAATACGATTTAGAGATGTTCTGGGCAAATTTAAAACACTAGACCGCTTTCGAGTAGAGAGGCCAGGTTGATCTCTAACAGACATTGGTACGCGCTCTATGTTTACGGGTTCTCGCGACGTCCTACTACTACTACAACTATACATAACTATAAATATTATATATACCTGTTCTGTGTAGATACTACTCCTTTCATATTATTATTTTTAGTAAGTATTTTGTGGTATTACTAAATAACAATAAAAAAAAACTGTGTATTATTTAGAAATCGGCATAAATACTCTCTATAAATTGTGAGATTATTAGGAAACAGAAATTTTTTCAGTATTGTTAACATTTTTATTTCAAACAAGATTACGTATATTTTGAAAATAAAATAACACCAAAATGCGAGATTTTATAGTTGTTTTATTATATTTATGTCACTGCACCAATTACAAAGTCTACCTTAAAGCACATTGTTGAGCCCTCTGTTTTGCGCTACACACAAGCAATTACGTTAAAACACTCAAAAATATAAAATCACAAGAAAAATGCACATGCGCAAGTCAGCGAACATATTTCTTATTTTTTTATTTGCTTCAGTGTTGCCTAATGAAAGAAATCTTATACATACTCCTATTTCTTACTATTACCCCTTATAATATAAACTTCATGTATATAGCAAATATAAACTTGAATTTAGAACTATGAAGAGATTTTTTATTATTTTGGAAGACAAAATCAATTAATTTAATAACACTGATGATTTTTTATGTAGTTAATAAATTCAATAACATATTACAATAACTTGCTTAATAGAATATGATTTCCTTTTTTAGAATTTATTTCATAATACGTATCAACGAATCATTAGATTTATTACTAATAATGCTTGATTTTTTGTAGCGGCCACACTATCTTGATTGATTTACAAAAAGTACCTAAAATGCAAGATTCCAAATTATAAATAAAAATTTAGTTTCATAAATCAATGACTAGATGGCGGTAGTTTAACCAACAGTGAAATTTCTTAGAAGATACAATAGCATGTTAGTCGCTCTCGCGCTTGGTAACGCTCCCCTCTACTCTCCGCGCGACCGATTCAAATTTTACTGGACCTTTGGTTCACCGTGTATAAACCCTGTACAAAGAGACTTGTAACCCTTGCGATGCCGTCTCCTTTGGTTTAATACTCAAAGGCGCAACTCTTTTACCTGCAATAACAATAGGCCGAGAGGATAAGAAACCAGGCTATTGCTATCTATTTCACTCTCGTTGTCGTTAACTTCCGACTTATCTTAATATGTTAATATGTCTTGTCTTATCTTAATATAAATAAATTACGTGTCGCGTTGTTTGTCCGCGATGGACTCCTAAACTACTTAACCGATTTTAATCAAATTTGCACACCGTGTGCAGTTTGGTGCAACTTGTGAGATAGGATATTTTTTTTTGGCCATGAGTGATCCACAATTTTTTTTTGCGAATTTAAGGAGTTTTAATAGGACATGACAAAGGGTCGTCGAAAAGGGCAAGACAACGTCTGCCTAGCAAGCAAATATATATATATATATATATATATATATATATATATATTGTATATATAATATTTATTAAATATTCTTACCGGGAGGAACTCCGCCTGTGGTAGTGGTTGTGCCACATCTGCCAAAAGTGACACTGTGATTACTGAAGGGTTCTAGTAGGTTTAGCACCCTGCCATTTATTGTAGCGTCAGCTATGCAACCCTCAAACGGTGTCTTGGAACCAACTTTGCCGCCGACGACGTAACTTGGTTGTACACCTACAAAGGGCAAGACAACGTCTGCCTAGCAAGCTAATATATATATATATATATATATATATATATATATATATATTAATTTGCAAACATAATATCTAAAATGTACTTTCTGTGATTTGGATTAGTATACGTACTTCTTTCACTTATAATTTTTTAAGTACTAATGGAACAAGTACATGTTCCATCAAATTACAAAAATGAAGATAAAGTTTCACCAAGTGACAATCGTAAGTATAAATTAAATAAGCTAATTAGGTACAATTTCCTATTAATTAAGACAAAGCTTACTCTCCAGGTCTCTTCCAACAACTGCTCCGTCATCTTTAGAGAGTGAAACTCAGAGAGCGGCAAATGTCTCAGCAACTATTAATTATACTACAGATATAATGTCGGAACTCGGAAGTGATCTCGCCGCTAGTAAGGAATGGGCCCAGTCTCTCCCAAAATTAGCAAATGATGCCCAAAAAATGACTTCGAACATTGAAAACTTAAGTAAGTGTAATAAGAATATTTAGAAATTCAACCTCCAGACCGACCGTAAAACCAAAGAAAGAATTTCGGTCACGGCGGCCAGCTTAAACAGAGACTAGCTATTAGCGTAAAACGAAATAATTCCTGACTTTCATGTAGTCTGCTAGTGATTTATATCAAATTAGTGTAGTACTAAGTCATAGTTTTATTATGATCAACGATCACTGTTACCTTTTTTTTAGTAAATAACATCGGAGAAATGGAACCTAAGATTTCTTCTCAATACCGTGTTGTGAAAATGAAGCAGGAAAGTCTTGAACAACATCGCAAGGAGGCAGACGATAAACTGCAAAAACTAAGGGAACTTGTTGAACAGGTAAATATATTTTCGTTATTTATTGCTAATCAAATTAGGTATTGATTGTAACCGTTGTATATCGTACTTAATGCATTATAATAATTGATTGTAGGCCCGCACAGTAGTAAACCGAGTACCGATTGGAGTCACATTCGATCGATGGTCAACTCTTCAGCCAAGATTACCCGAAACCGTAGATGAGATGTCCACCTCTACACATGTTTCTGCATACTTCCGTACCAAAGAGAACAATGGCTTTTTACTTTATTTAGGCAATCCTAAAGACACAATGCTAAGGCGGACAAAATCAGTAAGTTAATAATTTTTCTAAAACGTAATTTGGAAAAACGAAAATTTTGCATGTATCTGCCTAAATTGAAACATTATAATTTATAAAAGTATTTCAAATATAACAGTGAAACTTTGTTCAGCGTAATACATAATCTTCTAGGACGACTTCATGGTAATCGGTATTCAGAATGGATATCCGTATCTTGTAATGGACATCGGAGACGTAGCCGAATCTGGGCTAGAACCCGCAAGAATTGGTAGTGAGAAATTTGTCGCTGACAACAAATGGTACCAAGTTATTGTTGACAGGTAAACAATTGAACGTAACTAGCTGTGACGCGTGAATGCAGAATATTAAAATTATAAAATCATATTTTTAAAGGCTCGACTAAACGGGCCATATTTTCTGGCAATTTGTGGCTGCAATACTGTGACCGGCAACATTGCTAGCAATACTAATCACTATACGGTATTTTAAGTATGGCCTAGCAATTATAACCACATATTTTTGCTATGTCAAAACATTTTCCTGTGTAACCGGTATGTTGCCGAACGATCGCCTCGCAATCGAAAATACTGCAATATTGCTGGGCCATTTATATTGTTGGTTTGTTTTACTGTATATGCGCATCCCTTTCACCCTTTCAATGCGACGTGAAGTACGCTGCGCATCACTTTCTGCGCGACGTGAAGTGTGGATTTATTTGGTAGGTATCGCAATCCTCATGTTTGTATCTTGCCTTTGTATGTTTGGTCCAATTCTATTTATAAGGATTTTTTTTAATATGAGAAGAGTGACAAACGAGCAAACAGGTGGACTGATGGGAAGTGGTTGCTTTGACCCATCGACATCTACATCTATCCTCGATTACGAATTAAAATGCAAATGCGTTGTCACCGTGAGGACTAAGATGTAATGCCTCCTTACCAGTAAAAAGTCTCTGGTTCTCTACACTCACCATACGAAACACAACAGCGCTAGGGCTCTTGTACACGCTAAGAAATTTCACCGTGTCTACGGCAGAAAAGACCAATTCATCATATATACTACAAGAATTTTGTCGAATTTAGACACGAACATTTTTCTTGTCTGCTTTAGACAAGATAAATACAGACGTGTAAACGATAAGTTTGTTTTCGGTCAGTCGTGCGTAAGGTATAGCGCACTAGTCAAGTTTGTTTGTAATGAATAGAATCATGTTAACTACTAAGCAAAAATTGATTATTGCATATTATATATATAAAAAAATCAAAAAGTACGTAAACGCGTCCACACATGTACAAAAAAACTTAAATTATTTGAAGCAACGCAACTACTGGCCTACTGTGCCCCTCCCTTCACCGCAACAACACAGAGCTCGTCTTGTATAGCGCAGACAAGATTTTTTTCTTTGTCAGCGCCGGAGCATTGTACACAGTTCGTGTGTAGAAACGACACGAATTATTGCATAGACCTGGCGACTTTTCTTAGTGTGTACAAGAGCCCTTAAGTTGCTATTCTACGCTGGTATTTAGTGAGAGCGTGGCCCTTCCCCGGTCGAGCCGACCCATTCGTGCTACAACTATACTACTAATATAGCTGCAGTATTAGATATTATTGTAAATTTTTAAAGAAATGTTTATCAAGAATTAATTTCTTGTCTACGGAATCCAAAATGTCACGCCTACTTAAGTAGGTTCGAATCCACCTTCGCCCCCTTTGTTTTATATCGTTTCTCTGCCAAAAAATATGTTTGTGATGGCTGGGCAATGTTAGCCAATAATCGCAGCCACACATTGATGGAAAATATGGCCCGTTTTGACGAGCCTTTAAAACAGTTCAACATATTATTCCAATGATAAAAAATTAATTTGGTTCTATGATTAATACTCTAAGCAATTTGTGTAAATTTCTATCAACTATTTTAGAAATTTTCGGAATACTTACATATATTTTCGTACAGACGGACACAAAAAGTTTGTAATTAGATTAATCCTAAACATCAAATATTGTAACAGAAAAGGTATTAAAAAGTTAAAACATCGAAAACTATACACTTTTTATGACACTGTAATAAAAATATTTTTTTATAAACAGAGTGGGGCGCAATGTTAAATTATCAATTCGGGAAAGTCTGGACAATGGCACTGACTACATACACTCCAAAGAAGCAACACTGCCCGGCCAACATACTATCTTCAATCTGGACCGACAGAAATCCAAGCTTTACGTGGGCGGCGTACCATCAGACGCAACGCTCCAGGGAGTAAGTTTTCCTGCCTTTGAAGGCCAAATAGAGGAACTAATGATAGGTGACACGCCTGTGGGACTTTGGAACTTCGTTAGTGCTGCTAACTTGAAAGGATCCAGGCAGAGGTAAAACATTAATTCCAATTGAGCTATATATAAATAGTGTAAGTATGTAATCATTCATTGTCGCAACTGTTTTTATCTTTAGAGATAAATTGATAACATCTCAGAGCGGACCGCAAGAGTTCCGATTCAATGGTCGATCCCACGTCACTATGCCAGGAAGAGGCTACTTGGTACCTCAGAAGAACCATGTTTTGCTTTTCTTCAGAACTTATGCCCCAGACGGCCTGATATATCTAGTAGGAGAAGGCAACTACTTCTTCTCTTTGCAATTACAAGATGGACGAATATATTTACAGGTATGAGTTATTTGATATGACGTTAAATATAATTTTTAAATAAGATTACAATCAAATTAGGACTTGTGTTTATATCACAATAGGTATCACTTGGAAATCCAGATGATCTTGTTATTATTGGTACTTCTAAAACATACAATGATGGCAAATGGCATAGATTGGACGCGGGAAGATATTTAACAACATGTTCTCTCAAAGTCGACGGAGAAGTACTCAAGACTGTATCGACGTCTGAAGTTAAAGAAATACCTGATCTTGATACAATGAACTTCGGAGGAAATAATAAGGGTATCATACAAGTAACAAATAAAGGATTCGATGGATGCATTCGACAAATTAGTATCGACGGTGTAAATATTGATCTCAGTGAGAATATAGAGTCAGTTGGTGTAGCCTATGGTTGCCAGGTAAGTCATTTTTTTTTAATTACAGCTCGTCAATTATCTCAATTTTCTTTTGTAATAACATTATTTTTTTAGTTTGCTTCATTGGTTTCCCTGTCGGGTGAAAATAGTTACCTACGCTACGTGAATTTAACTACAGAGAACATGCTACTAACACTGAAATTCAAAACTTCAAAACCGGATGGACTCATTTTTGTATACCTCAGCAGAACCCAAACAGCAACAATGTCAGATAGTATTTCACTCTCCCTGATAAATGGTAAGAATTATAAAAATAGGTTTCTAAAAATAATAAACGCTTTTGTTTATAGTTCAAACTTATTACAGGCAAATTGGTACTTATGAGCCAACGGGAACAGCTGGACACTGGTTTGAGTACATACAACGACTCTCAATGGCACGTCGTAACAGTCATACACAACAATCAAGCCTTGCGGCTAGTTGTTGACGACTTTGATTACTTCAGGTAATAAAAATAACTTATTTATCAGTATATGAAAGATGATTTTAATTTTTTGATGAGGGTACCATCACCAAATAACTGCTAATATTAATTTAATAACTGTCTTCTTTATAAAAACCGTTAAAGAAATGTTTTCATCCTATTAATATAATTAATGTTACAGTACGGACACAGCGCCAGCCCCATTGCATATACTTGACGGAGTATTGTTTGTGGGAGGTGTACAACCAAGTTACGTCGTCGGCGGCAAAGTTGGTTCCAAGACACCGTTTGAGGGTTGCATAGCCGACGCTACAATAAATGGCAGGGTGCTAAACCTACTAGAACCCTTCAGTAATCACAGTGTCACTTTTGGCAGATGTGGCACAACCACTACCACAGGCGGAGTTCCTCCCGGTAAGAATATTTCATAAATATTATATGTATATATATGTATATATACATATGTGTGTGTGTAACATACTAGCTTAACCCTGCTGCTTATCATGTAAAGTAGTCCAATGATTCAGGATACGCAATGCGAAACTCAGTGCCATAGCATTGGTTGCTGCCTCGCATTTTCGTAAATATCTTTTAATAAAATAAATTCGATAAAACTATTCTAGTGGGACTGTCTCTCGTACTCGTACTGTATTTTAATATATATATATATATATATATATATATATATATATATACACGTAATTTATATATATATATATAAATTACGTGTCACGTTGTTTGTCCGCGATGGACTCCTAAACTACTTAACCGATTTTAATCAAATTTGCACACCGTGTGCAGTTTGGTCCAACTTGAGAGACAGGGTAGTTTTTTTGCCCATATCGTACATTTTTTTTTCAAAGGAGACAATCAATTTTTGTATGGAGAATGGGCCCACCACAAATTTTCGCGTCACGCAATGAAATGGATGTCGATTTATTCCTTATAATCTATAGTTTAAAAAAGTAATATTAGTTTTACCACATCTAGACGGAAAATCGAGAAATTAACAAATTAAAATATGAATTTTAAAATAACCTAGAAATAAACTAAAAACTATTTATAGTGGTTTTTACCGGTATTTTAAGTTAAAATAGTGCACTGTTGAATAATAGTTCATATAAAACCAAGTTGTAGGTACATTCAGCATTTTCAGATACTTCAATATTTTTAGTAGTTACGGCAAAATATAGTGCCTGTCTGTGTACAAATGTGGTATGGATACAATTTTTTACATATATTGATTGTGAGTGTACTTCCCAATTACCGTTAAAATAATATAATTAAATTCAAGATGACTAAGGTATAATATATCCATTTATATTTACAATATTACCAACACACGTTATATAGTAAGAAAGATGTTTTAAACTGACTGTGTAAAAAACAAGTTATAATGCAACCGTATTTATAGATAGTAAATCATCATTTCCAACATAGTCTATATAATTCAGACATATAATTCAGATCTATTTATGCAGACAGACAGACAGGCCCGGTGTCAAGACTTTTTTAATATGCTTTGGTTGATTATTAAATACCTAATTATACATCTTAAAATGACTGGGTTCTAAAATACCAAAATGATTAGGTAATATCATGCTTATCTGTTATTACACACTGATAAATTGTGAGGAAGTAAGATGTTTTGAACTGTTTGTGCCAGGATAACAAACACACAGGTATAGTTTAATTGTATTTATTATTAGCGATCCGCCCCGACTTCGCACAGGTGATTTCTGGATTTCGACAACAGCGCCACCTACCGAGTCCATATGTGAATATGAATCATATAGAGACCCATTCAAACACACATAAACATATCATCAAAATCGCTTGGATGGTTTCTAACGGACATAGGTAGAAACATTTTTCGTGTTTTCATATCAAAAGATCATATTAAAAGATTTTTTCAAAATAACTTGATGGTAACATTTCTATTTATGATACGATATTGATATGTAATAAGTCCCAAAGATCATCTATAATCACTGCATTAATTATGGTTAAAATCGTCAGTGTTTTATGAGTCCTCTTTTAAAAATAACACAGCAGACAGGTGCAGTGCCGGCCCTTTGTTCATTAAAGTATTCATCTATTAGCAAGTATAAATCCCATACATCATTAAAATATAATGTCTCGCCCGTTTACGATATTATTAGAAATCAGAAGGATATGGTCAATTAAAAGAGATAAAAAAGGGTGCCAGAGCAATAAATTCAACTTTGCTCGGCGTTTATTTATAAATTACACATATAACATAATATATAACAGATAATAAAGCACACAGTAAAATAGAAATAGTTCAAATAAGCAACAAAAATTACAATTTTTAGTCATCATTATTCATCATCATTACAACAGTCCACTGCCGAACATATGGCTCCTAAATTAAAGATATAATGTAAAATATTACAGAGGCCTTCCGTGAATTGCCATCACGTTCCGTCCCGTATGGTGTCGTTAAAGTCGACAGAATAAAATAAAATTCTAAATACCAGGAGATGAGGAGCAGCATCTTCCTATAGAATACCACAAAAAACTTTGGTTGCCACAAGTGAAGCAACATAGCAAAAATGATCATTTATATTACAATATTAATACGCATTAAGATTAATAATCATCATTCATCATTTTCAATATCATTACTTGAAAGTAATATATCATCTAAAAAAGATGCAGGTGGTTCAACCTCATCTCGATGCCGTGCCCAAGATAGAAACCAGACAACAGACATGACATGTGCACAGCAGCCAACAGTGCGTCTGCCTACCAAACAGTTGCAACAGTACCCAGTAAGAGCAGCCCTAGTGTTAGCAATTGATGGGTTGGTGTCAACTAGTATATAAGTGTAATAAGTTTTTTTTACTAGTGTGCCTTGATTGTATCCTACCTCGCAATAGATAACTATTTGGACCAAAATCATGGACAGATTGCAGGTATACCTCGATTTTATATTCTCCAGAAGCCCTGACATGCTCCCCGTAATAACTACGAGCTTGTTTAATTTGATAAATTCCTAGACTAAACAGAATGAGATCCTGGAATGTCAGTTGAGGAAAATTATCCAGCTCTGGAAGATTACCATTAATGCTGGCAAATCGCACTCTCACTCTATTTAAATTGTGCATTTCTACATAGGAGGCTAAATTATTTGGAGTGTTTAGTTTGGCTTGAGCAATTGCCAATATCTCTACAGCATGAAAATTATTACGAATCAACGTATGAAATCGATTTATTAATGCAGCTGCAATTTTAAAGTATAGCATGAGATGAGTAGATGCAGTATTAAAATATTCCTGACGAAATAATTTGAAGTCCCGTTTAAATCTCCCATTTACAATTTCAATCACCCACCTGCACAAAGTTACACATCTGGACTTGTTGGCAGCAATGGTTGATAATTGTATTTCACCAGCTTGTTTAGATTCAGGCATGTAAGCCTTATAACCACATTGCTGCAAGAATGGAATTGCATCCCTAAAACCTCTATCAAGAATAAATACATCGTTTTCTCTAAAATAGGTTCGCAGTGGACTATTATCGTTGAACAGTCTAAGAATTATAGAAGCATCTGATTCTGTTGCAGGATATGGTCCAAAAACATCAAGGATATAACCATTACAGCACACTATTAAAAATGGCTTAACTAAGTTACGATACTTATGTAAACTATATGTTTGCTTCTGGTATAAGTAATTACTACTTTTTTGCACATAAATGTATGTACCATCACATATTACTATGGCTGGCATAAATTCAGGATCCATATCTGGATTACCAAACAAGCCATTTGGTATTGTCAAGTTATATTGAGCAACTTGTTGAATGCATAAGGTATTTGTCCCTAAATGCAGTTGGATGAATTGCTCTTCAAAGCACTGACTTACAATATTTAAGTGATTGAACACAGTCGATGAAGCTACATTAAATAGAGAAGCTATGCGTTCATTGCTATCACCTGTACGAAGTTTCACTAAGAACATAGCTAGACTTCTTTTAGGTGATTTAACTCTTTCACTGATAGATGGAATTTCAACTAGTAACTGTTCAAATTGGTAGTTGGTAAATCCTAACCAATATTTGCATAATATTGAATTATGTTCAATGATATTTAAAATATTATAATTTTGAGTAACACTACTTTTAAGTAAGGAACAAAGGTTGTCTATCTGAGATGCAGTAAAATCTGAACAGTTACTACTCGTGTATAAATTATTCCAATCATTGTGGGGTTCATTTAAATGGTATTCACAAATACGAGCGCACAGTGGCACATAAAATGAGTGATCTATCAGCAATCTCTCTTTAAGTAGTTTAGGTATTAAAAATCTAGATGAATGATTACATGACTTAAAAATACAGTGACGGGAAGTAGAAGCAGCACGCTTATAATTAGCCATAGTAATTGTTGATACCGCTCTGGAAATGGCAGGGGTTATAGGTGCAGGTGGTTGTGGGATGTTACCGATGTCTTCTATATTCATGAATTGTAACTCCATATCCCTGTTCTCATTTTGTTGTCTCTGTCTCCATACATCTCTGGAAGCTCTCAGCCAGCAAGGACTGCATACTCGTTCTAAACGATCCACCTGAAAAAAAGTTATTTTTTATCAACTAACAAAATGAACTATAGTTTTACAGTGTCTACTCTAAATATTAATAATATTTATTATTGTTCTATTTATTTCAATCTTTCTAACACTAAATAGTTTTAATGTATTTTAAAATTATAAATATTAGCATGCAATTGTTTCCCCTCATAATATTTTTGTGGCACTACTTATTTAAATAGAAATAAATAATACATCACATATCAGACAAGAAGTAATTATTTTAGAATTATTAACAATATTTCACTAAGCCCAAGTTCTTTAAAGTTTCAGATAACATTGAATGATTAAATTGAAAAACTGTCATTCTTTACGAGTTGGGGTACTTTCAACTAATTATAAATAATTTTGTAAATCTTAACAAAACAGAAAAGATTTGATCTTGATTCTCTAGGGTGAAATATCGATTCACTAGATCGATTTAGTACTATATATCGATATGACATTGACAGATGAAACGTCAAAAACGTGAGCATATTTAATTAATTAGTTGTTTACCAATATTTTCAAAAAAATAAATAAAAATACTTCGATGCTGCTCCGGTAGCAAAACTCGCGTGTAGGTGCTTCAGATAAACTCCCTTGACGCCCCCCACAGTAACAGAATCTTCAAATTGAGGCGACCGAATTGTAAACCCAACCCGTTTTATTTATACTAATGTCTTTTAAGGTAAAAAATATTACTTGTATAATAAGTACAAAAGCATACAAATATGGGTGTAAGATAAGGAAGAAGTATCGTTCATCTAATAACTAAAAATAAAAAAGTGGTTATTAATGGCAAATATCCCCCCATAAGACAATCTATGGGGAGTTCTATGTTCAGCAGTAGACTTTTGGTAGACTGTAAATTTAAAGATAACCTGTTAGTGAACTGCCATGTTGATGAGCATAAATATCAGACCAAATTGTATGCAAGGTGTCTGATTTTACAAACATCAATCTGTGTACCAAAGCGATTGTGGCAAATCCTCTGGGCTGCCTATTTGAGGCAGGGGACCATTTACAGCCTTTTAAAATAAAGTAAGTACCTGGTGTGATGGTATCCACTGCAAAATAATATCTCTTTCTTCAGAGTTAATAGGCACAATCCGTCTACGGTGTGCTCTTAAAATTGAAGATCCACATGGAATACAAATATTCCTGTACCCAAATCTTCTAATGGAGTGAGCAGATGCAACACTTTCTTGCAATATTCTTAGGCAGTTACAACAAACTGCATCAAGTGGGTGTAACTGAAAAAATCAGGAATTAAAAATAAAAGAGTAAATAAATATTAAGTTCAGATAAATGTACATTTTGAGGAGGGAAGCGAAGTTGGCATGAAAGTGAATGTTTGATGTGGAACCCTATATTATTTGAAATACAATACATTTTCAATTAAAAAAAATTGGAAATCCAAAAAACAAATATCGATTAATATATTATGATTTTACAATATTTACAGTATTTCAGGTATATCATATAGTGATAAATAAACTTTATAATATTAGAGTATTATGGAGTTGTGTAATATTAGTAATATATGGGGGAGGCCTATGTTCGGCAGTGGAGTTTAATTGGCTGTAACGGTAATATTACAGTGGATTGAAATATTTTTTCATTGCACAAAATAACTTACTTTTCTATTTACATAATATTTTATCGTGAATAAATATTGACACATATATACCTATACTTTTTCGACTTTGATTTCTGATTGACTGACAAAAGATAATTAGACACACATAACATGTGATACATCATACCATGCCACAAAAACTTCTTTTGTGTATATTGTGTGACTTTATTTTATCTATTATTTAAATTAGATTTCACTAATAACATAAAACTTCAATACTTTAACATTTAACACATTAGTACCTGTGTTTATCATTTGTTAAAGGTTAATTCACTATAAGTTATAGATTTTACAAAATACTAGGAGGAAAAAATAAACTTTTATATTACTCACATGGACTTTTACTCGTCAGTTTGCATTTTCGAATGTCATTGGCAAATTATATACATAAATGTGATATAGGTATTTAATATTTGACTTACGTGCATGATATAACCCTTAGGTTAAACATTTTTTGCATCAATTAGACATTAACATACTAATCCACTTGTAAGCAGTAAAACTACGTGAATTTTCATTTTTAAACTTTTACTTTAACACGAACACAGTTTACATCAATTTAAACAAACAAGTTTATACCATATTATATTTTTTCTACCAAATAGTTTGAAACAACAGACTTTTTTCTTACAGTCAATGCCAGTCAATGGAGTCAATGCAAAGAACTATGCCTGTAAGTTGGTAAATAGCAGGAAAGAATGCAGTGTCATCTTGTGTCAAAATGTAAAATAATTTAATCAATATAATATATCATTTATCAATTTAATATAACGAAAGATTAAAATTATAGCTATAGAAGGTATGAATTTATTAATAATATGAAGGGATATTTATTATTACTTTTAAAAACTTAAAATAATTAAGTACTTAATCATGTATAGATCGTTATGTGTGCCTGGAGTCTGTGGATCGTTTTCTTTCGTATTATTTCTAAAAAATCGTACCATATCCCACATTATTCAACAAAAATAAAAATATTAAGTAATACATTAATAAAGAAAATATGTAATTTTCGTTTCCGCAGTATAGTAATATTGTTGGAATAAAATCGAGAGTAACAAAAATAATATATATTTCTCATAAAGTTTAAATCTAGATAATATGTAAGTAGATAGATTGTATAGTGCAGTCATTAGCTTTCCATGAGATAATATTATACCTACCTCATGAGAAATCCACACAGATAAAAGTTGGCGCACATCGGCAGTTGTCTCGGCCAGTAATTGTCTTCGCACACTGCGTTGAAACCTGACTCCACAATTGCAACATACACTTCTATTTTCATTGTATACTGATCTAGCAGATTCCATTTTCTTAAAATCGCATATAAATACAAAAAAACAGTAGCGTGACGAACGTCAATGCCGTTAAGATTAAAGACGTAGGTAATACCCCGCCGCCCCGCCCCGCCGTACCCGGCCGCCGGCCGCTGGGAATTACCGGAAGTCAATGATAAAATAACGTTTTGGTTCACAGTCATTTAGAACTATGTTATAACGTGATATTAGCTAAAATTTTTAGAAATTAAACATAAAGTTCTTAGTGGTATCTTTTTTAAGTCAGCTTTGTGAAAAAAATAGTTTTCTTTTTTATACAAACTGCAAAATGACTAATTAGGTACACGCATTTTACCCATATTACACTAATCAGAACACGAATATCAAAACAACTAATTTTTTTTTCATATTTCTTGATTCCGTTTACATTTTTGAAAAATCTGTAGGCCATTTACTATTATAATTTGGTGTCTTTTTTTTGATGTAATACCATTAAGTGACGTTAATATTTTTAGTGGGCCCAAAAATGATTGTCCCCTTTAAGGATTTTACGTGTCACGTTGTTTGTCCGCGATGGACTCCTAAACTACTTAACCGATTTTAATCAAATTTGCACACCGTGTGCAGTTTGGTCCAACTTAAGAGACAGGGTAGTTTTTTTGCCCATATCGTACATTTTTTTTTCGAATTTAAGGATTTTCAATAGAATATGACCATGGGTCGTTGAAAGGGGCAGAACAACGTCTGCCTGGCAAGCTAGTTAAACAATATAATGTTTTCTACATTTATTATTTATCTCTTCCCTTGTCAAAAATCTGTGTGTGTGAGTTCGCGCGCGCATGCGTGTGTGTGTGTGTGTGTGTGTGTGTGTGTGTGTGTGTGTGTGTGTCTGTGTCTGTGTGTGTGTCTGTGTGTATGTGTGTCTGTGTCTGTGCGTGTGTCGGTGTGTGTATGTGTGTGTGTGTGTGTGTGTGTGTGTGTGTGTGTGTGTGTGTGTGTGTGTGTGTGTGTGTGTGTGTGTGTGCAGATTATCTTTATTTTCAGAACTTTTAATGCTAGAGTAAACAGCCTACGTACGTCTGACTACTGGGCACAGGCTTTCTGAGAGGTTTAATGGTCGTTATGATTGAATGGACAGTATACAATGTGAGTTATTTTACGGACTTTTACTAGCATCATTCTAAAAGTTAAGACGGGGAGCTGATTATTCTTTTATAACGTACCGCCCTTTAAATACCTGCTGCCCGAAGCTATAATTTACATAACTCTTGGCTCACCCCTTGCCACTAGGTCGTGGATTCCACCCAACCATCAGAATACTGGAGTGAATCATTCCTAGCTCAACTATTTAAAACTTAGTTGACGTATTTAACAGTGAAATTATTATATGGTAGTGTTAACAACACTGTTAGCATTTTTTTATAAAAGTCATTGCCCCACTAACGTACTTTACGTTGTAAGTGGTTACTAAACAAGATCAAGTTTAAATCGTAATGCCTCCTTATAAACTATCGTACATATACTAAACATAACATATAATAAATCCTTAGGTGGGCCCTAGGCAGTAATACGGCATCACATGCTTTCCATGCCGTCATGCACGTATGCTATTTAATTGTATTGAGTAATCCGAATAAAATACAAACTACGTTCGAGCGGTTGTTTTTCATACCGAAAGCTACAACTGAAATGCTCGCAGGGTTGCCTTCGTTATGACATCACAGCTCAGAGGGATGCAAAAAATCTTATAAAATCTTATATGAACAAAATCATGAGAATTATTTCTTAATTCAAAATGTATATAGTAGGAATTGCAAGTTTGGCAAAATCCTCCCTCGAGGTAATCCACTGGATGGATTGATGAGGCAATATTGTTGTGGCGCGCAAGAAAAAAATACTTTTCCTTTGATACTGTCACTTAAAAGTTTCGGTTACATTATATCCACGACAGCTCTGAGACCCCTTCACTATTATTTAGGCTGTCCTGAAATACTAGATTATATTTATGCGCCCGAAATTCGATAAAATGATTGATGATATAACATGAAGATTCGTCATGCAGCATGATCATTTACGTAATACTTGAGTACCTATATTGTGTGTTTAACATAGACTTAATATAACTTATAGGCTTATTACACTTCAATAGTGTAACCACTTATTCACCGAAATTTTATTTTTTTATTTTCAATTATCACCAAAGACATTTAAGTAGTATTTTTAAATCTCTTTGATTATCACGGAATCTATAACGTCTTCTTTTTAATTAAGGTTTTATTTTTAACTGTTTAATTAGATAAAGCATCATGGCCAGCTCCTATCCCTGCCGATGTGTTGCCAACTCCGTCGCCATTACCTCCTCTAGCAACTCCTGAACCAGAAATGGCAACAATTAAAGGTAAACTTTCAATAAGATTTTTTTTTTGCTAATTTAGATGGGGAGGCAATGCGACAAATAAATTAATTTCAAAAGTATTTATTTATTAATTACAAATGGAATTGATTATAAATATTAAATAGGTACAGTAATACATGGCCCTGAAATGACATTATAGAGAAATTTTGCTTCAAATCCCCTCGCTTGGTTGGGTTTGGCGATCGCACAACCAGTCATTGATCACTTTTTAGGTTTCCGTAGTCAACTAGGAACCCTTATAGTTTCACCATGTCTGTCTGTCCGTCTGTCCGTCCTCGCTTAATCTCTGTGACCGTTAGCACTAGAAAGCTGAAATTTGGTACCAATATGTGTATCAATCACACCGACAAAGTGGTAAAATAAAAATTGTTTTATTAGGGTAGGTAGATAGTTATATGTAAAGTGTGAAGTGATTTTTTTTAATTTCAACCCTAACGTTATATATTGTTGGAAAGGTATTTAAAAATGAATAGGGGTTTACTAAAATCATTTTTTGATAATGTCAATAATTTCGGAAATAATCACTCCAAAAGTAAAAAAAAATGTGCCCCCCCCCCCCTCTCTAACTTTTGAACCATAAGTTTAGAAAATATGAAAAAAATCTGAAAAGTAGAACTTTATAAGGATTTTCTAGGAAAATCATTTTGAACTTGGATGGAAACAACAGCACCCACTACCGGGAGCAGTTGCAGGAGCGCGGAGCGCTGCTGGAGCGCGAACATAATGGATACCCACCTTTAAACTCATAAGTGGGACTTATTGTGACGGACGGGAAACTACGGAACCCTGCACTGAGAGTGGCCCGACACGCTCTTGGCCGGTTTTTAATGGATCCTCTTACGCCGTCATCTTGCACATAATATTTTGTTCAAATAAATAGCAAGACACCTCTTGCATATGAAATATATACTTATGAATTAAATTCTTTTCTTATTCCACTACGAAAAATAAAATCCATATATTTAACAGGAATAGGCATATACATATTGAATTTAGGTACACAATACAAAAATAACGGAAAATAACTTCTAAAAGAAGAATATTTACTTTAAACAAATAAAATGTAAAACATAAAACAAAACAAATAATGGAAATTATATGACTCATTACCAACAAACGAGGTTAAGAAAATCGAAGTCCGACACAAACTGATTAGGCATACTAAAACATATGCATGCGGACCCGCACTAACCACCACCTTGAGATAAATAATATTTTCCATAGAAGATGTCTTTTCATAGTAGATGTGCCGTTGCAGCGTGGCTCTACAAGGTAGACTGTATTATGTTTGTGGCACGCATGGACTAGCTCGACCAGCGTAGGACCACGCTCTCATAGAATAATACCAGCGTAAAATTGCAGCACAATACTATTTGTTACGTTTGGTGTGCTCAGTGTAGAGAACCGGATAAACTTATTGTAGAAAAAGATTACGTCGTGAATAAATTGAGCAATAAATTACTGTCTTTTACATAATAGTAATATGAATTTTTTATCTTGCCACTTTCCTGGCAGGCTATGCAGATGAAAATGAAATATTTACGGTACCACCAACTGAACCGCCAACTACAACTTTGGCGCCTTTCATCACTACCACCATTCGTCCTTCGACGACGACACGCCAGCCTCCGCCACAGCCTGAATCAGGATGTTCGTTAGCATACGACCCACAATACGGAATTGGTGATCCATCAGAAGGCTATAGGTTTGGTATGTATACGCTCTATAATCCTAGAAAAGTATTGACTATTGACTTTATTTTATAAATTATTCATGCGATAAGTATTCTTTAAAATGTTACTACCAATACCACTATTAATATTTATATAATTTGTATTATATTGTAATTAGTACCAATAATTTTTACATAATTTGGTATAAACAATTTAATGTAAATTTCTATGTTTAGGCACCCGAAATGACAGCCGAATCGAGTACTCTAAGCTACCAGGTAGACAGCTGGAGGGCTTCGACTTTACCATCACATTCCGTACATTTGACCAACATGGGGGTCTCATTTTCTATGCAGAGGCGGATAAGGCTCCAGGGCAATTCCTTGCTCTTTATATGAAGGACGCGAGAGTAAGCTGCTGCACATTAAATATGCATCAATTATACAATTTTTATGTATTTAATGCTTCATTCTTAATTCCAGATTTATTTCACTTTCAATTGTGGAGGAGATACAGCTTTCGTAGAATCGACACAAATGTACAATGGAACTGAGTGGCACACTGTAACCTTAGTCAGAAACGAAGGACACGGAAAACTTACTGTGGACTCGGAGCGCATCGGAGAAGCCAGCGTCACATGCATTTCTCCTGCCGTTCTAACACCGCCTTTCTATTACGGAGGGCTGGGAAATATTACCACTAGTGTCAGCCAGAATCTCATGGTAAGTTTTTACTTCTGTTCCACTTTAAGCTTAAACTTTGACTAAAAGATATACGTTAAAATAAACAAATGTGACTCTGTTTTAAAAAAATTTATAGAAATGAAACATTATTTAGCAATATGCACAAAATATCATTTTATAGTTTCTAAGGTAAATCTGTATGCCTGCTTCCAATAGAAACGAGTTCTGAATCAATGTAATTTTATTCTAACCCACGGTAATTCGTTCTCCCTAAAGTAAGAATAGAAGATAAAACATAGTGATTGATATACTCTGCTAGAATTATCAATACTGAAGTCTTCAGCTATCCACCGTTGGGTGGCACCCACAATTGCAAATAATGCAAATACTTCGCCTTGATTAATGTTTCCTATTTATGTTATAAAATATACGTGGTAAATGTAAAATTCTTTAAAAATAATATCCTAACAACGTTGATAACGCTTGATTCTATAACGCGATCTTGGTTATCGTTAGTAGAAAATATATTTCCTTAATCAGTAGATATTATAGTTACAGGACACAGTCACAAAAACTAGTAAGTATGCGAATTTTGGTAACAAATAATAAGTACTAAATACACCATACATAACGCCTGTAAGGCAGTACTGTATCTGAATCCGCTACTTAAGGGCCCCTTTTCCCGAAAGTTTAGGCATTTTACGCTCTGAGCCGGCTCGCGCCCGCGTTGCACAGGAGCCGGCGCGATATGAACTTGGGTGACCTATGGAGGCGGGCGAGCACGCCACAGTATAAATAAATCAGTAGTTCGATTTTGTTAGCTATCCTAGGAATGTTGTTGATAAATAAATTAACTACTTATCCTATACTATTAAACGAGCAATATTTGTATATTTATATTTATATATATATATATATATATATATATATATATATATATATATATATATATATATATATATATATATTTTTAAACGTTACCCCTACACTAGGATTTTCTCCTGTATCGTGGGGGCAGTTTACAAACATAAATTATACAAGTACAAACATCCAGACCCGGAACAATTATTTGTAGGCCATACAAATACTTGTTCCGTGCGGGATTCGAACCCGCGACCCCCAGTGCACCCACTCATTGCTAAGCCACTACGCCACGGAGTCGTCAATATGTGTATATATATATATATATTTAGATGAGTTCTCGAAAACGGCTCTAACGATTGCATGAAAGTTTCAATTTAGGGGTTTACGGGGACGAAAAATCGATCTAGCTAGGTCTCATGTATGGGAAAAATCGTTTTCGCCCGTTTTCGCCCTATTTTCACGCATAAAGATTTACCCGCGCAGTATGTTTCGTAATTTCACCGCTATTGTTACGTAGCCAAGCGGTTATAGTGTCGGCCTATGAAGTCTACGCTGAAGAAAGGTTCGGGTTCGAATCCCCATTCAGACTTTTTGTTTTCGTTTGATCAATTTTTATTTAGTTTTTTTATTTGTACATTTTTTGTTGTTTATTGTACTTATAATTTTTTTTGTATTTTATTTTTGTATAGAAACGAAATTCACAGAATACATCTACCTACTAAGTTTCAAATATGTAGTCCGAATAGTTTCGGAATAAAAGGCTGTGACACACGGACGGACGTACGGACAGACATACATGACGAATCTATAAGGGTTCCGGTTTTTTCCATTCGGCTACGAAATCCTAAAAAAGCTTGAAAAAGGCTTCTTTATAATCATTTACAAAAAATATCCCATTTAGATTGCCAAGGGCCTTGGAGATCGACCCTGGTGATCCGAGGAATTTGGGCCGTGGTATGGGCATAAGAAATCTGCCAATTGAAGAATACAAATATTAATAATAGGTAAAACTGGAATGGAATAAATAAATTTACAAAATTTCAAAAAAGCAAAAAAAAATTAATTACTAGAGTTAGTAGGTATGCAAAAATATAGGTGAATGTTACTATAGGATTTAAAATTCTTGTCATACTGACTTCGCTAGTCTGTGTAGCTTAGCTAGATTACAGTAAATTATATTGTGACGAATCCACCCACTAAATAGTGGAACATTAGAATACGAAAATAAAAATTGTCATACTGATTTAGCTAATCTATGTCCCTGTTAAAGTAGATATCTAATTATTCCAATATGTATTTTTTTTTATTGTAAATGACCTGTTGATGTTACGCTAGGACTAGGTTATAGGAACTTATAACCTAGCCCTAGCGTAAGTACTTACGCAATACACTTTCGGCTTTTTTTCCTAATTTTGTATTTTTTATTCGCCATTTTAATTAAATCACAACTTACAAAAAAATATTTATTTACAAACACTGTTTTAAAAACATAGGTCAGTATACTTAGATACGAGTATTGTCTTTTTAAACTAATTTCTATTATATTACATATAATACAACAAGTTTTTATGCTAGTAGGTAGGTACTACTACGCGAGCGGCGACAACGTAGTCGCGAGCAAAAATAGCACAAGTCCTCCCTCGATGACGTCCGGCTGGACTCTGGCGGCACTGGCGTGGTGCGCGCGAGTCGCTTTTTACGTATTTTATTTTATATGGAAAAAAATAAGTGCCAAATTATAAATCTATCCAATAATATCCCTGTCAAACCTGATTAGTAAATGAAATATAAAATTTTCATAAATATAGCGTTCCCCTAATTCTCATAAAACTGAAAATGCTTTCAAAATCGATGTTACTTCTGATTTTTTTTTTATCGAGTTAAATGTTTAATATTGTGTTTTTATCCAAAAAAAGTCACTAGATCAAACGTTTATCTGTACTATATATTTTTTTAGGATTTTAAATATGATGATTTCTTTGAAAACAACACGATTTAGAAACATAAATTTGGGAAAAGGGGCCCTTAAAGTATAAAGCCATTTTATACAATAAAAGCTTCATTTGCCCATTACACAGTAGGTTTTGCTAGCAGTTTTACAATAAACACCTACTGAACCACCTTGATGAATAACCTACCGTATAATGCGGTGATTGACGGTTGCGTGAAATTGATTGACAAATAATCTTTTAAACCAAATTTGCGTTATTAGTTTCTAAAAGCGTATAATCAAGTTGTTAAATAGTATTAAGAACACATCTATAATTTTTTAATTATTTTTTAACTAAGGGACTTACGTTATTTTTAACATGTCCGTCCCATTAAACAAATAACCAAGACAATTTATTAGGTTATGCAGTTAGTGTAGTATGTAACACATTTTAATGAATACAACTCTAAAACGATAGTGTATTTGCCGCCGCTTTGCATCTCCGTTATGTATATCGTTTTCGGGCAATAAGAGTTTCCGAGTACAAATAGTTAATATAGTACAAATACCACAAATATCACGAACACTCTCAACGCTGAAAGTTCTACAAAAAAAATTTGTAACTGCTATATATACATATATATATTAATTATTTATCACTTTTTTTGGGCTTTTTCAATACAAATAAATAGTACATATATTACTACCTTAAATAACCTAAATATCTAAGGAAATTTAACGTCGATTGCAATATATATATATATATTTCGTGCTACAACTATACTAATCTACCACGTATGTTATGTTAGGAATGCAAATGAAAATCTCAGGCACCTTTATATTATTTACGACTGGAGGTCAAAAAGTTCTCAAAAGCAAAAGGGACTTCATTGAAGACGACCGCCGACCTGGACGGCCGATTAAGGCTACCACGCCAGAAATATTTGAAAAAGTTGAAAAACTTGTATTGGAAGATGCCCGAGTAAAGAAAAAACAGGTTGCACTATTAGTCAGAAACAATGATTTTAAACATACTGTGTTGTACAACAACATCTTGGCATCATTAAAGTCTGTGTAAAATGGGTTCTGTAAACCGAACACAGGGGACGCGCACACGAGCGCGTCTAAAGTTGTCGCGAGTTTTTGGACCGCTGTGGAGAGCAAAGGGAGGAAGTTGTAGCCTGATTTGTAACTGGTGATGAAACTTTGGTTCACCATGAACCTGAGTCACAGCAAGGGTCGATGCAGTGGCATACAAAAGGCACACCCTCTATAAGGTGTCGCCATCGGCCGGAAAGATCATGGCGATGATCTTTTGGGATACAGAAAGTATCCTTTTGGTTGATTACCAGGAACGTGGTGTTTCCATAACGGGAGAATACTACGCTCTTTACTAGATCAACTAAATAAATCTATTACAGAAAAAAGGCGCGGAAAGCTTACAAAAGGCGTGCTCCATTTGCACGACAATGCGCCCGTGCTCACAAGCCATGTTGCGACGGCTGCCATTCACCGGTGCGGTTTTGAACAACTGCGCCACCCACCCTGACCACCCTGCCCAGACCTGGCCCCTAGCGACTATTATTTGTTTCCAAAATGAAAAAAAATTAGCGACGATGATGAAGTGAAGTCGGCAATTTTAGACGGTATTAATAAGTTATTTGACAGTTGAAAAGGAAAAATAGTTCAATTTTTATATCATTGCGCTTACCTGTCATTCCGCGAACTTTTTTATCTCCCATCGTATATGTACAATTCTTCTATGAGTGTGGCCTATTTTGATGAAATTGTATTTGTAATGAAATTGATTCGAGAATGGTTTAGATTCACAATTGGACTAAGTGATTGGCGCTATTGTAAAAATCCACAAATCACTATCCAAAAAGCGTTATTTTTCTTTATTGAAAGCGAATCCACGATGTTCTTTTTGTGATGTTGGCAACTAAATGTTCAAGTTTTTTAAGAAAACATTTAAAATATTTTTTTATTCGTAGGACTTCTATCAGCCGTTTAAGGGCTGCCTCAAAGGCTTGATGATGAATGGCCAGTACGTTACCGACATCCTCTACCGTGTGAACTCTCTGCGTTGTACCGATAACATTGAACACGGCGTTTACTTTGGACCATCCAATAATGCTCACAGCAATTATCTGAAGGTAAATAAAACATTATTAATACTTCCAATTATTACCATTTAAAGATATATATAATGTCTGCTTGGAATATCTAAATAACTGTCTTATATTGAGCCAAGGGGGTTAATTGCAAGCATTTTAACATTATTTAATTCGAATATAATCTCAAAATAAATTCGAATAGAATTTATTTCAAATTTAATTAATTTTCAAAATTATTTAAACATTGTTATTTAAATTTAATTGAATATTTTTATAAATAAAACCAAGGGAACAAAAGTAATAAATATTGCCCAAAGCTCAGTAAGCTGAACTAACAAAAAACCCCTTGCATAGCTCGTAGAAGCTATAATAGGCAAGCTCATTGTAAAACGACCTTCACTATATAACATCATTGTAGTCACGACTTAATGAGACATTTAGGGAGTCTAAAGAATTTCAAATTTCAGAATCGTAACAATATGTATTCAGCTGTTCACTTGTACCAGCACATAACGATGAAGATTTATTCTTCACATGACTCAGCTTAACAGATATTATATTATACTAACTTACATTTTAACTAGAACGAAATATAATTTAAATTTAATTTTGTCGTAAGATTGAAGGAAAATAATTATTTAAATAAAATCATAATATTTCTTATCATTGCAGCTTCTTGAGAACTTTAAAGTCGGCTTTGAGATTTCTATCTCAATGGAAGTGAAGCCACGTAACTCCACCGGGCTTTTGTTGAGTGTTCACGGCAGAAGAGACTTCATGATCCTCGAACTCCTGGAGAACGAAGTAGTAGCAAATGTTGAAAACGGGAAAGGGCCTTTCCATGCCAGTTACAAACTTGGCAATAAATTTTCACTGTGCGATGGAAATTGGCACAGGATTCATGGTAAAGTTCAATAGCCTATATTATGTAATAAAAACACCTCCGCTTCATACGATTTAATATTCTTTCTTTGTGTTATAGGATAGGATATTAAAAAAATCTATACTATTCTGGTTGGGGTTGTTTAGGTTGAGCAAAACTTTTAATGCAGCCTAATGTGTTTTTAATAAGCCGTAGTAGTTCAGGTCCTACGCGCTATCTATAAATTTCACAGTACACTAACCGGGTTCGATACCTGCACATCACAGAAATTATTAATTGCAGTTTTAAGTGCTAATTTCCCATGTGCTTGACCATGAAGGTAAAGTCTCCCCTTTCTGACTTTAGATTTTGCTTACTTTTGTCATCGAACGAGTGTTATTTCGGTTATTTCTCTACCATAATCGTACCTTTATAGAAAAATATTTGAAATCAGTTTATGCTACAGTAACCTAATGGCGACTAATAATAAGCGACAGTAGCCTAATGGCAGGGCGCGGACCGCGAATTCAAAAAGGTCGTGGGTTCGAATCCGCCATTCGACTACTGGCGTGAACCACTCGTAACACAAGCAATTTGAGCTTACTACGAGTAGTTAAGGGGAATATTAATAATGTTTATAGCATTGTTAATATTCTTTTTAAAAAAAGAAAGAAAAGAAAAAGAATGCTCTTTTTAAATAGATATTACCGGGATTAATAACAATTTCTATTTCTTTTTTAGCTGTAAAATCTCGCCATGTGGTGTCCGTTGGTGTAGATGGTCACTTCTCCGATGCTGGTTTGGGCCAGTCTGGTTCGACGGACACGCGATCAGCGTTGTACATTGGAGGTCACGAGCGTCCTATAGCTAAAGTCCGTGGTGTGAGGTCCCGACGCGGTTTCACTGGCTGCATCAGGAATATCGTCATTAGAGAAACACCTATACAGATACCACTAAATGCAGCCGGCCGTAATACACACGTTGGTGTTTGTCCGACTGATTAACTTTTGTTAAAACTATTTATCCCTCGCTGTACATCTAACATTATTGAAACCTGATTAGATCTGAAACTTTCTATTATCGTTATGTAACTAAAAAATTAAAATATTTACATACTTTCAAATGAATTATTACTTGTACTTAATGTCGCTTTATCCAAATCAAACTATGTTAAGTATATATAAATTGTTTATAAAATCTCTTATTCTTAATTTCAATTGATCATAATTCACTTGTGTTATCACTTTTATATGTCTTTTATGTATAACTAGTTTATTCCCCCAATAAAACAGGACACAAGTACTTTGCGTTTTTATTTTAATGCATCAACTATAAAAAGAAACCCTTCATTAAACAGTAAACAAATTTATTATAACACATGTACAAAGTTAAAAACAATTTTAAAAAGCCCATGATAATTACAATAACAAAATTGTCTTTTGAAACTGATTTTAATATGAACTGCGGATACAATATTAGTGCCTTGAAATTACATGGACCACTCATAAAGTTTTACAATAGAAAAAAAACTATTGTTATGTAATACTGATTTGTACTAACTTTCCGTAACAATCCATTTGGTATGTTTTCCTACAACGAGAACAAATTGTAAACTACATTTGTTTGGATACGTGTAAAACTAACAACTATTTTTCAAGCTCTTGTGGCTTAAATTTAAAACCACCTTAATACAAAGTCCCCGTCCCTGGATAGATAAATTATTGCTATAAATAACTTCCTCTTCAAAATAGAAGAAATAAAAATTAAAAGGATAAACACAAAATAGGGACATACATGCATTGACTTATATATTACTAGCGTAAGGATAGACCCATATAAATAATTTACTCATAACCGCTCATAACATTTTCATACAAGAAAAAGTAGCGCATCTGTCATAATTCAAACGTCATAACACGACGTAACCAGGGTTGGATTTCGTAATATAATTATACAATGTTTCCATTATTTCATAGTGTGTTGTATCTTAATAAAACTAGGCGAAAATACCGTAATTTTATTTTAAGGTCAACCGACTTGTATTATTATTGGGTCCTTTTACTATTTAATATTAACCCTACAATATCGAGAATTTCTGTATTGTGCGTGAGTACTGCCTTGCATAGGTCGACGACATAACTTTGTATATGCATACATGATTTTTTATCACATTTTATCGTAGTTGGTTAGTATAACTCAGTTGCAAGCCGATACATATAACGATTTCCTTTTTGCGATGATATTTTACAGGTAACAAAGAAAACGTAAGTAAAACAAATTAATCTCAAAGAGCTTTAGTTGAAGTTATAAACAATTTAATTTTGTTGTATGTAATATTATTGTTATAATAATTAAGTATTAGAATATTTTAAAAGCCGAAAATAAAAGACGAAAAAAGCTCGGATATTTTTGTGTATAACATTACAATTATTGTCCCTTAAATAAAACAATTTTTTTTAAATCTTTGCCTTTCAGTTCCCTTCCCCGTGTTTTCCATGATAGACTCGTGATGCATTCTGACATTTATAAACTTCTTAATTATGGCTCGAATAAGGTGCAATCTATGATTCAATGTTGCCGGCTGATCAATAGAGTGCAAGTTTAAAACAGTGAAAGTGCTCTTTCCTGTAAACTTTGCTAGAGTTTTTGTTGACAGAAACATATAGTCACTTTTTGCCATAAATTGGGGTCTATTATTGTGTCTTATATTTTTTTTCGGTTTCTAGGCATACATCAAACAGGTCCGCAGAAGGAAAGCAAAGTCCGCCCATATTTGTTAATTAAATCAGTTTATGAAGGAATAATTTTTCATTACCAGACTGTTTACACAAATTTCACACTTAATCTCTTTTGTTAAACTTCTGGCTACCCATCCGGCAATATACCCAATAATGAGTTCTATATTCTCTGTGAGGTGCCCAAAGACATTTTCAGTTGGGTTATCTAAAGTATGCGATAACTGTGCACAGTTATTTGAATAAACTACATCATTTTCCTCCTGATATGTACCTGTCGATGTGTCCATGCGCTTGTCTTCTTCTGCGTGACGATTCATTTCAGTGGTACAGTTAACAACATTTACAGATGAGACAGTTAATATTGGAAAATTACCCAAAGGAATACTGTTTCCAGTAAATGACGATTTTAGTGATAAGTGATTCATGCAACGCCTATACGCTCCTTTGAGTTGTATAGCGTTTGGGTTATCATTGTATCCACCGTGCTTTCTTATCAAGCTAAAAAATAGCTTTAAATGATCCTGAGACAGGCGATACGTCGAAATGTACTTCAATTTAGAATTCGACTCAACTAAATTTAAATAGAGGAGTTTTAAACTTTCTAAGCACACAATCAATCACCACCTTGATGAATTCATAAACAAATAGCGGAAAAAGTAGTGCAGTGCAACATGAACGATTCCTCAGAACTCATTCGCATTTTGGAAAGCGTCGATGATGATGAATTTTTTATTTTAATAATATAAAATTACAAATAATTAATGTTTATTTTTTTCTTAAGGTATGAAGAGCAAGTTTTCATTTTATGTTGTGCGATTTTCTTTCTCAATCTCAAAATCATCTGGTAGCATTAGACCAATAGCCCTATTACCCACCTTTTCAAAGATTTACGAAAAAGCAATGTGTAATAGACTCTACTCATTCCTATATTACTAGATGATAGCCAAAATGGATTCAGAAAATCAAGATCAGCTACCCTAGCTGTATATAAGTTCACAAATGACCCTACAAAATTTAAATCATAAAAAACATAATTTTGGTATTTTACTTGATATGACGAAAAAATACGACAGAGTGCCCTATGATAAACTACTTTTAAAAGTTATGAATTCGGGTATCCGCGGGCCAGTACGTAACTGGTTTAAATCCTATTTAAATAATCCGAGGTAAATAGTATAAATTGAACACTACAACTAAATTACAAATGAAATAACAAAAGTTCGTTCTGAAGAGAAACACCTAACTAGTTCAAACCCACAGGGCAGCGTTTTAGGTTGTTTGCTGTTTCTTATTTATGTAAATGACCTGCCAAAGTGTTTATATAGAGAATCAACACTGACAGTATTATTTGGAGATGACTTATCAATACTTATAAAAAGTTACGACAACATTAGCTCTGAAGCCCTTATCTATGATACACTTCATAATGTCATTCATTGGCTTGATAGCCATAATCTAGAAATAAACCTTAAAAAGACAAAAGTTTTACAATTTCGTCCATATAAATAACATAAATAAACAAGCAATAAACCGCCCCTAAAAAATATTATTCAATTTCAAAATACCCTAATAGAAGAAATAGACTCGTACAACTTGCTTGGACTTAATGTAGATACACATTTAAACTGGAAGTCGCACATTGAAAAAATTAAATGCAAACTCTCTAAATTTACATATGCGCTTTATCAAATTAATCATAGCAGATAGAAACTGCACTTTCCACATATTACGTGTATGCCTTTTCATGGCATTATTCTTTGGGGTAATGGTGTTAATGCAGCTGAATTGTTCATTTTACAAAAAAAAATGTGTTAGGATACTTGCCAGAATTGATAACAGACATAGCTGCCGACCCTATTTCATTAAATTTAAATTATTAACCTTAGTTTCTATTTACTTAAAAGATATAAGTAACTTCGTATTTAAAAATAGACATTCTTAACCCAGATAAAAGAAACACACAATGTAAATACTGTTGCGCGGCTAAGTTGACATCTGGCAATAGCGCCATCTAGTGTCGGGTAACAGAGCGAAGAGAGAGCTTTCCAGAAAATGACATCACTAATCTTTCAATCTACAGCGCCATCTAGTATCGAATTGAAGAACTAAGCATTCTGGAAGCCCCAAACTCGAACTTTCTGCGCTTGGTCGGTTGGCGCGCGTATTTACTCGAATATTCTGGAATATTCTGGATGTTTTCGTGGAAGAGCCTATATAAAGGCGCTGCAATACGCGATCGGGGAAGTATTGAATTTGGCGAGACAAGCGAAGCTTCGGAGCGGAATAAAGTAAATCAGTGTGATTAATTATTAGTGTTTTAAGTAAAAATTTGTGTAAAGAAAATTAAAGTGTTAATTTAAGTAATTTTATCGGCAATTTTTATTGTCACGAACCTCAAGCTCGTAACAATTGGTGTCAGAAGTGGGATAAAATCATGCCGATTTTACCTAAGGAGGAAACGGAGGGTGTCCGTACCCGAAGTCAACGCCAGCAGGAGACGGACCAAAGAATATTTGGTGGTGCAACGCCGCAGACTTCGGAGGGCCAGCCGCCGGCTGCAGGCCCGTCAGTAGCTCCTACATCTGCAGCACCTGACTTAGGTGCTCTGATGGTGATGCTGCAGGAGCAGGCTCGCCGACAGGAGGAACAGGTCCGTCGGTTGGAAGTGCAGCTGCGGGGCGGACAGGATGATCAGGCCCGCCGACAAGAGGAACAGGCCCGCCGACAAGAGGAACAGGCCCCCCGACAGGAGGAACAGGCCCGTCGGTTGGAAGATCAGCAGGCGGAACAGGCTCGTCGGTCGGAAGAGCAGATGCTCCTCATGAAGGACCTTCATGCTACCTTTGGGAAAGAGATAAGGGAGGTGAAGGATAGGGTTGCTCAACATGACAACCGCCTGTCGGAAGCTGAAACCCAAATCAAGGAAGCTAAAACCCAAATCGACCAAGTGAACAATCGGGTTGATTACGTGGTGGCTGACGTGAAGAAAACGCTGGACGACCTCAAACTGGGTGATGGAACTACAGCTCCCGTAGTAGCTACTACACCTACGCTACGTGGGTTCAAAATGCCACCGTTCGACGGGACTTCTTCCTGGTCAGCCTACAAAATCCAGTTCGAGGCTGTTATGAAGGCGAACGGCTGGAAAAAAAGTCAGGCCATGACTGCTCTCACACTAGGCCTGCGCGACCAGGCCTTAACAGTTCTGGAAGCTCTCGGGGAAGAAGTGACTTATGAGCAACTCCTTGAGGCATTGGAGGCGAGAT